ACATCATCCTCATTAGTGCACTAGTCAATACTACAATAAGCTGATGCCATCCCAGAAACAAGCCGTGCGTAAGTTGGATGATACCCAGGGAAGCAATGTGTCGAACACAATGAGTGCAAAAACAGAGAAACCCTTACTGCCCACTGAAGCAAAAGAAAAGAGATTTCAGAAAGCACTGTACCCATCTTCGCTGAGGACGCCGTGGGGAAATCCTGCGATAGGAGCAGTCAAGCTGAAGTTGAAAATCTGGCGGCCGTTGAAATAACTGACTTCGCAGGGACCGACCGAGGCGGAGTGGAATGACGACGCGAGAATGAGCAGAGGAATTGCGATTAGCGAACATCTCAAGGAATCGATGCGTATTCCCATAGTGCCCGTCCTTCTGGGTAGCGTAACGTTGTGGATTTTCAGCACATTGATGCCCCGAGAAGGCGAGGAGCTCCGGAAGAAGGCGTCGGCGTCGGGCTTAGGAAAGTCAGCAACCGGATCTTCTTTCAGGTGTGGGGAACCAAGGAAAGGAATCTGAAACTGCGACTGCCGGCGCACCGTTTCTAGGCCGACGAATGCTCAATTTTCCAGGAAATTGCCAAGTGCCCCACCTGTTTTGTCTTAATTGTTAAAATAAGGACAAAAACGGACTTTTATTGCTGGCCCGTGGGCTTGTGGTGGCCGGCTTTTAAAATGGGCCGAGGGACAAGGCCCATCCGTACCCTCCCAAAGACGTTAATGGCGGGTGAAGGGGGGTTAAGGAAAGGAAGAGGAACCGAAGAAGAAAGGCGCCACTTTCCGCCGCCAACGAAAACGATGGAGTCGCCGAACCCAAACAGAGCGTTAACGAATACTCGCTTCTCCGACCTCAATCCGGCGCTTTCCGACCCGGTGATCGATGCCCTGAAAGAAGGCGGATTTGATTATTGCACGCCGGTGCAAGCTGCTACTATCCCCTTACTGTGCGGCTACAAGGATGTCGCCGTCGACGCCGCCACCGGCTCCGGCAAAACCCTGGCTTTCGTTGTCCCTCTTGTCGAGATTCTCCGCCGGGTCTCCCCTGCTCCCAAACCTCAACAGGTGAGCTTCTTCACGTTTCTTCTGTAGCTGCACCCAAGTGTTGAAGTAGGCTTCCTTAGCTAATTGCAAGTCTGCATCTATAGTTAGGTTAGATAATAGTTCCGGTGACTGTTGATTTGTTGAACTTTCCCCACAATTGTTCAAGCTGGGGTCCTTTGTTTGCTGACAGGTATTGGGAATTATCATCTCTCCAACGAGGGAGTTGTCTTCACAAATATATCATGTTGCACAACCATTCATCGATACTTTATCAAACTTCAAGTCCCTTCTCCTTGTTGGAGGAGTGGATGTGAAGGCTGATGTGAAGAAAATAGAAGAAGAAGGAGCTAATTTATTGATTGGGACGCCTGGTAGGTTGCACGATATAATGGATCGGGTTGGTGACTTGGATTTTCGGAACCTTGAGGTAAGGAAATCTACTACCCGTATTTCGAACTGTATATTGACCTGGTTTCTGAATGATATTGTGGTACTGAGTAGTGGAAATGAGTCGGCTTTCTTGCGGATGTGAACTTCGTTTTGCTACTTGTTGGAGCAGGTATTGATTCTAGATGAGGCTGATAGGCTCTTGGATATGGGATTTCAGAAGCAGTTAACTGCTATTATATCCCGTTTGCCAAAGCTTCGAAGAACTGGTCTGTTCTCGGCTACTCAAACAGAGGCAGTTCAAGAGCTGGCCAAAGCCGGTCTTAGGAATCCTGTAAGGGTTGAAGTTCGTGCTGAAACAAAGTCGTTGGATGGTTCGGGGTCATCTCAACATCCAGGTTCTTCCAAGACGCCATCTGGGCTTCACCTTGAGGTATATTGCTGCTTCCCCTTCTGTTGAGCCCTACCCTTAACCTTGAGGTATAGTTTTTTTGAAAATAACTGGTGTCTGTCTTTATGCAGTATTTGGAGTGTGAAGCAGATAAAAAACCATCAGAACTTGTTGATCTTCTTGTCAAAAACAAGTCTAGAAAGACTATAATGTGAGTTTTAGCCATATTTTGTAAAAGGGTGCCTGAACAGAAACCTCAGTATCGAGGTTGACATGGGTTTCTGGCTAACAAAGTCTTTAACTCTGTAGATACTTTATGACATGCGCTTGTGTTGATTACTGGGGAGTTGTTCTTCCTCAATTGTCTATTTTAAAGGGCCTATCTTTGATTGCTCTTCATGGGAAGATGAAGCAGGTAAAAAAATTTGCTGTAGATTCTACCCAATTCACTTTCGCTTTCATAAGCAAATATTGTGCCTCCTTGCCATAACACTATTTTTCCTTTACAGAATGCTAGAGAAAAAGCATTGGCAAAATTTACATCTCTTACAAGTGGTGTTCTTCTATGTACTGATGTTGCGGCACGTGGGCTCGACATCCCAGGTGTTGATTATATAGTGCAGGTAATATGAACTTCTGAATGTGGGCTGCTGTCTAAGTTGTGGAGAAATCCTTCTATCTAAGAATTCTCCCTTCATATTTGTTTCTGCAGTATGATCCGCCGCAAGATCCAAATGTATTCGTCCACAGAGTTGGCCGAACTGCTCGTCTGGGTAGGCAAGGTCATGGCATCGTTTTTCTATTACCCAAGGTGTGGTGCACAATTGTCTAGTTATAGTAAGATTAAGCCACCATTGATAATTAGCCCCATTAAACTCTTTCAGTCTTATGTTCCCTTCATTGAATGCTTTCATATATGATTAAGTTGCCTATTTCAGGAGGAAGCCTATGTAGAATTTCTGAGGATTAGAAGGGTTCCTCTTGAAGAGAGGGAAGGTACTGATGATGCCCCAGATGTTGTCGCTCTGGTAATCACTCCTGAACAAATTAAGTAAATAATGCCTTGAGTAGAACCTTGGGCTGACAAACCTAGTTTGTTTCCTGCTGTTCTGTATTTATTTCTTTTATTGAATCTTGCTTCAGATTCGATCTGTTGCCAGAAAGGACCGAGATGTCATGGAGAAAGGGCTGAGGGCGTTTGTCTCCTTCATCCGTGCATATAAGGAACATCATTGTTCTTATATTTTCAGGTTGGGAATGTGCTTTCATGTCTCAAACTGTGTCCATATGTGAACTTTCCTTCCAGGCGTCTGCTGGCTTTATGTTATAGAATTATATAAAGTAAATTATGAACTTTCTATTCCCTTAGGTGGAAAGAACTCGAAGTTGGGAAGTTGGGCATGGGATTTGGGCTATTACAACTTCCTTCAATGCCTGAAGTGAAACATCACTCCCTCTCCATCGAAGGTTTCGTTCCAGTTGAAGACCTCAAATTGGGGGAAATAAAATTCAAGTTAGAAATCTTGTCCTCTCTGATCTTGCTTTTTATGGAAATTCCGTAATCTTGGTAATATTGGCTGGCTGATTATGTGTTTCCTTAAAGGTAGAGGTGTTGATAATTGTTGATGATGTGTAGGGATAAATCTCGAGAGAAACAAAGGAAGAAGAATTTGCAAACTAAGAAAGAAGCAAAGCTGCATGAAGATAAACCCCAGAAGCCCAAAAGGAACCCTGATGCTGCAGCCCCAGCAATGAGGAAGAAAACAGCTAAGCAAAGGCGTGCTGTCCAGAATGTGGAAGATGAAGAGGAGCTAGCTCGTGAATACCGTTTACTTAAAAAGCTGAAGAAAGGGGCTATTGACGAAACTGAATTTGCAAAGTTAACAGGAACAGAAGAGTTAACTTGAAGTATATGGTCATCCCTCACCTCAGCACTCTCCTGCTTGTGTTCATAAAGAAACATAGGACATAGCAGGAGGGATCTAAAGGTATCCAAGATTTGAGGAAGGAGTATTGCACCCAGCAAATTAGCAAGTTAGCTGATAGAAGCTAGACACCAACAATGGGAGAAGTTCGCCTTGCTTCAGGAGGTTATGCGTTCTGACAGATGAGAAATCTTGTAATCACTTTATTCCAATTTTGTGTAGTCCTCGATCATCATTCCTGATTTGTGGTCATTAGAACCTCCCCAAGGACTGTAAGATTTATAAAAGCATGTGTATGAGTTCCAACTGACATGTACCTTTCGGCACCATTTATTTGAGCAGATTTTGAGTAGGAAAAGAGAAGTTAGATTTTTCCAAGAGAAGCTGATGGGAAAGCATCCTTATGCAAGACAAGGATAAGTTTACTTGAAAGGCTCTTTATGTTTGTCATCTCCTAGTTCCTTCAACCATTGCCTGGCTGTCACGAGTTCGTTGTTCTGTTTATACAAGTTATGCTTGGTTTTATGCCGTTTAATAGTTAGCACTATTCGACAAGCAATTCACTCATTGTACTGCTACTTTTTTCCATTGCATGTTTTACAAGGCCAAATCCAGGCTTCTCAGTATTCTACAATCCTTCAAAATTCCTACAAAAATAGGTAAGGGTAATAGAACTCGCAATTAATCCTTGCAACAAAATCCATTTTCAAACCTATAGACCGACCTATTAGCATCTCTTACTAAGAAGTAAGAACACCACTTGCAAGATCCTTAATAATCCTTCGATGAATTCATGGCGTCTTGAACACCCTGATACCCTGGTCTACTTGTCACACTTCCTGCTCCAATTCCTAGTCAACATCGTATAACCCATGTTTGGCTTCAATTACCTAACCCAACTCTTGTTTCATCCTTCTACCCATTCCCTCCACGAGTTGATGTATTTGTTGTGCTTGAGGCTGTTTGTCAACTCCGCCATAGAAGTGGATTTCCTTCTCGATCTCAACCCAACTCCGTCTAGCGTCCTTCTTCAGCTTTTTTCAGGTCACCAACTCATCATTTCTCTGAACTGCTGGCATTCTTCCCAGTACCCAGCATTGGCAGACATGTTCGACAGCATGACATAAGTCACCAGGCTTTCTCCATGAACTCGGAAAGCACTAAGCAAGCGTTTTCCAGGCTGGATTAATAAATCAAAACTTATGTGTTTCTGCCAGAATTTCAGAAACTCAATGACAAGGTATAGTAAGTCACCAATAGTCGTTGCAAGAACACAATCCATTCTCAAACCTGTGAAACCTATTAGCATCTCTTACCACGAACACCATTTGCAAAATCCTCGATAACCCTTTGATGAACTCATGGCAATCAACACAAACTCTCAAGTTCTTGAACACCCTAATCACCCTGGTCTTCTTCTCCCACCCTCCACGAACCAAAGCTAACCCAATTGCCAACTTCTCGCTATGAACCCTAAGGTTGTCCTGCTTCGATTCTTCGTCAACATCGTATAATGCATGTTTAGCTTCGTTTACATACCCCAACTCTTGTTTCATTCTTTTTCCCATTTCCTCCAGTACCCCATGTATTTGCTGTGCTTGAGGGTGTATGTCATCCCCACCATAGAAGAAGTGGATTTCTTTGTCGATCTCAACCCAACTCCGTCCAGCGTCCTTCTTCAACTTTTTTGAGGCCACCATTTCTCTGAGCTGCTGGCACTCTTCCCAGTACCCGGCATTGGCAAACATGTTTGACAGCATGACATAATTCACTGGGTTTTCTCCATCCATTTTAAGAACTACGTGGCCAACTTCTCTTCCCATGTCAATATCTCCATGAACCCGGCAAGCACTAAGCAAGGCTTGCCATATACCCACGTTGGCTTTTACTGGCATTGAAGAGATGAGATTCTTAGCCTCTACTAAACGTCCAGAGCGCCCAAGAAGATCAACTACACAAGCATAATGCTCAACCCTAGGTTTGATACTCTCATCACTGCACAACTTTGATAGGTATTCTTGACCTTCTTCCACTAGTCCGGAATGGCTACAAGCTAAGAGAATGGCCAAGTAGGTTACATCATCAGGGTTAGTGTTGTGTGATTGCATTCGGTTGAAGAGATGAATGGCCTCTTTTCCAAGACCATACTTGCCATAGCCGGTGATCATTACAGTCCAGGAAACGACATCTCGTGCAGGCATCTTATCGAACAGTTTCTCTGCTTCTTCTGTCATCCCGCATTTGAGGTACATGTCTAGAGCTGAATTGCATACCGAAATTCGCAAACCAGAGGGTATTTTAATGCTAAAGCCATGAATCTGTCTGCCTTGCTCTAGGAGGGCTAAATCTGCAAAGATGGCCATCATACTTGACATAGCATATTCATCTACTTGTATTGTACTTTCCCTCAGCAGCCTAAAAATGTCCATGACTTCTGCTAAGTTTCCTTCCTGAGCATACCCAAGAATCAAAGCACTCCATGATATCGCATGTTTCTTGTCAATTTGATTAAATACTCTTCGAGCTACAAACAGCTTCCCACATTTCGAGTAGGAATCTATCAAGGAACCTGCAACGCTGGCCTTGTCAGAATACTGGAATCCATTGGTGATCAATGAAGCGTGAATTTGGGTTGCTTCTCTGGCCGCACCAATCTTAGTACAAGCCTTCAGGACACTTGTAAGTGTAAACTCATCATGAACTTCGCCTTCTTCTTTCATTTTCCTAAACAAAATCAGAGCTTTTCTGCCATTTCCTGCAAGATTGTACCCTGATATCATCGCATTCCAGGTGATCAGATTTCTGCCTGGCATTGTTTCGAACATGCATGTAGCTTCAGCTATCCTTCCAGATTTAGAGTACATGTCAAGGATAGTGTTAGCAACCAAAATCTGCAAATCGTATCCAGTTTTCAGACAAACATCATGAATTTGCATACCAATCCGGGGAACACTGAGCATTCCACAAGCTTTAAGATTTGTGGATAGAGTGAAGTCATTTGGCTTCAACCCAGTAGAACCCAACTGGGAGAAAAGGGATAATGACTCCTCTGGACGTCCATTTTGCACGTAGACGCACATTAGAGACGTCCAAGAAACTAGGTTTCTTTCAGGCATTCTGTCGAACACTTGGCGGGCTCGAACCACTTGGCCACATTTGCCGTACATGTCAATCAGGTCCTGGCTTAGCATCATATCAAACCTAAACCCGATTGTCAGTAAAGCGCCATGAACCTGAATTCCTAGATCAAGTAGCTTATTCTTTGAGCAGCTCCTTAATATATCAGCATATATCTGCCTCTTTCGCAACGTTGCGAGTAAGGGTTCCTTCAATTCGCTATGAAGAATTCCTCTACTCGCCATTGGTGATGACGTTTATACTATAGTTGGCGCTGTGAGTTAGAAGAGAAGACCTCGTCTTCCGTCCTCGTAATCATTCCGCCAGAATTACAGCAGAGGTGAAGAAAACTAACGCTCATATTCTGAAAACCTCACTCTCTCCGAGCAAATTCTGGCGGCAAAAAATAGACAAACAATTGCAACAAAGCTCCCTGCTTTTCCAACTAATCTAAGCTAATAATTAATGGGTTTAAAGAAATGTGTACACCCAGTCATAAGATCTCGTGGCAGGTAAAATCATGAATCATGAGCTCATGGCGGCAATTGATTTTTGCAAGAAGTACCGTGAAGCAATGATGGGTCGAAATAATAGAAAAAAGAAGTTCGGATCTTAAAGCAAGTCAAGGTCATCCCACGTTAAAGAACACATTTTTCCACAGACCCATAAAGGCTGCTGTAAGCCTGTGTAACCAAATCGAATCAGAGCGAGTAGATGCTCATCCGTTTCCTTCGCCTCTTCCTAGGCCGGCAAACGCTGGTTGCTCTGTACAATCTCCTCCAATCCTTCCGCAAGAAATTCCGGTCACTTCTTCCCTCCATGGCCATACCGGAAGCCGATCAGGAGCAAGACAAGAAGGTCTCCGGACCGGTGTTTGACCCGTCGATTCCATCGATTCCAATCTCGTACCCAATCAAAACTCTCGAAGAGCTTCACTCTCGAGCTTACTTCGATTCCTTTCACTACCCTTTCAACAAATCATCTGTTCCTCTCCAGTCTCCATCGCCGCCTTTTCCTTTGCCTAACAGACCTCGGCTGCTGGTGTGCCATGATATGCAAGGAGGCTATGTGGACGATAAATGGGTTCAGGGAGGAAGCAACCCAGATGCTTATTCCATCTGGCATTGGTATTTGATGGATGTATTCGTCTATTTTTCACACTCTTTGGTCACTCTGCCTCCACCTTGCTGGACTAATGCAGCTCACAGGCATGGAGTCAAGGTAAAACTCGTTTCCCCTTTTGGTGGACTTTTGTCATTTTGGGTTTGGTAGTTTGTTGGGTTGTAATTTCCTTCTCTTTATTTGGATTTCATGGAAACTTCTCTAAGGTGTTGGGGACTTTCATCACAGAATGGGATGAAGGTAGAGTCATTAGCAGCAAGTTGCTTGAAACAGAGGACTCTGCTCGATTGTATGCTGAACGTTTGGCCGAACTAGCTGCTGCTTTAGGCTTTGATGGATGGCTGGTACTACTAATCAAGCTATTTCCTTTCTGGCCTTTTAGAACAAAATTACATCATTCATGTCTGATCGCTAGTAACATCCACTTGCTGTCCTTCGTAGATTAATATGGAGGTGAAATTGGATGTGATGCTGATTCCTAATATGAAGGAATTTGTTGATCATCTTACTCGGACTATGCATTCCTTGGTGCCTGGATCACTGGTGATATGGTAAGTTGTTGGTGATAAGTTTGTATAACAGGATGAACAATTGTATAACTTCTCATGTCATACTCAGGTATGACAGTGTGACAATAGATGGAGATCTTGACTGGCAAGATAAGTTGACTGAAAAGAACAAACCTTTCTTTGACATATCTGATGGTATATTCATCAACTACACATGGAAGGTACTTTGTTGTTGTTGTGCTGTTTTCTTTCCTCTTTTTCGTATTAAAGCTGTTTTAAAGATAAGGGATGAGCCTGCTTAGTTGGCTTGCAGAAGGATTATCCAAAACTTTCAGCTGAAGTGGCTGGTGACAGAAAGTTCGATGTCTACATGGGAATAGATGTATTTGGAAGGAACACTTATGGTGGTGGACAATGGACTGTATGTATCTTTTTCAAATCATGTCTTTGTTTTTCAATTCATCAACTTGTACTTGGTAGAACTTCCATTGGTTGTTGTTCAATCACCAAAATGTGCGGTAATGATGCATTTGGTATATCATGTCACCTTCAAACTTACATGGTTACCTGTTGGAAACTCAGACAAATGTTGCACTTGATGTGATAAAGAATGACAATGTGTCTGCTGCCATATTTGCACCTGGATGGGTGTACGAGACCAAGCAGCCACCGGATTTTCGGACTGCTCAAGATCGGTACTGCAGCAACCTATCTGCACATTTCCTTGTTCCTCCTTCAATTGCATTTCCTCTTAGAGCTAGAACATTACTTGGCAAATTTTTTTGTTGAACCTTATGATTACCAGAGTTCTGAGTAATTTGTGAAGGGCAATCCTCATTCTTCATTGACCACAGCCGAGCTCTTGTGTGGCAGTTTGTGGATACTTCGGGACGTAACTCATTGGTGCTGTTTTCCCCTATTGTAGGTGGTGGGATCTTGTTGAAAATTCATGGGGAGCAGTACAGAAGTATCCTAGAACACTACCATTCTACTCTAGTTTTGATCAGGTTTGTATGTGTTGATTATATGCCTTAAGGTATATTTTGGAGCTCCATTGTTTTGATGTATTCAAACCTCAGTTCCCCCGGCATTGACTATCATATATGTTCAGGGAGTTGGCTATCATATATCGGTTGATGGACAGCAAGTAACGGATGCTTCTTGGAATAACATATCTTGCCAGGGGTTTCAGGTCTTGCCCCACGACTAGATTCTACATCTTTTCATGTATGTTTTGACTTGGCTGTTTTTCTTACTTGTTACTCATTAACTGCTGCAGGCTTTACTTAAATATGTTGACGACCCAAAACCGGATGCTATTCAAGTACTTGTCGAGTGAGTTTCTATGCGTAACTTAACCACCCATTTCCTTCATATTCTATGTCTAATGATAGTTTCTGGTTTGGTTATTGCCAGCTTTAAGCAACCATCCTATAATGGGGGAGGAAACATCACTTTCAGAGGAACACTCCAAGACAATGCTTACTTTGAAACAAGGGTGTTCATAGGAGAGCTTCTTCTGGGTGGTGAACCACTCCAAGTTATCTATTCTGTAAGTTTCATTCGTTTTCAGAACTAGCTCACCCATGACAATGAGTCCTGCCAAAACGAAAATATTAACTTTTGATCCATTGATAAAATGGGTATAGGTAAAATCAGAGGGTGATTCACTGCTGGGCCTTTTGCTTCACTTCTTTTCTCCCCTGAATGATAAGAAAACAGTCATTGCTATCGCACCCTGGGAAACTGATGAACTCTCCAGAAAATTCAACAAAGCAATCGTTCCAGGACGAGTTACAGACTCAGAAATTGAACCCGGATGGGTACAGTATGAGAGCAAGGTTGCAATGAATGGACAGATACTACGTGAAATCCGTGCAGTATGCCACAAGACAAAAGGTACCACTACAATGAGATCAGAACAAAAGGCAGCAGCAGAAGGGTCAGAGTATCTTGCTGTGCTTGGCCAAATCCTGATGAATAATTCTGATCACAACTCATGTCTGCCTCCATCCACTTCATGGGAAGTTACAGCTGAGCTAGTACAGTGGACTGCATCATCATCAGCAGCAGCTGCAGATTCCGAGGGCTCCCGGGCAGTTAGCTTGAAGATCAATTGGAAACTGAAAGATGGGAATACTGCTTTCGCGCATTCGAAGTACAACGTTTATGTGGCAAAACTTGGCAGTAGTAGTGTGCAGTATCTTGGAGTTGCAGCAGTTGAAGCCTTCTATGTTTCTAACTTGGTTGTTCCTTCTGGTGTTTCTAGTCTGAAGTTCATTGTTCAAGTTTGCAGCAATGACGGGAGTTCCCAGAAGCTGGATGAGTCTCCATATTTTGAACTGGATGTTGAATACTAAGTTTTTACTATGTATCATACTACTGGTGTTGTTGTATCACAAATTGTGGACTTAATAAGGTGGACCTCCGTAATAAGATTTATTCCCCAGTCATTTCAATCTGGATCTTCCAGTTTATATAAAATTGTGCTCTTTTTCTTTTCCTTGTTCTGACGCATAAGAGAAAGTGTTTTCCTCATTGCATGAGCTCGGATTCAATGGTTTTTGCAACAAAAGTTATTGAGGATGAATCAGACGACATTATTTAAATCAATCCGTATACAGCTCTGGAAAAATCCACTTGCACTGTCTCTGTACATTCACGTCCTAAGTTGTTGATAAAAAAATTCCTAATATTTCAAAATTAATTGATTTTCTAAAAATATTGAATGAAGAAGAGTTAGAGAATGAACATGAAATTTGGTTTCAGAGATAAATAAAACTCTTAGAAGATATGAATGACCAAAATTGTATGAACTGCATTTGTAGTATATATATTCGTATAATTACGATGTGCATACCTAATGTACTAAATTCACATCAAAATCCTTACTTTTTGTCGTAGTTGAGAAAAAATATACCTTCAAATCATGCCAAAATAGATTTTTCCAGATAAAATTGAATCAATTTCAATTGAATAACGATGAAAATGGATTATTTTATATTCACTAGATGGTTCCCTCCATGTTGCTTGATGTTGAGACTTACATCGAAGCATCCAAATAGGGTTGAAAATGAGAGGTTTCACGCCACACAAAAAAAACATCTACAGACTACAGAAAGCGGCTTCTCAATGAATCTGTATTGGAAGAACCAAGAAGGAAGAGTTTCAATGCAGATCTATTAGAGGGAAAAACATGCGAGAAAATGTCAATTGAAAATCAGGAGAAACCAACAAAAATGGAGGGGAAAATGGTATAATAGTGATATTAAACAAGCAGAAGCAGTTAAGCCCAAAATCAATCAACCTCGAGGACTGCTAATTGAAGGAGACAAGATAAAATTGGGGGAGAATCCTTAACCATCTTGTCTTTCCAGTGCTCGAGGACCTTCCGATTACAGGAAAAGAAACATCACCATGCTAGTTAATTAGTTTTGCATATGATAGAAAACTAAAGACTGGTTTACTACAGCAAACATTTTGCGAATAAGAGTTTGATATATATAGCGATATAATTTGGAGATTGCACATTCGAATTTCAGAATAATATTTTTCTCCTTATTAATTCTCTCCAATCACATAATGTAAATAAATATTAAGATTAATTCTACATCTATATTCTCGTCAAGAATCATTTCATCGTTGACTAAATAGGATTGTTTTCTTGCACTTTTCATCAAATCATTTCATCTTAAGCCGCTCGATAAATATTAAATTATTCGCTTACCATTCATGTATAAATCTAGTATCTGTCTGTGTCTACAGAAGGAAAAAAAAATTACCATCTTACTGCTAAATTAGCACAACGGTTTTTGGTTCTCTAGGGGCGTCGTCCATAATGGAGAAAATGAAAGGCTACTTGCTTCACTGTTAGTAGAAGAAAAAATCCAAAGGCAAATTGTACAATAATTCAGACAGTATATATTTTGATTGTTTTATGTGATTAGATTTTTTTCCTCAACTTATTGCAAGTTGCTAAATTTAGTCATTACCTCATATATACATCAAGTTGTAATTGATGTTTGGATTACTATGTTCGTGATTTTGTAATTAGCGCATTGCTTTTAGGGGGGGAATGAAAATGACACTTATTGCAAGTTACTAATTTTAGTTTCGGGAAAGTGAAGAAATTGCATTGTAATCTTAACTATGTCTCAGCGGATATATCTCTTTAAAAATGGTTTAACAAGATAGCTTATATTTCGTTAGACTTTTTGAAGTGTTACAATATGTATGATGAGACTTGTGTGGCCAAATCGTATGTATATTAAATTCCAATTGATATGATCAATTGGTACTTTATATAATTTCACAAACATGATATTGAATTATTAACGTTGTAATAAGAGTAAAATTACTCTTGTGAACGACAATAGTTTAGTAAGGAGTATTAGCTACGACGGGAAACAATAATGTGGTGGGGTTTGGACGATTTCCTTAGGATAGATAACATTTATAAAAAGGTGGAGATGATTCATGATTTACACTCTTATGTCCAAATAAGTAATGAATTGATTAGAGAGAACGCAACTGAAAGAACTGTCGCAAATTTTTAGAAATAAGACTAGATATAGATAATGATATCTTCCCTTCTCAACCGTCTAAAGAGCGGTTATATAAACAAATGTGTTGAGACTTTAATTTGGACTTCCAATGGCTCCACTTCACAAGTTTGGATTTCAAGATATTCAACTACTTGTATATAATAATATAGGTTTTTCATTTTTTTTTTTTTTTTTGTATTTACATTCCAACTACACTAATAACTAAAACTTCCACATTTCAAAAAATTAACATGCATTTCAAAAAATTAACATATGTACCAAATGATGAATAATCAAATCATATGAAGTAATTTGACAAAAGAAGGCCAACATATATAACTGATTAATGATATATGTGTACTCCTCATGAACACTAACTTCACACATCTCAAACATACATTTTATATTTAATCCATCATTTTACCAATGTGTTCCAACTTTTTATGTATCCTGCCGCCGGAATAAAAGTCTATATATGCATCCACATCAAATATTGAATGGGTCCAGTAGCTAGCACTAGAAGCATTACATATTTAAAAAGAAACATCAAATAAAGTAAAGCAAAATATCTAACCAACCTAATGTTTATATTTACTTATTAAGTAATCCACATATTATTATTAATTATTTGTTAGAGTTGCTCGTCATTTATTTCTAGAATGTCAATCATTCAATCACCATATAACTAGTAGTAAAACTCTTCGCTTTTAAAACTGGAACGAAAATGATACATCACTTAAAATGAATACAAGTCTAACTTATTTATCTAAAGAGTCGAATCATATTCGTTCTGTATGATTATTAATGTTCTTAACAACTGGTTCACAACATCGCTCTAGCTATCACCAATTATGTGAACATGATTAATATAATGTTCAATCATTTGTCAGGAAAAAAAAAACAGAACACCAATGTAAGCAATATGTACGTACATAGCTGGAACATAATGCCCTGCGATTTAGAGGCCACCGACCTCCCAATTCTTTTATCAACCGATCACACGAAGGAGTTAATTAATTATAGCCAAAACCTCATCTCTCAAGTGATTAACAATTTAACACGCATTCCCAACACATGCTACAGTTGACCTCCCACACAAACAACAACAAAAAAAAAAAACTAATAACCCTTAAGTAGAAATCAATCAATTTCTTCATCTTATTTCTGATTAATTACTATAAACTAAAAAAAAACTCGTCGTACAACGTAACGATCAAATGATCAAGAAATTATGTCCCCGAAAAAGCTATTTGTCTTCATCGACATGTGATGATCATGGTCATAATGATGATGATGATTGAGGGCCAGCAATCCATTCTGCAACAAAAACAACGGCTTGTTATCCACCGCCGACACGACGTCGTCCAAGCAGTCCACGGGAGTCGTCGGACCGTTGAGATGATCGAGCGGCTGGGAATCGAACGGCGGGGATTGCTGCCCCACCATCTGGCCGATGCACACGATCTCCGCCTGAGCCAGAGCGAGCTGCATTTGGAGCTGGGAAACCTGGTTCTGAAGGTAAGAGATGGCCCCCACGCAGCCGTACACCGGGTCCCGCAGCCGCGCGTTCGCCTCGTACACCAGGCTGTTCACCGCGTCGGCTCTTCTCTCCGCCGGCAGGTCCTGTGTTGACGGATGGATCATCGGAGTGACGTCATTCACAAAAGAGGGAAACATAACAAAGTTACGTTATAGAGGCGACTAATTTGGAAGTTATTAACGTACGAGGAGCATTTTGGCGACGTTGCTGGCGCCGAAGACCTTGTGGACGATGGCGAACTTTTGGGGGTCGGCGGGAGGGAAGTAAGGCGCGAAGATGCAGTCCTTGGCGCACCGCCGCCGGAGCAGCTTGCAAGAAGCGCAAGGTGAAGTGCTAGTTCCCACCATGGTTTGATGAACTGGCCGGAGAGGGAAGAGAGATGGTGGTGGGAAGAGAGAGTGAATTAGGAGAGAGATTTATTAGTGGGCACAAAAGGTTTTAAGGGATCAGTGAGTGTATTTATAATTGAGGAATTGTGACATCTATATAGAATTATTGAAGCTAAAGAAGATTATAGTGCTATTAATTATAACTACAACTATTAGGCGGCAGATCAGAAGACAACTACTGTAGCTTGGGGGGGAGATGGAGTACATAAATTACTATTTTTCTTTTTGGCCAAATGATTAAATTATTGACATCCACACTGCGCATTTATACAATCGATTACACAGTTTGGTGAGAGCAATCAATTGCATTTTGTCCCTAGTTTGAAGATTTTTTTTTCAAAGAAAAAAACAACAAAAAAAATCTTTGCAAAATATATAGAAGTGATGTAATCTGAGGAGTGAGTGACTCAACTGGCGGTTCGGATATGTTCAAGTGTTTAATTCTTCCGCTTTATTATTGGTGGAGTTATAAATCTGAACAAAGAATTAACAAAAAAATTAATTTGAAGATTTTGAACCATTGTTTATAAAATTTTGAATCATTAGATACATATATATATCGAACATTGTTTGTAAAATAGTCAATAATATAAGAATTGATCAACTGACTTATGAAATTACGAAGTAATACGGTTTGACAATGTCAATTCGTCTCGATGCTCCCTTCACCGAGATAGTCCTACATATCCTCATCATATAGTACGTATATAGCTAGTTTACACCAAAATCGTTATGCGACATTGTTGTTCTCAGCTCATCAGTAGCTAATAATTAGGGCAAACGGCCGCATCAACAAATCTCAGCGGTGTGGCCCTACGAAACTGATTGTGTGCGGCGGCCGGTTGACTGTCGACTGTCGCCGGCGCGGTGCGCAAACCGTGTGCATGATATGTCGATCGATACCCTACGTGTAATTGCAAGGCTCGCACGTTGCTTTGTTCTTTGTTGAGTTGGTCGGTCCTAACAAACACACGACAAAGAAGCAAATCATATATGGATTATATTGTGCATGGCTTCAACTTTAACCAGGTTTCCAATCAAACCCAAACACATGAAATGTGAAAAAAGGAAGGTTTTTTCTTTCAAACAAGGATGTAAGGAACAAATATTATCCACGAATACCCGAAAACTATTCATGTGGTCCACATGAATATAGGACGGGTATTAATTTTAATATTTAAAAGTAGGAATGATAATAATTCAGGAAAACCCACCTGAAATTAGATCCATTGTTAGGGATGGCAAAAATATCTGTAACCGTGGATATCCGCCAGAATTCGATTTAATCAGGTAGGGTAAAACCCAAACCCGAAGAACTTTTAGTGGGTACGGGTAAAACCCGAACTCGAATATTGCGGGTAATGGTGGGTATGGGTTTCTCACTATCCAACCCGAATCCGCCCGATTATACACATTCATATATATTTTGTCTAGAAATAATCATTATTTTTCTCTAACATATTTAATATTTAGCATATAAATATAGTATTTTCATGAAATTGTTTTGATTAATTTTCTTCATTCTAGTGAATTATTGTTGTATTTTTCCTCTTACATAATGTGATAATACGCGGGAATGTTAATATATTGGTTGGAGTTATGAAGAAAGATTATTATCCATGGATAACCGTGGAAACCCAAAAACCTGAACGGGTATGAGCATTGTTTTGATTTTCTACCCGTTTCTTATGTGAGTATGAGGTATGAGTAAAACCCGAACTACTTTGGGTAGGGTAACAGATATGCACTATCCGCACCCGACCCATTGTCATCCCTATCCATTGTCACTGCTAATTTCAATCTCTAAAATTGTACATGAAAGCCATATCTTTATCTTTTCAATTAAGTTTAATTTTATTTTTCATCTCTTTCTCGTAATATTATGAGTAAAACTTTCTTTTTATAAAATATTATTTTGGAGTGACTTTTTATCAAATATATGAATGAACCTTTTTGTAGGACTCCTATGTTATTTTTTTATTTGAATTTTTTTAATTTATCCTATGTTTTGCTTTCCATTGATCATAACAAGGCTACAGGGTAAGTAGGAGACAAACATTCACGTGAAGGCACACCCATGAAATAACACACTCTCACATTAAATGCAATGGTTGACCCTTCTCACCTACGTCTATAGGCATAGCCCAACAAGGGGAGAAAATCTATTAACAAATTGGTTCTTTTCCATCTTGTTATTTTAGTTAAATAAAAAAATATGTAGAATTCTCATTTGTCTTATTATTGCTATAATTATTTTTGTAAATTGTAATCAACCCAACGGTCACAAGATTTTCAATGTGGGTCACTTTCTTTACGAAATCATAAAGTCTTATTAATGTATCCAATAACAATTAGGCAAGACTTGATGCTAGGGGGTTTAATTAGTTGATGATTTTAACAATATATAAAGATAGTTGGGAAATTTTGGAAATTTTAAACTTATAACTATCTTGTAAATTTCGTTCAACTTGAATTTGAGATGTACCTTTAATTTGTGTGTGATGAAGCTCATAGAAAAGTTACACTTACTCCCCATATTATAAATTAATAATGTTGGTAAGAACTAAGAATCTTCATGAGAGCACTTGTACTGTTTTAACAATAAAGAAAAAAACAACTTTCCATGTCTAGAAAATTGTGGGGGAAAGTACGATGTGCTTGGAGATTCGGTTAATGGAAGGTGTTGGAAAAGTTTGTTTATTTAATTCGTGATAGGTGGATCAAAATTCAAAAGTCTTCTTATTTCAATCAATTTCCCACTAAAACATCACTCATCTCCAGCCTCCACCACCTTATGGTGCAATGTCATGTTGTAGAACAAGTAGAACAAAACGATTTCAATCCTAGAAGTTCCATTACTATAGCTTATTGGAGGCATTTGGAGACATACGATTATTCTCGTATCATGGTTATGTATACAATATTACATTAGTGATCGGTCTTACTTGGTTGGTGACTGCGGATATGTCGAGTAGTTAATTTCTAAATGCTTCATTTTAAATCATATGATTTTTTGCTAATTATCACTAATTTTACTTAGATTATTGATCACAAAAGGCAAAAATTATAGCTTTGCCTTTTCATGATATTATTATATGTGCATGAGTACACTAAGCGAAGGATTGTCAAACTATAGAGGAGATTAGAGTATTTTGTACTAAAATTATGATTAAATCATAGTTCAATTGTTTCCTATCGTTAAAATCGCTTATACTTTCCAGTTCAGCATACAATAGACTTTCTCAAACGTTGAAGATAAGTAAAAATTAGAAGAATGCCGGATAATAGACTATCATCCTTTCCTTCAAAACTAGAGTTTAATCTTGAGATGCTAAATACTATTTTTATTTATTTGAGTCTCCCTCACTACTATGAATAATAACTTTGTCAGGTCAATGATATGGCCGTTTAGTCTACTTAGTGGTTCGTAGTTCGTACTTACCTTTTCACGAGATAATGATACTTTGATTGTAAAGGTCAATCAAATACATGGGGCGGGGCGGGGCGGGGCGGATAGTGCATCGCCGTTACCCTATCCAAAATAGTTTGAGTTTTACTTATACCAATACTTACATAAGAATCGGGTAAAATATCAAAATCATGTCCATACCCGTTTGGGTTTCGGGTATTCACGGTTATCAATGAGTAATAATTTCAACCAATATGTTAACGTTCACAAGTATTCTCACATTCATGAAAATATTATATTTATATGCTAAATATACAATATTTTAGAGAAAAATAATGATTATATCTAGACAAAATACATAGATATGTGTATAATCGGGCGGGTTCGGGGTGGATAGTGAGAAAATTATGTCAACCCATTACCCACAATATTCGGGTTCGATTTTTACCCGTACCCACTAAAACTTATTTAAAATCGAATTTTTCCCTAACCAATTAGGCAGAATTCGGACGAATATTCGTGGTTACGGATATTTTTATCATCCCTACTTCTTTAGTTCGGAAGGTTGAGAAAGGACTAAGGAAGTGGACAACACCTTTGCTGGACAGGCACGATTAACTTTGTCAGCTTCTCAGGGCCGGAGCCCAAGCCCAATTAGATTGTGTGATTTGAAAACAGTAAATATATGTTTGTGATTGGAGAACCCAAATCCATTATGTTTGTGATGACCCAAACGGCCAAATCCCACACGGAAAGGTCCATCAACCTCAAGCAAGGGGGGAAAGCTACAACCGGTCACTTATCATCATACCTCCCTACCAAAACTAGCAAGATTATGCCATCATCTTGATCTACTCCAATCTCAAATTACAATCACTATTGAGCCTAATTAAAATCTTAAAGAATTTATAGTGGTGCAATTTATTTAGCCTAGAGGAGTTGGTTTTTCGAAATGATTGTGGGTCATATTTTAGACCAGCTCCATTAGTTTAGTTCAACAATCGTTTAAATGTAGTTTTTATGTCCAAGTGAGCATTTACCACTTCTTATCAGCGATCTGCAGTTAAAAATCACCATATGTTGTGCAACTGGTTAATGTATGAAAATATAGTCTTTTAATAAAGATATGTTGTAGTGGTTCAGGGGACACAATGGGAAAGTGCATTTTGACTACAGTGAGGAAGGAGCGACACTGGTGATCGGCGGATCAGAGCTTTAGGCAATTGATTTTGCTCTGAAGATGGTGAAAATGAAGGGTCTACTTTTCGTAGTCGTCGAGACAGACTCCATTGATGTGATTTTCAGACTCAACTGGTCCAACCAGTCATCTATTACAGCAAACCGAAGCAAAGACGAGAGTTGAGACTTGGCGAAATGGTAAAGCTAAATGAGCTTTTGCAAAGAGGGAATGCAATAGAGGTGCCCACAGGATTGCTTACACAAATAGTACTTGGATTCTTATAAGTTTTGAATTGAAAGACTGTCTGTTTTTCTTTTTTTGTTGTTACATTCGAACTGTAATATTGTTATGGTTACATAAGGAAAAACATCCTCATATTTAAAAAAAAATAGTATTTCAAAAAAGGAATTTCACAACTACTACTGTCTATTTTTCTTTTTTTGTTATTACATTCGAACTGTAATATTGTTATGGTTACTTAAGAAAAAACATCCTCATATTTATTTAAAAAAAAATATTTCAAAAAAGGAATTTCACAACTACTGATAAGTGATAACCCATGAGATCGTGTGTATCTTCGACCACTTATGCCTTAATAGAACAATCAACAATCTACTGTGGTAACAATAATTTACTCATCAATAGCACGAATCTATCGCTTTCCTTCCGTGAACTGTAGGGATCTCACTTTCACTTTTCCACTTCCGCTGTCAAAATGAGAAAAGAGTAAAAAAAACTAATATAGGTAAATAAAAGCCAAAACAGGAAGAAGACAAAAAAAGGTCACTAGGGCACGTGAAAGCCACAGTCCCAAAACCTGCCGTTTCGAGATATTTGCTGGCCACGACACGAGCCTGCCACACGCTCCACCACCAGTACTCAATCCCTACCGTCCACATGGGCCAATCATCCAACGGCCCAATCCATTCCTCCTATATATCTTCGCTTTCTCCCGTCTTCTCTGCCACACAAGCACAACCAATCCTCTCCGCCTCTCCTCTCCTCCCAATCTCCGTCCTCTCCCAACCTTTTCCCCTCACCATTTTCTCACTGAAATACTGTCCGTCTTCCTTCAACCTTTTCACGCTCTGTTTCAGAAGCTATGGCGCTCAAGATTTCGCCCGCCTTCTCTTCCATCCTGGCCTCCCGAGCGGGAGACAACAATCTGTTTCCCTCTGTTTCCTCCACCTCCAATTCGGTCCTGCGCTTGAAGACTGGCTCCTCGCCGTCGGCGTTGGTGTGCAGGGCTGCCAACGACAAGCCTCTGACTGGGGTTGTGTTTCAGCCCTTCGAAGAGGTGAAGAAGGAGCTCGATCTGGTGCCTACAACTCCCAACGCCTCACTCGCTAGGCACAAGTTCGTTGATGACTGTGAAGCGGCCATCAACGAACAGATCAAGTATAACGCCTTCTCCACCTTTTTTTTTAACTAGTCTTTTTTCATTTTCCCTTTCATTACTTGTATCGTCTTGCGTTCTGCCTTTATGCCTTTGAGGTGTTTGTGAGAATTACCGACTTATTATTGTTAGCAAGTTTTTCTTTGTCACGATGGCTGTTTTCGCGATATTACCAGCATTCTGTTGATTGGTTGAATGGATGGTGTTGGTGATGACGAGATTTTCGTGTGCATGAGTGGCTTGGCTGGGGCTGTCTTCTTTGCCCTTTGTAGTTATGTCGTCTTGCTTTTTAGCTTTCCTTTGTCGATTATTATCTGGCCTGTAGATCTAATTGCCTGTGGAGGTGCTTTGACTCGTACACAGGCTGTTTAGGGTGCGATTCTGGAGATTGTACTGTGTTATTTTTGTGGGTTGTGGTGATAGTACTCTGTTATTGCTGACTTATCATTTGGTTAATTGATGTCACTTTCGTATTGACAGCGTGGAGTACAATGTCTCCTATGTCTACCATGCCATGTACGCCTATTTTGACAGAGACAATGTTGCTCTCAAGGGTTTGGCCAAGTATAAATCTTTTCCGTTTTTTCCAATCTCCTCTCCTCTGTCTCAATTAACTTATCTTTCCAGTCACTTAGACTAGTCTTTAGCTAACTATGATTTGGTGACAGGTTCTTCAAGGAATCAAGCGTAGAGGAAAGGGAGCATGCTGAGAAATTGATGGAGTACCAGGTATCCTCAATCGCCTGATTTCCCTTATCCTGCTTAATTTGCATACTTAAGCACACTTGGCTTTCAATTTGTTATTTCGCTTTGTTATGTAGAACAAACGTGGTGGGAAAGTGAAGCTGCAATCCATTTTGATGCCCCTCTCTGAGTTCGACCATGCTGAGAAAGGCGATGCTCTTTATGGTATGTCGTTGATTTCAACCTTTTGGGCCATCTGGGTCGAAGCTTGCACATTTTCTGCTTGAATTCGATATAATGGTAGAGGGGAGTTTTTCAAATCTAACTTGTGATAAAACTAGGATTACCAGATTTCGTGTGAAATAAATGGAACTTGGGCATCAACACTATCTAAAACCACTAAGTAACAAGAGTTCAAGAGTCGAGATATATACTTGGTCAGGTGCTCTATCTCGGAATAGGGTTAGAATGTATAATCATTGTGGTTTCTTTCTTTCTGTCATTCAGCAATGGAACTCGCCCTGTCTCTGGAGAAATTAGTGAACGAGAAGCTCCTGAATTTGCACTGCGTAAGACACTACTATTCTTTCCCCCACTGCCCCATATGTCTGTTTGCCCTTCTGCATCTTTATTCGAAAGGTGTTCGTTTAGCCTAAATGAAGGGTTACAACTTTGGATTCATCTCACTTATATCTTATTGCTACAGGTAGCCGAGCGGGCTAACGATGTGCAATTGACGGATTTTGTTGAAGGCGAGTTCTTGGCTGAGCAGGTAAGTCACTCTTCTACTAACACACTGGCACAAATGGTTTTCCTTGGCTTCCAGCATCAATGCCTGAACTTGAGGTACTCTTTGTAGGTTGAGGCGATCAAAATGATCTCTGAATATGTTGCCCAACTGAGGAGGATTGGGAAGGGACATGGTATGCTTCCTAATAAACTCACCATCGTTGTTTTCTGCCATAGACATGTGTATTTAGAACTGACATTCTGGGTTTTTGTTGAACATCAGGTGTATGGCACTTCGACCAGACCCTTCTCAATTAGGGAGCAGGAGCTGCTGCATGATGAGCAAAGGCTAGGATATCTGATCTTTTGGCAAGAGGCAGTACTTCAGAGCAATTGCGATTGGGGAATTTGTTTCCTCCACCTTTGTTTTTTGTTTTGTCTTTTTTTGGAGCTTTTTTGCTAGTTGTAGAGACTGGAACGGGGTATGGTTGTTGAACTTGGAAGAGAGGAGGTTTGTTTCTAGGTGGTGGATGAGTTATATGGAATGGTGTGCGATTGATCGTTTTGTGTTTGCATTTGGCTTTGCTTTTGCTTAAGAAAAGTTCAGCCTTGAAAAAGAAACTGATATTTCAAGCCAGAAGCCAGTCGAATCGGATTTAAGTAAGATCAAAGCTTTAATCATCTTTGGTAAACAAAGATCAATCAGTTTTAGACTGAACATAACCAGCCACCAACAAGATTTGAGTTAACTTGTGATTTCCGTTCACGGGCAGCCTGTTTCATACCACAGAGGAGTGACTGCATGTGTCTGATATGATTCGTACCTAATGAGCTTCATAATAAGTTTCAGGTTCTTCAAAAGCACTAACAGAACAGCCATCATGGATCCGACTCAATTCCATTTCACTAAAATGAAATTTTACACTGTTTAAACTCTGCATTATTTATCAAACCTGTCAATCCAAATAACAAACTAGTACATCAAGTAAACAGATATTACATTATGATACCTACACTATACCACAACATTGTGTGAGAGTAGAGGTGGCAATTAGGATCCAAATTCATGAATCCAATCCATCCACCAAATTATCCACCTAATCCAATCCATTTGATCCAAATTCAATTGGATTTGGTGGATTCATGGATCAACCCATGGATCCAAATGACAAATTACGATTTGGTACCTATATTTTGTATATTTTACCTTTTGGTACCTAAAAATTATAATTTTATACGAAAAATATCATTGGAAAATTACATTTTGATACCTAAAAATTTTCATTATGACATTTTAGTACCAAAACTTTTCAAATTTTACATTTTGGTCCAAGCTTTGGATGTCATTTGGATTTACTGATCAATCCACCAATCCATTGGATCCAATCCATGAATCTACCAATTCATTGGATCCAATCCATTTAATCCACTAATCCAATCCACGAATCTGATCCAATTGCCACCTCTACGTGAGAGACATTATAAGCAGCAGGTTTCCTGATACCCTTCACCTCTTTGTTGTTATTACTCGCAAACAAATATTAAATTGATCACGTGTCCATTGTCCAGACGTATCGAGACGGCCACCGGAGACGACAATACATAGGTGGCGACATTGAGAATAAACCGCGGCGAGAAAGCACCAACGGATCCTGGCTCTCCATTAATGATTAAACTAATCCATGCATGTTTCGTTCGTTACGTTTGTCCCACACTACCCGATCCATTGGTTTGGAGGTATTAGGACTAACTTACTCTCTAATTAGTAATTAGCAAACGCTTCTTCCTTAACGTACGACTCTACACTCATCAATTGTTTGCGTGTATATATATATAAGGGCACCCTCCGAACTCACAAATACAAACAACCCAGTTAAGAGATAGCACTCAATCAATCATTCAAAACCATATCAATGGCAGCTTCTTCCATCGCCGTCCTCGCCATCCTAATCGGGATCGTGACGACGACGACGTCGTTCGACGGTGCCAACGCGGAGGACGCCGCCCCGCCATTGTACGTGTGCAACGGCAATGTGGACGCCGGCATGACTCCATGCGTTGGCAAAATGGCAACCACTTTGATAACGAGGGATCCGAGGCGTGGCGGGAGGACGAATCAGTGCAGCGTCAACGCCACCACGACGCTCCATGCAGTGGCATACTGTTACGACATAGACTATCTCCCGCTCTGCCGGTTGTGCTTGCAACATGCTACCAAGAAGGTGATGAGCGTTTGCCCGGACCGGGTCGGGGCCCGGATCAACAACACTCTGTGTGCGTTTAGATACGAGGCTTATTCTTTCTTTTGATCGATTTTTGGCCCATGCAACAATGGGTTTCGTCGACCGACCGGCGACTTTATTCACAAGGATTGATGCCAAAAGCTTATAATTAGCTTTCATCGATCATGAAATTGATACTATACCTATCTAGTTTCTCAAGTTTCATGTGTTTTGCTGTATTTTTTCCTTTTGTTTCTGGGCACATGCATATGGATTTTGTATGTGTGGTGATGAGCTTTTGCTCGATTTTTCTATCATGCACTTCTCATATTTTTCTCGATTTTGAGTAATATCTATTTCATTTATCAGTTATTAGTATATGCTTGAATTTTTTATTTGGATTCAGGAATTAGGGGTGACAATTGGATAACATTTACGAATTCGTGATGAGCTGGATTTAATGACTTGAGATCTTCATTCGTTGACTAGTTAAGTGGAATCGCAAATTTGAGTGAAATAACAATTTACAGTACTCCTTATTTCAGTTTGAATGATTTATAATTTATTTAACACTTAACAACAAGAAAAATAGCTTGCAAGTTGATATCATGGAAGCTCAATAGCTCATAAAGTCCTTGAGCTATTGAAACTAATAATTTAGATGATAGAGTTACGTTTGTAAGTGATGTTGATTTTTCGGGTAGAATATCTCGGGTACAACTAAAGTATGAGAATTGGCGGAGCTATACCACTTAAATAAGAATAGGGCATCGCGTACCATGCACTGAACTCTATTATATGTGCACCCGGTATCAATTAAGTTTACTGCTAAGTGCATTACTTTAAAGTTAACAGGATATTCTTGAAATATCCATTTTCTAAATTTCATAAGTGGTCTTTCTTCTTATCTTATTGTAAAAAAACCATTTAGACTTATGAAAATATTATATTTTATTGTTTATTTGGGATCCTCTTTTCAATACTTGATACCAAACCAATTTTTGAATATAAAATTTAGAATCAATTATCATTATAAGTATTTTCAATTATCATTAGTTCAATTTTCTAATATTATATTGTAGATGTCCCATATTATTTAAATTTACTAATTCTAATTCTCTTCCTATAGTCAAATTTTTTCTTTCTACATTTTTTTACCGAATGTTGTAGCTTTTATAGTTTATTTATTACTTGGTTATTTTTCGTTCTAATTTTTTTTCAATTATTGAATATATTTAATTCTTTCTGATTGCGTTCCGTTTATCCTTGTTTGGTTTTGATGTATTGGTGATCAATTATATTCTATTTTAACTATTTCTAATGGTGCTTCTAATTGAATTAGGTGGTTTAAATATATAATATACTATTAATTTTAAATATTTACTATTACATTCTAGTATATTTATTATTATTTTTTTATATTCGTCTATTACTTTTACTAATTTATTGGAAAATTTTGACTAGTCATTCTAGTAATAATATATTTAGAAGGTTTTTTCATTTTTGTATTAGTTAAAACTTGTTGAAATAGTTTTGAATGTTTTTAAAAAAATTTGGGTACCAAAAAATACTTAAAAGTTTGTGTTGGATAGAAAAGTAGACAGATACACAACTTTAATGGTACCCGACGCCTTATTCAAATTTAAGTTGACTATCTACCATAATTTTCAAACTTAAATATTACTCGGGCTATTTCCCCCTTGATTTGATTTCCCCCTTGATATTTACAACTTAGCTCAATATCCTAAATTGCTGTACAACTCCTAAATAAAACGTATTGGTGTCGCCTGATGTTGCTAAACATAATTTTAAAGTTTAAACACAATCATGATAATGTTCCAAATATTTATAATCACCATTGCTCTAATTAAATCCCGCCAAGCCCTTTGGCGGTTTGTCTAACCCCATTTTGTACTCCAACCAAAAGCACCCACAATCTCAGTTCCTCCCGGCAAAACCTTCAATCGCACTCCCCACAGAAATGGAACACTGTGCTCTCTGCATCCCTTCCCTATTCTGCTTGATTCTCGTTGTTTCGAGTTCTTCGCCGCCGCAGTGGAAATCCTTTCCAAATCCAAGGCCTAGCGGTGCGAGTAAGGCTCCGATTCCGAAGAGCTCAACTGCACTCGTATCGTCCTCAACATGGCGGCTCCCAGCGGCGCCGTAAGTAAAATTCGGTTTTCATTCAATCGCGTTAACCGATTGCAGAATTTCATACGTTCAAGTCTCGTTTTCACTTGTTTGACCCTTTCCAGTCGATCGATGTTCTGAACTGTGGGAATTTTGACTGGTTTCGGTTTGTTAAGAGTGGGAGAGAGTCGTCGATCGTCGCTGAAATCGTAGAGGTGGAGGAGAATTCCACTGATTACATGCAAACACTGCGAAGGCCGCCTGTGATAACGATCCACAGATCTCCTGCTTATGCCATTTACCAGCTGATACATAATATTCGGGTAATGTAGGGTTGTTAATTCACTAGTGAACAAGCAAGGTTGATTGGCTCTTATGGAGTCCTTTAGTTTGCGTTAATTGACATTTGGAGCTGTGTCTGTTGCATGACAAATGGCCAGGATGTTGCTTATAGACCTGTCAGAGTATTCTGTCAAGACGCGAAAATGCGAGCCAGATGCGTTGAAGGAATGTGTAAGGCATGTGATCCTATCTTGCTAATGATTCAAAGTGTTACTGCTTCAATCTGTTTGGCTGCTTGTTTTCTAGCTGTTGTGTGAAATTAGATCAATCTGGTGCCCTATGCGAGATTTTCTGCCAGATGACATGGGAAATGAAAATATTGCTTGCAAGTTCATGGTTAAACATAATGCCACCAATTAATGTGTTTCTTTATTCGCTATGGACACTCTATAACTGGGGATTGAGATTAGATGTCCACTAGTAAGCCGCTTCCTACATTTCTGTTGAATGCAGGATGAGATTGGTCATGTTATTGAGCATTCAGAGGTAACGCTCTCTGTAGATAGCTTTAACAATCTTTGCATGTAGCAGTCTGTTCAAGATAAAGAAAAGAAGAATGGAAAATTCATGACAGAAGTTTTTTGGGAAAATAACATGTGTTTTTCGGAAATTACATAGGTTCTCTTTCTAGTTATAATCCTAAGACTTTTTTTTATCTCTACTTGTTCTGTTCCTTTGATATCGTCCCTTTTGGTCAGCCACTATGTTGTCCTTCTGGTCGCTGTAGGTGAGTACATTCATCATGCAGCAACTTCTTCCAGTTTAGTATCCAAATTTAACAGCACAATGGAGATTTCAATTTATTGAAAGAGTTACCGTTGATCAGTTGATAAATTGGCGAAAGGAGAGGCGAATATAGCACATTGTGTCAGATTCCGGGTGATTGGTATGATCCTTAGGCTGCATGCGTTTCTTCTTCTGAAACCTTTTGTTTTACATCTCTTCAGTTTTATGCACAGGGAAAACAGAAACAAGCTATGGAACAAACAATCTTTTACCTTGAATGAATTTGCAGTGGCCATCATTTACCCTGATAGTGACTATATATAGGATCAAATCTGCAATGAAGTCACGCATTTCAACTTGGCAGAGCTAGACATATGTTGTTATGAGTATTTTGAACCTTTGAATTAGACGGCCTATAGTTTTGCGCAGGAGGAATTGTGCAGGTTTTGGAACTTGTCCATTGGATGATTATGATTTCTATAGCTTGCAGAGAAACCCTTTCTACCGGCCTTTCTTTAGACCCGACTTTTGAAATCAGAAGAAACTCCTTTCATTTCCGTGACCTGATTTTGCTGGTCTTTCTGTTTTCATATTGATTTCTTTTATAAATTCTTAGGAGCCTAATATTAGTATGTAACTACTAATATCATGCTATTTTTTTAGGTTCCTTGTTTTTGGAATTGGTCAGAGGTCAGTTGGATTTAGTATTCAAATTGAAGTGAAGGTGGGATCCAAGGTCTCGGTATGTCATTTCTATCTACTTGCTCTATTCAATTTGTATGACAGCCAAAGAAACATGTCTGAAAAACCAACTTTATATCGTTGCTCTACCATTGCATCCGAGTCATATCTGTCGGGCCTGATTTAGGAGGAAAATGTGTGCTTAAATGATGTCTAGCAGTCTTGAGATAAATAAGAATAGTATTTGGTAGCAAAATATAACTTTCTGGCCTAGGCGTTTCCTGCTGCAAGCTCTTCCAGTTGGCTTGCCTTTACAAAGAAAATACTTAAGCTCTTCATCAGATGGCTACTTAAGTGGAATCGTAAACCTTTGTCGTGTTTGTAAAGTAGATGTCTTTGTTGTCCTATCTCATACACAGATATCCAATCATCACCTACTCTTCTTTTCTTTTACAGGAAGTGATCTTGGGCCCTATAAACAGAACAGCTACATCGGAGGACAAGTTTCTAAGGGTTATTCTATTTGGAGATTTTGTTGGATACTCTAGCATTCCTTCCTTTGAAGACCTTTACCTCGTGCTTCCATGACAGGTATTCATTCTTGCTACATTTAAATTGTACAGTTATGGTCCCATCTGTCCCTTTTTTATTACTCTCTCCATGCCTCTGCAATGAAGTGAGCTATACCGGATTGCTGTAAACACTAGTTCGGGAGCAAGAATAAGTGGTTCTGATGAAAATTATTGAACAAGTCATTTGAGTTCTGATGTTGTGTCCTGAAAGCCATATTAGCTTGTTAATTTCCATAATTAGGAAACCAATATGATACAGAGATGAATAGGCTATTCTCTTTTCTGAATTTCTTGGCGTGCTTCTGAGAGGAAGTTCTTATTCTATTGGTCTTCCTCTTGTGATTACAATTTCAAATACATACCAAACTTTCTAGAGGAGATTCCGAAATGCAGCCAGCTAGATCAGATGAATAGTCCTGAGTTAAAGAGAAGAGGGGTGAGTAATATCGAATCGATCCAATGTGTATGGTTTAAGGGCCAGTAATTGGCTTGGCTTGCGCTGTTAGCTCTCTCTTTTCTGACAGGAAGTTGTGACCTCTCTCGTTGCTTTATTTCTGCTCTACCTCACTATTCTGTAGAAGCCATTTTCTACCACATTGCTTAAGCTAATATTTGGAGGCAAGTGAATGTTGGATAAAAGGAGAGTATGTTAACTGTTTAAAGCATACCTTTCTCGGCCTTTTGGCTAAGATCAAGTGTAGTATCTGTTCTTATCAGTTTAATATCTGATACGTGGGCCAATGGCCCACACGATATTAAATTAATTTTTATAGGGGGAGAAACCCACCACTGGAGCTTGCTCCAGGGGCTTCTCGTGTGTCGCCCATGCGTTGCACTATTGCACGGGCCTGGCGCACCCCACCAATTCTAGTAAAATATTAGCTTGTGCTAATCTGGAGCCCAAAATAAGAACATATGAGTATTGTGTATACCTCTGGAATGTTTAAATCGTCGAGTTGAATGCAGTTAACTTAGGACGTGCAAGAACATTGCTGTGTCTATGTTTTCTAGGATGAGCTTGTAGTTACTTCTCTTCGTCACATGTATGTGCTGTAAATATGAAGCAGCTCATAGTTGATATGTGTTTTGGAAGGAGGGTTCTCGTCACTGAGAAGAACTGGGGACAAATTTTTCAATGTGGATGCTTGAGAGAGTAAAGATTAACGCTGGATCCAATAAATTTGGCATCACTTATGAGGCTTTCAATGGAAAATCAGATTTTCGTGCCTCACTATATTGGAGTTGCTTACATAATCAGTTGTGGAATTGATAGAATTGAGAGCAGATAACATAGAGTTTGTCTACCAAAATTTTGCTTCTCGTTTTGTTCCTGGCATGATGTTAGAATTTATGCTGAAATTTTCTTTTAGTCCACACTATTTCGTCATCACATCTGCAATATTTTTCATCGTCAAAGGTCCAGATTAAGGTTTTTTAAGGCTACCACAGTAATGTGATTGTAACCTGTAACTACAAATTATAAAAGGTACAACATTGCTGAAGTATGACTATCATAAAACTGTTGCCTTTACATGTGTTTGGAATTTCATGAACTCTGTTCAATATGCATGTATTCTGAAATTTCCATTTACAGGAGCCCAGGGAAAATTGTGGGGTTACAGTTCCCACATTTGAAGCCCTAACTTAGTTCGCAACTGCTATAGTTACCGCTAAGAATACAGGGAAAGTGGAAACATCATACAGTTTAGCGGTAGAATCCACCCTACCTCTGCAGTTATTTTATCATGCAACTCACAATACTTATGGCAACCGTTATTTTCCCATTGTTTAAGTAAACTTGCATTATCCTGAATTGAAATCCATTAACCATTAGTTCCCAGCTAGACTTGGTCAATTTAATCAAATCTTATTTTTCTCCTGGTCCAGTAAGTTCCTGGTTTAAGATAACCTGGTTGCTGCTTTGACAAATTGCTCCGTGTCTTGCAGTGTTACTACTCAAAAGGCGTTTCCCTTAAGGAGGTACCTTCAAAAGTTCCAGTCTTCTTCCTTCATATGACTCATAACAGTTAAAAAGTTTTGTGAGCATAACTCTAGCATTCCTTCTTTGAAGACATTTACCTCGTGCTTCCATGACAGGTATTCATTCTTGCTTGGCTTCACTTGAATTGTCCAGGTATGGTATTCAATTTCCCTCTGTCCCTTCTTTATTATTCTCTCCATGCCTCTGCAATGAAGTGAGCTATACTGGATCGCTGTAAACACTAGTTCAGGAGTAACAATAAGTGGTTTTGATGAGAACAATTGAACGAGTCATTTGAGTTTTGATGTTGTCCTGAAAGCCATCTTTGACGATGAAAAATATTGCAGATCTTTTTAATTCCTATAATTAGGAAACCCATATTAGACACAGATGAATAGGCTACTCTCTCTCTCTCTCTCATTTCTTGGCGTGCCTCTAGAGGAAGTTTTTATTCTATAGGTCTTCCTCTTGCACAATTTCAAATACATACCGAACTTTCTGTAGGAGATGCCGACCTATACAGGGAAATAGAAAGCAAGGGCAGCCAGCTAGATCAGATGAATAGTCCAGAGTTAAAGAGAAGAAAGGTGAGTAATTAGCAATCCTACGTCTAAGGTTTAAGGAACAGTAATTGGGTTTGCTGAGCTATGAGCTCTCTTTTTTTACAGGAAATTGTGAGCTTTCTCGTTTCTTTATTTCTGCTCTACCTCGCTATTCTTTAGAAGCCACTTTCTACCACATCCCTTAAGTAATATGTGGAAGCAAGTGGATGTTGGATAAAAGGAGAGCTCGAACTAATGTTTAAAGTATACCTTTCTCGGCCTTTTGGCTAAGATCAAGTGTAGTATCTGTTCTTATCAGTTTAATATCTGATACGTGGGCCAATGGCCCACACGATATTAAATTTATTTTTATAGGGGGAGAAGTCCACCACTGGAGCTTGCTCCAGGGGCTTCTCGTGTGTCGCCCATGCGTTGCACTACTGCAAGGGCCTGGCGCACCCCACCAATTCTAGTAAGATATTTAGTTCGACATATTGCAATTTCTATGTTTCTATAACGTGCTTGCGGTTCCTTCAATTGGTCATATCATATGTGATGTGGTGTAGTATGAAGCAGCTCATTGTTGATATTTGTATAATTGTATTGGAAGGGGGGTTCTCGTCACCCACAAGAACTGGGACTAAGATTTACGCTGGATGGTGTTGCATTCAATAAAATTGGTGTCACTTAGGAGGCTTTCAATGGCAATCAGATTTCTATGCCTCACTATACTGGAGTACTTTGCATAATCAGATTTCTATTCCTTTCGATCTGATGTTTCATAATCTCCTTCTGTTGCTTGTGCAACTTTTATCAAGCTACTGAGCTGTTTCAACTGAGATTTGTCATCTGGGACAGGCTGATCAAAACCGAAAATCTAGGAAGCAGCAACCTTTATATCTTGTTGAAGGAAAGGTATAAAGGGTGAATGAGCATCCAGTTAAGTGTTGATGCTTATACCCTGATATTCATTTTTATCCCCACGAGTCATAACTTGTGTTTACAACTTTTCCCAATCTGAGTTGAGCATGAAGGGACTTGTATGTCCTCCATCAGAATAACTGAGGTTTTTAACGCAAACCTGTTGATGGAATTAAGAGCAGACGATATCTTCCAAATGTTTGCTTCTCGCTTTGTTTCTGGCATGATGTTAGAATTGATGCTGAAATTTCCTTTTAGTCCACACTGTTTCCTCATCATATCTGCAATGTTTTCCTTCATCAAAGGTCCAGATTAAGGTTGTACGTTTACCACAGTATGCGATTGTTACCTGTAACTACAATTTATAAAATATTCAACATCGCTGAAGTATAACCATTGTAAAACTATGGTCATCATATGTGTTTGGAGTTTCATGACCTCCGTTCAATATGCATGTGTTCTGATGTTTCCATTTACAGGAATCCCAGGGGTAACTGTAGGGGTCACAGTTCCCACATTTGAAGCCCTAACTCAATTTAGAACTGTTAGAATTATTGCTAAGAATACCGGGATTGTGGAAGCATCATAAAGTTTAACGGTAGAATTCACCCTTCCTCTGCAGTTATTTTATCATGCAACTCACAGTGCTAATGACAACTGTTATTTTTCCATTGTTTCAGCAAACTTGCACCATCCTGAATTGAAATCCTCAATCAATACGTTCCCAACTAGACTGGGTCAATTTAATCGCATGTTATTTTTCTCCTGGTCTAGTAAGTAGCTGGTTTGAGATAACCTGATTGCTGCTTTGACAAATTGCTCCATCTTGTAGTTTGGCTGCTTGAAAGGCGTTTCCCTTATTGAGGTACCTTCCTTCACAAGTTCCACTCTTCTTCCTTAATACGACACATGACAGTTAAAAGTTTTATGATCATAACTCGAGGGCTGATGACTCAGGAGGAATTCTTCATCATGAAACCAAATGAAGTCGCTACTCAATGATTTAAACTATACCCAACAATTGATCAAGCTGCAAGTTATGCATGCTCAGGTAATTACAGTACCAGCAGTGTCCATTATAAAATTTCAGTTTATCATGAGTACTAATGTGAGGTAGCATCCGGTTTTGATTCTTAGTGTTTCTTTTTAGTGCAGCTATTCTGAAGCACTCTAATTTCAATCAAGTGGACCGAGCCGATTGCCAATTTTATATGACAGCTACTACTATAGACAATGGGTCTCAGCCTCTCAGGTTTGCCTAGTTGATTAAATCTTTTTGTTTATCCATCAATTCATTCTCTTAGCTTAGTTCCGTAAGGCGTTAGATATGATCTGACGTCACTGTAAAAAGTCTGAAGTAAAGGAACTAGATCCTGTGAGTGCTAAAGCGAAAGGAAACAGTTCCATATGCAATTCACTTACGAAGTAGTTCTATACATGTTTGGGTATTTTGGTAAGAATGAGACTCGATCTTATCAAATGAATTTGATTAATGTGGTCAGTGCATCTATCTGTCTAGATATGCGATTTCCCTCTTTATTATATTCATCAATCTGGAACACTCTTAACTATATATTGATCAATCTGGACAGCATGTGTCAATCCTGAAAGTTTGTCAATTTAGGTGAACTGAAGCAATTGCATGGCATTTTCACATGACAGAGTGATTCAATTATGAAACTTTTGTAGATTGGTCCCTTCATACCACCAAATACAGAACGGAATCGGTTCCCGGAGTCTATTAAAAGCATGCGGAACAAACTGTGGGATGGTTTGTTAGACTTCATCATGGGAAGAACTTGCAGGTACATAATCTGGAGTGAGATGTAGTTGAAACATATATTTCTTTTATGTGGAGTATATTGAAGACATATGCAATCTTGCTGTGAATGCCTCTTGAGCAGATTTATCTGTCGAGCATCTCTGGAACACATTTGTTAGTAGTCTTTCATGGTCTTTCGTATTATATTTTTGTCTGATCTTAAGTATTGAAAAACCAACTATAATTGTGATTGCAGTTCTTGTGCTAATCTGGCTTCTACATCAAAAAGGTTTCTTTGATCCTCTTTATGATTGGTCGGAAGATCATCTTGGGCATGAGAAGCACCAGACAATAAATGTGCAATCATTCCTATATCTAAGGCTTTAAGGGACAGCAATTGGCTTTGCCTGCGCTGTGAGCTCTCTCCTCTCTTTATTTCTACTCTACCTCACTATTTTTTAGAAGCCACTTTCTATCTACCACATAGGTTATGCTAATATGTGGAAGCAAGTGGATGTTGGATAAAATGGGAGATCGGACTAATGGTTAAAGCATACCTTTCTCGGCCTTTTGGCTAAGATCAAGTGTAGTATCTGTTCTTATCAGTTTAATATCTGATACGTGGGCCAATGGCCCACACGATATTAAATTAATTTTTATAGGGGGAGAAACCCACCACTGGAGCTTGCTCCAGGGGCTTCTCGTGTGTCTCCCATGCGTTGCACTATTGCACGGGCCTGGCGCACCCCACCAATTCTAGTAAAATATTTGTTGACTGCGTTTTTTCTTGTAATAATTGCAAGCTCTTAATTGCCGAACTGGATGCCAGTGTTGTTGTGGGACGTTACTGTTTCTAGGTATCTCCAATGAGTTTACAGCTGCTTCAGTTCGTCATATGTATATGCTGTAATCTGAAACCTTTCATCAAGCTACTGATCCTTTTCAACTGAGAAGTGTCATCGGATTCAATCTGAGGTTAGCATGCAGGTGCTCATAAGTTCTCCATCGTAATAACTGAGGTTCTTACCACAAACCTATTGATAAATTAAGAGCAGATGACATAGAATTTGTCTACGAAAGGTTTGCTTCTCGCTTTATTTCTGGCATGATGTTAGAAACTTAGAATTGATGCTAAAATTTCCTTTTAGTTCCCACTATTTCTCATCGCTTTGTTTCTGGTATCATGTTCATTATCTTAGCTTATGAAGTTCCATAAAATCATATTTGGAACATGGTAGAGATGATCTGACCTCACTGTGAAAAGTCTGAAGGAACTAGATTCTGTGTGTGCTAAAGTCGAAGGAAACAGTTTCATTTTGGAAATGAATTGAGAACTTGGCCTGGGTGAACAGATAGTTCTCCGCACGTTTGGGAATTTTGGGCTCTGTTTCATAAGAGTTAGTTGTATTTCTGACTGAAACTGTACTTTATGTGTCTAACCATATATTCACTAACCCAAGAATGATCTTTCCACATAGAGCAGCCAGTAAGCACAAAACCTCTTTCGTCCATGGGAGTTGGAGCCACTGATCTGCAATCATGGTATAGAAAAATAAGTTTGATGCTAAGAATGAGACTCGTAAACAAATGAACTTTGATCAGTCTGGACTCTGGACAGCATGTGTCAATCCTGAAAGTTTTCCAATTTAGGTGAACTGAAGTAATTTAATGGCATTTTCATAAGATAAACCTCAAACTTGCAATGTTCTAGGATGATTTTGCTAATGATGAGTATCGTCTTGCTGGTATCAGAAGGAAATGCGATGGCTTCTTTGATTTTAAATGCCACATACAGTATATATGCATGTGTCGGATGATGATGTTTGGTTTACTTCTAGCTATTTTCCTGACAGCTGAAGCCTTTCATATTATAATTTGTGTCTGATCTTAAGAATTGAAACAAGACTTGAATATTTTGGCGTTAACAACGATAACAACTATAATTGTGATTGCAGTGCTTGTGCTGATATGGCTTTCACATCAAAAAGGTTCATCATGGGCATGAGCTGCATCGGACCAGAAATATGCATAGACGCTACAGTCATGTTGAGAAACACCATGATCATACACATTTAGAGATCAGCTTTTAGGAATGTGGAATGGCAAGGGACGCGGTACTTTGACGGCTTGACAAATGGTGAAATATATGATCACCCAGCTCAATTTGCCATCTTGATCAGAGAAAATAGTTGGACTTGATTGAATCTTACTCGAAGTCTAGAACGGATGATGGCAGAATAACTTTACCGTCACATTTTGCCTCCTTTGTCTTCTGAAACACCATTGCACTCAGAGGCAAGAAATTAACTGAGCATCAACACACTTCAGGGCATTTGGCGGTGGCGTGAGATTTTGTGTTGGTACAGAATTTACTAATGTCCAGATTGCAACTCTTCTACACTACTTGATCACAAAGTACAGGTAGAACAAACTTTCTCTATCATAGTTTCATTAACAGGCAGAAAGACGAGGAGGCTGACCTTTTTAGGTGGAAACCGACGAAATGTTGTCCTGTACCTCTGGTTTACAGTTGCCTGATGGATATCATGTTCAAATACTGGAAAGGGATACATAACGTAATCTCTACAATAATGCAGGATAATGGCGGTCTGCCTAGAGAACCAGAATTACAAGAATTTTTGTCCATGGCTTCTTAACGGTATGGTGGTTGAACCAACGGGCATAGCGGTGGTTGAACCGACTTTAACCTTGACCAGTGAGACTATTTGTCCATGAGAGGAGAAGAAGGGTTGGTTGGAACCTTGACTCTTGGATTGGTGGGCCGCGAGAATTTCCGGACCTTGTTCAACTGGTTTGGCCAGAGAAAAGTTATTAAAGCATACTTGATAAACATGCACCAATTTGAAGACTGGGAGGATTTTATGCAACACCATATCATCTTATTTTCTTCTATGCTTTGTCCCCCGCCCGAATGGCTTGTATGTGACAAAGGATTCCGTATCGAAGATTATACCGGTAATGTCGGTAATATGCTATTTTATATTGAAATTGTGACTCTAAACAATCTCTTTTATAATACTTCTAAAATAATAAATAAAGACAAAAGGCGTATAGAATACAAGATGTGAAGGACTTCATGACATCCTTTGTGGTAGGATTCCTACCGGAGACCAGCACTGGCTGGACTGTCCTTAATACTTGAGCCAATCCCCATTGCTTCCTTCCCATTTTCGACTAAAGAATGGGCTTGTAGAAGATCATTGAGTTAAGTATTTAGGGAGGGTGAATCAAACCACTTACTCCTTAGAGAGTGATGAGGGCTAGTGTGATGTAAGCTAGCGGAACTCGTGAAATCGGACACAAGGGCTAATCAAAATTCAGGAGGACGGAATACGGTGACAACCCCTTAAGGGGTTGTCAGATTCACAACCCACTTTATAGCTCTTGGATACGCTCTCTCTCCTGTCTCTTTCTTCTTTGTTTAAATTAACGGTTAAGATTAAAGAAAGGGTATTTTTGGAAGGGTAAAAATTTTGCCACACTCAATCATTCACCCTACCATATAAAAAGAAAAAAAAATCTAACTCCTCCATTCTCCCTCTCTCTCACAGAGCCCTCCGCCGCCACAGCCCTCCACCGCCGGCGTTGGCGCCCTTGTCTCCTGCAGCCGCCTGTCGAGCCTTCCACCGTCGTCGTCTCCGCCATCCTCAGCCTCCCTCCACACCCTGTTGTTGCAAATCTCTCCCGTCGGCCCGTCGCAACGTCCGCCTCCCACCACCGCGGCACAATCATCCTCTCCCCGTCGGAGCCCTCTCGCCGCCCTGCGTCTCCCACCACTGCCGCCGTCGCGAGGTCACCCTCTTCCCCTACCTCTCTCTCCCGTCACCGATTCCCCTTTTCTATATCTGGTTTTTTAGTGGTACCATTTTTCTTCTGGTAGCGTACCAGTGATAGTGGTACCTACCACTATCATAAGGTAGCTGGTAGTGGTAGCGTACCACTATCATCTGTTTTTTTGTGTTATTCTCTACTGGTACCGCTACCAATGCTAGTGGTAGCGCTATCAGTGCTAGTGGTACGATACAATATGGTAGTGGTAGCGCTGTACTGGTAGCGTACCACTAGTACTGGTACATTTTTAACGCACTGGTAGCGTACCACTAGCACTTGTATATTAATTACCAGTAGAATAATGGATTGGTACACTTTTTAACGCACTGGTACATTTTTCAGGTTGCCGGATGGAGTCTGCCGGAGAGAATTCGCCGGAGAAAAAGTATGTCCGTCGATGCGGAGTGACCACTGGAGAAAGAAAGAGAGAGATAGATAGAGATATTAATGTATATGATTTAAATTTTTTAAAAAATTGTATTTAATATGGGTTTTTAATTCCCAATATAATTAATACAAAAAAGGTAATTAATATATTCCTTTTTTTCATACCCAAAATACCCTTGATTGTGAATCTGACCCCTAAGGGGTTGTCACCGTATCCCGTCCCTCAGAATTCAACCATCTGATACCACTAAAATCATCAATCAGTTTAAATTTAAAAATAAAGAATTTTATGATCGAATACGATTTCACAAACACGGATACAAATACCGGTGCTAAGCCTTGGGTTCAGACTTTTTCCACATCGATGATCGGGCTAACATTTGCTGACAGCTGTAAATAGATACAAGATTCAATTGCATTGCAGAGACCGAAATGTGAACAATTAATCCAGCGATTAACACATACGTACGCAACCCACCCCCCAATCTTAATGACGCACCCAAACCCATTTTCCACGTGCATGAACAACAACAACAACAAACAAACAAACAACGGCCACTACATATCTCATCCGCGCATCGGCAGGCAAATACTGAACAAACACACAAACCCAACCCAACCAATTAATCGATCTCGTCAAAACTATACATCTCATCCGCATCCACTATGGCATTTCCCAAGGCGGCGGCCACCGTAATAATCGGGATGATAACATTAATGTTGGTGCAGGGCTGCGGGGCCGGTGTGGTTTCGGAAGCTTTGTGCAGCGGCACCCTGGACCCGGCCGTCCCTTTATGCACCAGAAAATTGGCCGCCGAACTCGCGGCCGGCGGGTACGGCGATGTCGACTACAACGAACGAGAGCAGTGCTACGTGAATCCCGGCAGAACCGTGTACGCCCAGGCGACATGTACTGGTGGCACTAGTAGTCCTGCCTGCGGGGAATGCTTGAGCGAGATCACCGCCCAGTTGTTTAATTCCTGCTCCGATATGGCCATCGGGGCTCAGGCCCACAGCTCCGGTTGCACCTTTCGCTACGAGATTTCTCCTTTCTAGCTACCAACTTTGCAGAAAGGAGAAATGATATAGCGTGTTTCAAGAAAGGAGAACGTTGAATAAAAGCTTTGGACTTTATATTTGTGCACTTCAGATTGTATGGGAACAAAGACTTTACAAAGGGTTTGAATTTTGGGATCAATAATTATCTTTTTTTAGTTACGTGAATAGGAATAAACGTTTTTTATTTACGCGCGATAAATGAATGGTATGGTATGAGGAATTGTAACAGATCAATTTGACACAATTGTTCCGTTTTGAGACAATTATACCAAATTGCTTCGTTTGCCAACAAAAAATTTGGATGGATCAATCTGCCTGAGGTATTTTGAATTGACCCGTTTTGAGTCAATTTCAATTACCTGGGTGGGGCAGGTAATTCGAATTGACTCGTTTATAAAACGAGATAATTGATCAAATTGACTCATTTCTAGATTGATCCATCAAAACGATCCTAATTGCATGTGTTTCAAGAGGGCAATGTGGTGGCCGATTAATTGACATCGGTTACTGATAGGGGTACAGACCGGCCTCCAAGTCCCATTTTTAAAGTACTGATTGTATTATGACTTGACTTTCATACCCCGCGACTTGTTAATACATAAAGATTAGAGCGTCTTTAGTGTTGTATTTCTGGAAGAAAAAAAAAAGCCCTCCTAACTAAATGGACTTTATTCATGTATGGTCAACCAACTTCAATTCCCTCACAAAGATATATGTTTATCACTTCAAGAAAAAGAGAAGTATACGCTAAAGGAAAAATTATCATTTAATCACGAGAAACCTATATTTAAGAATGTGTTTTCCATGAATTTTAGTCACGGAGAATAATATAAATCCCTATTGACTAATTATAAAGCTCATGAAAAATATGTCCTCTAACTATTTATAAATAGTCACGACATTGTATTATGCGATAATTTATATCTATTAATCACGCAAAAAGCGTGACTAATACCAACTTTTGGAGTATAAATCTTCAAACAAATGTTTAGTGACGAAATGTACACTTTTGAAGACGGTGTTTACCGTCATTAACGATACATGTTTAAGATGTTATTTAATGTGAAAAATGACTCTCATGACTAGTTGCCAATTAGTGGTCTCAGGTAATGTAACTTTACCACCACATTTATAGCGACAACAATTCCCGTGCTAATTGCAGTGTCCAATTGGTATATACAACGTCAGGCTGCATTATGTTTAGGGCTGGAGATCGGTTCGGGTCCTAGTACCCGGACCCAAATACGCGGGTACCCGGACCCAAAAAATGTCAGTTTGAGGAACCAGACCCGACCCAGACTCGGTTCTTGGGTACCCGAGACCCAAAGTCACGGTTCTCGGGTATGGTTCGGTCACCCGAATACCCATAAGACACCGAAGACAACCTGTTACAGCAGCTCTCTTCCTCCCACCTGCTCGTTCCATGCTTGCTGAAGGATGACAGAAGGTTGGTCGGCGATTTGTTGATTGTTGATGGATGATAGTCGGCGATTTGGTGAAGGATGATTGTAGGAAGGTTTTTGTCTGCGTCTCTGCGAGAGGGAAGTGGGGAGTGGCCGCTGGGAATGGGAAGGTCGAAGGGGAAGATGAAGCTTAGGGTTAGGGCGTTAGGCTGATGAAGGCTGATGAAGGTTGGGCTGTCGGGGTCGGGCTGAGGAGTGAGGGGGGGGGGGGGCGAGGGCCTTAAGGATGGGCTGGGCCGCTGGGCCATATAATATTTGGCATGTGGGCTGGGGTTCGGTTCCACTTCGGGTCCTTCTATTTTCGGGTCCGGGTTCGGTTTACCCAAAACCCGAAAAATAGCCAGATGCGATACCGAGACCCATTTTTCACAATGATATTTCGGTTCTCGGGTACCCAAAACCCAGAATTTTTGGTCCGATTCCGGGTTACCCATAAACCCGAACCCGAACATCCAGCCCTAATTATGTTAAAGTACTAATTCCCTAAGCATTTATCACTGCGGATTGCATTTTAACATATTTCATGTCCTGAGGGTCAATCACCATCCCGATCCAACATTTAGTAGCGGGCCTCCTAAACGTCAACAAATCATCGTCATTCTATACATATTTTCTGATGAACCGATCAAAAATGGACCACCCTTTTTCCAACTAGCTAGTTTTCATCCATACTATAAAAATGTAAGAGTCGTCGTATTAATTTTCACGTCGATCAAACAACCAGGAGACTTCACTTCATCCAATATCCCTCAACCCTAAAGAAAGCAACTAATTAAGATCACATATTTTGTAACGAAGATTATATAAATACGCGGCCGGCCGGCCAATGGAGAACAATTGTAGCTAGCTACCTACTAACACTAACCGCACGCAATCTCCAACGGTAACGTCGTACTTTTGTCCTCGATCGGATATGATCAAATTAATCTAATGCTATATTGAAACCTATTTTCCACGTGCATAAAACACGTAAAGCATCAGTGCGAGGATTGCTTGCTGGTTCTCCATATTTGATCAATTGCAAATCCTATGTGACACTGAATATGCAATTGTAAAAGGGATTGCACTTAATGTAGTGGCCACTTGTAAAGATGCAAACTTGCATTAAATGAAATTGAAGATGCAAGCCACATAAAAAAATATAAAAAATAAAATTTTATTTTTCTCTCTTGATATTTTATTTATTTATTATAAACCATCATATATGCAATTGCAAGTGAATTGCATTGATATAGGTGGAATGAAATAAAGATGAGTTGGATTGCATAAAATTTTTTAAAAAAAATCATAAAAACATCATTTGCAATTACATTGATGGAGATGCTCTAAGGAGCTCTTTGATTCGTGTACTTATGATGCGGTCGGCGATCAGATCAACGACACTGATTGCTCCTTTAGGTACGACATGGTTCCTTTCTACTCGTAGAAACTAGAAAGTGGTTGTTTACCACTAGATAGTGGAGAGGACGATCGGAGTGGGGAAAATCATCAGGTATTTGAGCAATAAATGAATTTTTTTTTAATGATGAAAATAATGAGGTGAAAATTTTGAGATATTTTATTTTATTTTTTTTTAATTGCCACGTCATATATTTAACAGTAAACTTGATAAGCTGACTGTCATATAAATAAAAGTTAACGGAGTTGAACGGAGAGTGACCAAACTTGACATTTTTAACAATTTCAGTGATCACAAATGAAATAAAATATTGTTAGTGATCAAACTGTAACATTTTTTAGTAATCGCAGTGACAAGTCATTGCATTTATCCAAATAATGTGCCTATGAGAATAACGGTTCTCTCTTGTATGAGAAAAGATTCAAACATCACGAAATGCTCACAATAACCTATCCAAGTTGACCAAAATCATAACGTTAATCTAGATCCATACAATAAGGGCCTGTCAAGGGATCAAGTTAAGACAGTACCATTTACATCACCCCAAAACGAACGATTTTCTTAATCGCTCACACTAAAAGTCAAATGCAGAAACTGGAAACTGGCTTTTCCCTAATCCCTAAATACTTTCCTTCGAAACAACCTGGGAGCTGGTTTTTTCCTTGGCTTGATAACCCGTTTCCCGGGCTTGTCACCAACTGCTGCCTCCAAGGTCTCCTTCTCATCCTTGCCTGCCAAACCTTGTTTCTCAATTGGTGCCAATATAGCCAAAACCATCTCTTTCGATTCATCAGCCAACTTGGAACGTCTTCCACTGTTTCTTCCTCTGGCTTCTGTTTGGTGTTCTTCACCATCTGCTCCCTTCTCTTTCTCGTCGTTCTTCTTTACGTGTTCTTGAGCATCTTGTTGATCGTTGTGTGGTTTAACAGCTAAGCCATTCGCTTTCATTTGATTCTTCACCACTGTTCTTCTACCGGTGCCTCTTCTAGCTTTTGGTTGGCTTTCTTCCCCATCAGCTGGATCATCATTCTCCTCATTCTTCTTGTCTTCCTTGACCTTCTGTCTCTTCTGTGAGGGTGGAACGACCTCCGTTTCAGTTGCTCTTGTATTTTTCTTAGCATCTGCATTGGGTTTTTCACCAGCGGAAACTGATGATGTTCTGAAAATGTAAACCTGCAACCAGGTTAGAAGTTCATCAAAACCTTTAGCACACAATACACTACAAGACAAAGAAAATTTGCAGCTGTTTTAAAATAATATGATACAAGTAGTGAGAAAGAGTAGGCATCTACTGCAACAACAAAAAAAGGGGGACTTTAATGTGAAGATTTTAAGGTTTGCTAGCAAATGATGAGCACACACAAGCCAATTTGCCAATTTCCACTGGCAAAGGATAGAAGAGCACTGACCTGGCTATAGAGAGTAACCATGTTTTTAAGTGATCTACCTTTCCCAATACAAGGGAAATGGACAAAACCTCAGTTAATGAAAGAAGCATATGGATTTTGCTTCCATTTGTAGGAACGGGATATCCATAATAGGGAGGAAATCAAGTTCGAGATTTGGATGTAAATAACACCTGCACTACAGGAATGAATCCACTAAAGTTGGCAGCCCTAGACACATAGGAGCCCCCAACCAAGAGATACAGGCATACAGGGCAGAACAAACTGAGCGGATACCAATTATCAAGCATAGCTGCCTAACCAAATAAGGATTCACAACGGATAGATGAACCACAACAAAATTCTTCATTCAAAAGATTATGCAAATACTGATCTTGGACTTTGGAAAGAGTGGTGGCTCAAATCAAAATGTTACCTATCCTAGAAATTCGAGCGACAAACTGAAAGGAAAAGGCGATACACACCTTAAACCTTTCTGGCTCAACCAATTGAAAAACTAGAGCATCACCATCATTTAGCTTATATTCTATTGCAAATGCCCTCCAGCCACCGCTAAGACCAGTCCTTTTAGCTAGGTACGTGGTCTCTTGTGTTGAACCACTCTCGTGCTCCAGTATCAGGGTTGAGTCCCATTTAGGCAGGATTTTTTTGCAAAACCGAGAAGGGAGACCCTGCACAAAGAAAATTGCATATCAACCGAACCTGATTTCATCACACTGACTACAAAATAACCAGAAGCAATAAGCACATAATGGACAGAGAAGCAACTCACCAGCCAAAAGCAGCTATAAACATGAGAGCGAACCATGGATTTGACAAACGTGGGATGGCAAGAGGGCAGAGTTTTCTCAAACTGTTCAGCAGCCTTACGAGCACGCTCGCGCTCTTCATAGGAAGCAATTACGACTTCTTCAAGAGGTCTTGCCAAATAGCTGAAACATGCACATTATGGGAAACTAATTATCAAAGAACCAACAGAAATGTTACACATTGGGTTTCTTGGGAGAGAAAAAAAATTTGACAGAAACGAATACGAACTCTGTCCAAGATGGGTTTAACCGAGAGCCGCGTCCGCCGCGACGGCGCTTAGGGTAAAGATCCAAATCCGCCTGGAACTATAAACAAAGAAATCAAACCAGAACCACATTTCAATCTCCTTTTGAGTATGAATCGCCAATTTCAATGATAAGTAAGTGAGCGGGGGAAGAGGGATGAATTGTGAATCAGTGAATGATACATACATCATCGACATAGGACGTGACTTGAGTTCGAGAACGAGAAGAACGCCTTGGTTGAATCCCCTCTGAGACATTGTCGGACTTCGACCTCGGTTTTGGATGACGCTGTTGCGAAACCCCCCACATTTGCACACAAATCAAACCATCGAAAACAAAACTTAACCATGTCGTCGATGAAAAGCAAAGCAGATTGAAGCTCTGAAAGCAGGACCAAAATGCTATTACCTACCCCTCCCACACACACACACACACACACACAAAAAAAAAGATACCTTTGGATTGGGAGAATTGGAGGTTTTAGAGAGCGATTTGGAGAGATCGGAAATTCCCAAATCCTACGAAATGAGAAACAGAGAACCCATGTGAGAGCGGTGGTAAAACTATAAATGGGTGGAAGAAGCAGGAGGGGGCTAATGCACCTTAAACCGCTTTCTGTTCTCCTCGACACGTTGCTTTCTAGCCTCCTCGTAAGTGTTGCCGACGGTAGCTACCGACCCCATCGCCATGCGGAAGCAATCGGTGGTTTGTTTGCAATTAGGGTTTCCGGCAGCTGGAAATAGTACGGGGCATCTGAAATGGAGTAAATAGAGAGAGAAGGAGGGAGATCTCGAATTTCGAGACAGCTGCTCACTTTCCCATTCTCCACCACCGCGCTCTTTCCCCTTCCAATCCCTGCAGACTGCAGTGCCCGCCTTCTGAACAAAAATTCAAAGCTCTGTTTGTCTGTTCTTTCTTTAAATTTAATAAAAATATTTTTTAATTTCCTTTACATTTCTTTGGGTATGGCCGAGCGGGAGGAAAATCGTGCGATCGTGGCGTATAATGGGTCACTCAACTTACATTTATTGGCTATTTAAGTCCCTCTACTTTTTTTTTTAGTTGGGAATGAGTTTACGTGGATTCTTACACGGTAGTTGAGATAATTTTTCATCCGAATGCACTACCATGTCAGTCTTTAGAGGAGTGATCACGGTGACTACCTCTCCATCCGCCTCTCAATTATCATTCAAATATTCTGTGATCTTTGATCCAGATTTAATTAGAGTAATTTTAGAAATGCCACACACAACACAATCATATCTTTGATAATGCAAATTAGTAATGGCCAGACAATTTCACTGCTTTACACAAAATGGATTCCTCGATTACATCATTGTATGCCGATCTATGAATTAATCCTCAAGTGCTATTAGAGGGTGGAGACTTGAAGGTGGCGAAGGTGATTTGCCAAGGAGAGGGTTGGTGGTGTGATCTAAAACTTAGCCAGTGGTTTGACCCGACAGCGGTGGATCCAGGACAGGTTAGAGCACTGGGCCGTATTTAAAAAGACTCAAAAGAGGCGGAGAGGGCTGGGCCGTAACCCGGCAAATCCCAAAAACACACCGAAAAAATATGTAAAAACAAAATTTACACGTACTATACTAGCTATGGATCCATAGGAGGGCTGGGTCGTGGCCCGGGGGCGGCCCCCTGGATCCGCCGCTGCCGACAACTTGTCGTGCCATCAAAGCAATTCTTCTTCCTCGTCACGATGTGGAGGATAGGTTGATCTGGCAAGACACGAGTGACGGGATTTCACTGTCAAATGGACCTATCATTTTGCAGTCTTGTTTGATAAACACGATAGTCGGTGGCAATCCACGGCTAGTTGGATGGATAAGTCGAGTTGGATCTCCTTGTGGGATGCGCATATTCCAGCCAAATTAAAAGTGTTTTTCTGGCAAATATTCCGCTGGATCCTTCCAACGACGAAAGCCCTAGTTGAGAAGGAAGTTCAAGTGCCTCTAGGTGCCCGGTTTGTTGGGTTGAATTGGAAACAAAAGGAACATTTGTTTCTTGATTGCCTAGTGGCAAGGGCTTTGTGGGATCATCCGAGACTCGAATATCTTGGCCAACGTTTGCCTCGTCAAACTTGTTCGTTCTTCCTTAGAAAGTTGATGTTATTGATACATCAAACTCAGTTGTTTATGGTGGTTGTTGTGTACCTATAGAGGATATGGCGGTCACGAAATTAGGTTGTCTTTGAGGGGCAAACAATTTGGGATCCAAATTTTAATGCGACAATTTCACCAACAATACAAGGAGTGGATTAGTTTGCCAGTAGACCGTGATCTGCGATCATCCATCCCACAAGCAAGGTCCTTAGGTGGTGGGCACCCTAATTCAGTTATCTATATGTGGGATGGGGCAACTAAAAGTGAGTCTGACTCGATATGAGGACTGATCATCATGAACCAAGGAGGGAGGGTCATCTTGGCTAAAGGGGTGCAGTTTCCTAATATTGATGATCTTATGGTTGTCGAGATACTTGTTTTTCGGGAGACTATTCTTTGGTGTCTGGCAAACGGGTTTACGGAGGCGAGGTTTAAAGGATATGTCAAATCGATCATTTATAAAATAAATCAGTCAGATGCCCGAGATAATCGGATATGGATCATCCTCGAGGAGGTTGTGCACTATTTCGATGTTCACACTGGGCTTTATGTGTTATTTGTAGGCCGGATTAGTAATATGGTAGCTCATTTGGTGACTGTAAATGTCTTTTCATTGTACCTAACTATGTGCTATTTCTTTGATTTTCTAGTCTGGTTAAATTGCAGAATGTAATTATATATTGTTCGAATCAATATGTATGATTATGTTTTGTAAAAAAGGGCTTAACTCTCTCTCTCTCCCTCCCTTTTCATCTTCTTCTCCTTCTCAGTGGATTCTCTTCTCCATTTTGACCGCCACTCTCTCTATCTTTCGACAACCACCGGGAATCTCTCTCCCGTTCTCATCACCGACCTTTCTTATCTAATCGTGTCTGTCTCCCTTTACTCTCTCAGTCGTTGCATTATTGATAATATGTAGTGTCAATTTCTATATGATCTTAAGATCTATTACAGTTTTAATTTATTATTTCAATTTTACATTTGGTCGCGATTTTACATAAAGTGTCGTTTTTTATTGCATTGACGGAATGTATGGGTAACAACTAGTAACCCGATGTCGATTCAACCTTTTCGAGATACTAATGAGGAGGGTGGCATACAGGTGAACTTGCCCTGCCTATAGTTGATGTGATGAACAAACTTGTAAGCCAGCTATACATTCCACGTCAGCTATGTATACTTTGCATCAATGTGACTCAGTGTTCTACTGTCTATCACTCTATATCATAACTACTAATCTTATATCTATATCATAACGACCACTCTTTTTTGTAATAACGACCACTCTTGAGATGCATTTATTTTTTATTCTCGTATTCCGTTTACACTTTACACGATTACAATTTAGTATTTACATTTTGTAACTTGTATAGTTAGTTAAAAAAAATCATGAATTATTGCTTGAGAGTTGAGAGGCTCATTCATGGGCTAGGGGAAAGCCCATTGGGTTCTTCTGGAGTTGTTAATCCAATATATCTACCGACAAGACCTTTCCATTATCTCGACAGTCAGCCCGAACCTGCTTTCTCTCAACAGCAGTAATCCTACGTGGAGTCATAACATTGGGTCGCTCACATCACGACGAAATATCTCCACCACCGCGACGCGGCCGCGGAAAAAAGAAAATTAAAAAGCACAAACGTATAATAGCGAGCGCCGAGCAGAGCACCGCCTCCCGACCAAGCGGAAACGAACTCAGTCGACTTCGACACAGTTGCTCCTCCGCGTCTTTGTTCTTTCTTCTTCCTTCATATTCAAGCCTCTAGCCTGGCCGAAGTGTTGAGATCACTTTTCCATTCGACGTTTCTGCACACACAAACAGAAAGAGTAAAGCAGAAAAGAAAACTACTCCGGCGCCTGCGCATGAATGGAGAAGACCGCCATGGCCGCCGCTGTTTGGATGCTCCCATTGCTACTGGTGCTAGCGCAGTTCACTGAAGCTGCTCAAGAAGGTTTCGACGTTCGCCAGCATCTCTCCACCGTATCCAGGTAAACCGGGGGGAAATTCTTCCGTCTCTGGATAGCTTTGAGGGGATTGAACTTGTTTGGATAGTTTCACGTCAGTGATTGTTCGTATTGGAGAATCAAATAGGGGATCAGAACTCAGAAGTGTTCGTAGTCGTTGGTGTAGAATTTTTAAATTTGTAATTCCTCTTCGTGCAGATACGGTGCTGTCAAAGATGTCATCGTCAACAATACCTTTGTTCCGTCCAATGCGGTTGATGGCTGCACTGCAATTCACTTGAACCTAGTGGTAATTATTATTCTAACTCACTGGAATTTCACTGGATTCACGATTGTTGTGTTTGCTTAGAGAACGGTGCATATTTTGCCTTATTACTATTCACATTTCCGATGGTTGAGCTTCTGGATCCTCTTTTGGACTTCAATTGCATACTGATCAGCACTATATTGGCGTTCCAAATAGCACAATGAAATGTCGAATCTCTGAGTTGTTGTTTGATTCCGTTCTATTGAGATGGTTTGATGATGTGTCCTGGCTTATGGATATACTAGGCAAGACACGGGACTCGTTCGCCAACCAAGAAGCGAATGAGAGAGTTAGACAGGTTGGCTTCTCATCTAAAAGAGCTTATAAGTCATGCTGAACATAAGAAGTTGTCTTTGGAAAAGCTTCCTGCCTGGCTGCGGAGTTGGGAGTCGCCATGGAAAGGTAAACTGAAAGGTGGAGAGTTGATTAGTCAAGGAGAAGAGGAATTGTATGATCTTGGAATGAGGACTAGAGAAAGGTTCCCACAGTTGTTCGAGGAGCCATACCATCCGGATGTTTATGTTATCAAGGCTACACAAGTGAGTTATTTGTCTAGTCCAATACAACAAGATTGCTGCCATTTTTTAGACTTTGCTGAACTACTAAATGTTATGATCAAATTTGAAGTTGATGATATGGAAATCAATCCCATTTTGCTGACTTCTTTCTTGCCGTTTTGACGTTATAGGTTCCTCGGGCATCAGCTAGTGCTGTGGCATTTGGTATGGGGCTATTGACCGGGAAAGGGAAACTTGGACCAGCAAAACAAAAAGCCTTTGCGGTTACCAGTGAAAGTCGTGCAAGTGATTTGATGCTTAGGTTTTTTGATAGTTGTCAAAGCTACAAGGTGCATAGAACTTCTTTCATTTTTTTACATTTTACAGTAAACTCATCTTTGGTCATTTATTGCTTGGCTGACTAAGCAAAAACTTAATTTCATTTCGAGCAGTTAGGGTGGTGAGTAATTGAATATAAGTTATGGAAGGGTTCTTCAGAGGGGCATATGCGATCCAATTGATTTGTTGATTTCTGAATGTAGGTCTATAGGAAAAACAAGGAACCCGCTGTTGGCGAGCTGAAGGAACCTGTCTTGGATAAAATTACTGCTGCCTTAGTAAGCCGTTACGGTTTAGAATTCACTCGACAGGATGCTTCTTCTCTCTGGTTTCTTTGTAAACAGGTGAATTTTTTGGTATTATGATGCAAGCTTTCTGGTCCAACTAAGTTCCTTTCTGATAAGTGCCATTGGTTTGGTTCTGCTTTATCACTAATATGTTTTCCCGCTTGTGGCATTGGGTTCACGATTTTCCAGGAAGCTTCCTTGTTGGACGTTACAGATCAAGCTTGTGGTCTTTTTAACCCTTCTGAGGTAGCTTAGGACTTCATTACAATTCATTTTTGAACCTCTTTCCTTAATCTCGTTAGTTATCAGAATGCTCATTGTTAGAAACCGATTTCTTTAGGGTTTCTCTATTTATTAATATAATTATTATTAGGGTAATTATCAATAAGGTTAGTAGTCATTTCATAGAATTAGATTTATTGTTAGGGTTTCTTAGAATTCCCTATAAGTATGTACTTTACCTATTCATTCGGTATCAATAAGAAGCATATTAAGAAAATTCCTAAACCTCATTCTCTCCCAAATCCTCTCAATTTCTCTTCTTTCTCTAATCCGGCCGCCGGCCATTCTTTCTTGTTCTTCCCCAAATTCTACCTCTTAATCCCTAATTCTATTCTTCAAATCCCTAAATCCCCAATTATCAAACCCGTTAGAAACTTTGTTTCTAACATCTGGTATCATAGCCTGGTTCCGATCTGCGAGTTCTTCCCAACTCCATCAGGGACAGCTTAGAAACCAGAGAATCAGCGATGGAAAAATCAGAACTGTCATGGGCTCAGAAGCGAGAGAGGCTGTGGCAAATTGCAAGTTATTGGAAGAAGGAGGCAGCGGCGTTCGGGCAGGCCGGCCGAGGCGAGGAGGCTGCCGCGCGACAGGCGGCGGCGCGCGCGACGTCCGAGGGCGGCGCGGGGCAGAGCCCGATCGTCGGGGCTGGTGGGGCCAACGAGCAGTTGTATGCGACTAGTGCCTCAACGGAGTTGCGAACCGCTGGAGGGTCGCAGCGAATGACGACGACTTTGGTCGAGACGTCGTTCGAAAGGGACAAGGAAGAGGGGCGGAGCAACTTGTCTCCGGATCCTACTTCCCGGCGCCTGGTGCGGTGCTCGCGGCTGGAAGAAGATGAGCAAAAGGAGAGTGGCGGTAATGGGTCTCAACGAAAAGTGGCCGCTGCAGCTGCTATTCTTGAGGCTGCCGCTACAGGGAATCCCGCGACTGTACGTGTTTCTAAAGGAGATGACTCCATTTCCAAACGCAGACCTGGTCCCGATGAGTATGCCGCTGCAATAAGAAAGGGTGTTCAATATGAGAATGGAGCTTCTGCCTCGATTGGAACCTTGATTAAACTTAGGGACCACGTTTTGGTCCCGGAGTCAGGCGGTAAAGCTCGCAAAGCATCACGGACTGCAACAGGTGACGAGATCGACTTTACTACCATGAAAGTCGCTGAGGAAAAGATTATCCCACAATTATGTTGGTTGTTAGTTAAAAGAAAATCACTGTCGGTTCAGTTAAGCGGAGTTCCAACCACTGCTTACTGGCGCAAGTTTAGAAAGAAGCTGGAATGGAAAGTCGACTGCATATGGCTCGGGGCTAAGATCGATAATAATAGCTTGGCCGAGAAGTGGTTGTGGCCGCCGACGGCGCGTGGCCTAGGAGTTAAGGTGCCGAAAACGCAGGCTGTAGCAGAAGATTTGGGAGGCACATACATTAAGTTGTCACCGCCATTCCCAGGCAGCTTCAATCCCTTTGTCTTCGAACAATCGGACCGGGCGATTTATGCGTCAGGCACGGACATAGCGCAGTTGTTCAGGGAGGCCTCCTGGTCGAGTAAGTTTACTAGGATTCCCAAGGGTGTGTGCCATGATTATGTATGTGCAATTAGCAGGCAGAGAGATGCCTCCCGACCTTTTTCTCTACGGGTCATCAAGGGCAAGTCTATTGTGGGAATTATGCGCCCCTGCATGCGAGAGAAACATGATCAATGGAAATTGGTGGGTCCATGGAGTCCATCACGAGGGCAAGTATTCTCTTCCGTTGGTACATGTATAAAGTACTTGGGACGGTTCTATTATTGTCAAGTGATGAATCCGACACCAAGTGGGAGGATATCCTACAAAGAAGCTCGAGTCATCGCCAAGTGGTTTTTGCCGGGAGAAGGGCAACAAGAAGGCGGGGTGCTTCCGTGTTCGAAGGCGGATGGCCAACAAGAACCCATAGCTGTAAAGTTGCAGCTTATCTCTATATCAGTATCCATCGAAAGGATTGCCAAATCAGCCCTCCACGAGCTGTTGACAATCGTCCACCCGAGCCTCGAAAATTTGCCCAAGTTCGGGAAGGCGGCAGGTGGCTCGACCAGCATGCCATTGCTATTGATCATCACCCTATTGGTTATGTCAAGCTCTGCTGGTCGAATCGCCCACTTCCCCCCAGCGTGCAAGCCGGCTGTGATCGAGAGTCAAAAGAAGTGTAGCGCTGCAGCTGAGGAACCCTTGTCTGTGGAGGGCATCCGTACCGGTACCCTAGCCAGCAGCAGAAGGTGGAAAGAAACTTGTGATGAGAGCTCAGAAGCTGTGGGCAATGACTTCTTCGGATTCCATGGCATTTCATTTCGTTGTTCAGAGCTACAGGGAATGGGTCTTGGTTGCCATATGGTACGGGCGAGATATGTTCAATGCCAACTTTGCTTCGAGCTGGACAGTCTCCATGCTTGGGATATGTGTGATGACTGTGACCGTCATGACAATGAAGCTACTGGTATAAATGGTACAATAAGAAGGGGGAAGGATTTAATTGTTCATGGAAGTGTGGACGTGCATGGGATGGAAAATTGGTGGCCGGATTGTTCAATGCATGGAGGTGGGAATAAAAGGTTGTGGGGTTTCGTGCGTAAGGACCAAGGTTGGATGGAGGTTATAGGTAAGGTAGCAAGTCAAGGAAAAAGGGAAGGAACCGTAGCTGTTCATCCTCTCTCAGACTCGTTCGACTTCGGGCAACTTAGCTGTTTTGGTAACAGCCACGAGAAGGGGAATAAGCCTGGCTGGAATGATTATTCCATACATGGAACTGCTAATGATGACGTTGCTCGTGAGCTTGATCGGAACTGGAAGAAGAGGAAGCGAAAGAAAACGTTGCGACTACGTCGATTGATTGCAACAAAGGTGTGGAACGTCTGTGAAGCTAGCTGCAACCTTGAGGACAAGGTTGGTCTGAAGGGGGAGGAGATGTTAGAAACCGATTTCTTTAGGGTTTCTCTATTTATTAATATAATTATTATTAGGGTAATTATCAATAAGGTTAGTAGTCATTTCATAGAATTAGATTTATTGTTAGGGTTTCTTAGAATTCCCTATAAGTATGTACTTTACCTATTCATTCGGTATCAATAAGAAGCATATTAAGAAAATCCCTAAACCTCATTCTCTCCCAAATCCTCTCAATTTCTCTTCTTTCCCTAATCCGGCCGCCGACCATTCTTTCTTGTTCTTCCCCAAATTCTACCTCTTAATCCCTAATTCTATTCTTCAAACCCCTAAATCCCCAATTATCAAACCCGTTAGAAACTTTGTTTCTAACACTCATGAACTCTGTAACTTTTTGTTCATCGACTGAACACTGAAATTCTAAATCTGCTACATTTGGATTTAAGCTGTGCTTACTAACACAATACAGCTGTTTTTTTATGTATCTACTCTTAAGCATTATTGATTAGTTTAAGAAAATAAGTATGCTCTCTGATCTTAGAAGTTACAAATAGAATAAAAAATGTAGTCATTGTTTATAAGAAATAGCCAAATACTTTGTTCTCCCTAGCTGTGGGATCTGAAGTGCGAAAGATTGCAGATTGAATTGTTGGAGTGGACGGATGACTTGGAGGTGTTCATGCTGAAGGGTTATGGTAATTCAATAAACTATAAGATGGGAGTGCCATTGCTCGAGGATATTGTGCAATCCATGGAGCAAGCTATTAAGTCACATGAAGGTACTATAGATCATCATAATTTTATTTGATAATCAGGGAAGCTTTTCTCCGATGGTATATTGTTGGATAAGATTCTTAACTGAAGGTTGAGACCTGTATGCATATATGCTTGTGGTGTAGGGAATTTAGATAAACTCATTTGGTTTCCTCATAATCTATGTGTGACTCGGGTCTCTATCCACTAGATGTTGTGGACCATGTTAAAGCTATTGAACTTGATAGATGTCGACAGTAGCAAATAGCAATGCCAGTGATGGATGACATATGCTAACCTGTTGAGTATCCATTTCATCTCTGCTGCTGAAAAAACATGAAGGCTTTAACGTAGTTTCTGTTTATTATGTCCTTCCCAGATAAGTTTCATAGATGTGTTTTAATTTCTAAGGTTTCATGGAAGTATAAGATGTAGCTTGCTATGTTTGAGATATATTAGATACCGACATGTTATTACCACCAAATTTATCATGCTTGGTCAATGGCCATATTGTGTTCAAAATCATAATTTGATAACCCTTCTACTTGTTTCGGCATCCATTGCTTGTAGAAAAACTGCCTCCTGGAAGTTATGAAAAGGCAAGATTGAGATTCGCACATGCGGAGACTGTGGTTCCTTTTTCATGTCTGCTTGGGCTTTTCCTTGAAGGACCTGGTAAGTCTATGTTCTGTTGACTGTTGTTGCTCTTTCTATTTCCCCATTGTTTGTTCAACTAGATTATTATCATATCTGTCAATGTTGTACGTTCTGCTGAAAGATATTGTTCGTCCTGACCATTGAAAATACGTGTCTCGATCTCTTCCAGAATTTGAAAAGATCCAAAAGGAGCAACCTCTAGATCTCCCTCCCATGCCTCCAAAGAAAAGCAACACGAGAGGCAGTGCCGTGGCACCTTTTGCTGGGAATAACATGTTGGTCCTACACAGTTGCCCAGCAACCTCTTCTTCTAGCAAGTACTATATCCAAGTCCTCCACAACGAGCGTCCCATCCCAATGCCAGTAATGTCTCCCTCTCTATCATGCTTTGCCCCCCCTCTATATGATTCTCCACATCCTTTTCTTCTTTATTATCAAGTTCTAGTCCGAATTCGTCGACACTTTTGGACTAATGAAAAATTCAATCTGATTCTTGTACAGGGTTGTGGTGGTTCTGACGTATGCCCATTTGAAGAGTTTAAGGTACTATGAATTTATTCCTTTAGCATTTGCTACAAAGTAGGACGCTTTTTTTTCCCCCTAGCCTAAACAAACATAACCATGTCTTCCAGCTTCCAGCGTTCTGCAGTAGTTTTCTTCCTTTTCGTCTTTGTTTCTGAATAGTTTTTATCTTTAACAGGAGAGGATAGTCAATCCTCATCTGAAACACGACTACAATGCACTCTGTGCTGTCAAACCAGAACCACTGAACGAGAAGCCCGTGACCAGCAAGTTATCAATACCGTTCCGTTGGCTCTTTGGGTGGGGAAGAGATGATGATATGGATGAACTGTAATTTATCTGTCAAGAAGCCAGTAGAGAAAGAAAGAGAAGAGAAGAGAAGTTTCTTGTGTTCTGGTAAGAGTTCCACTACACGCTGCTGCCATCAAGGGATATTATGGGCTGACTGACAGTCTCACTCTTGCTTCTGACGGCACTCTTTTCGTCACGCTGCCTGATCATCTCAAGTTCCTCCATTGAAGAAGAAGCACTGATTGTAGGTCAGATTTTGGTACATCCCTAGTTATGTTTGTTGTGGAAGTTGGAATCTCCAGTTCCTTTTGAAAACTTTTTGTAGTCTTCGCAATGAAGCGTGGCTTCATGAGAAAACCAAATGCAAGTTCTTGTGCTCTGTCAATCGTTAGTCGTTAATTTAGTTACCAGAGCGTGGAGCGGGAGCGGGAGCGAGAGCGAGAACGGGAGCGTCAGAGCGTCAGTTTTCGAAGAATTCAATATTAAGAGCGTGAATAGAGCGTCAATATTATATTATTTTAATTAATAAATTATTATTATTTCAAATTATTAAATAAAATATAAACAATATTATCACAACTTACTCCTACAATTTAATTTCCCTCGTTCTATTATACAGCACTTCCCATTTAATTTCACTTTGTGTGGAGACTAACCAATTCAATGAACGTCTCCCAATATTCACGAGATAAAAAACTTAATTAATAATAAAATTATTATTATAATATAAAAAAGTAGTCCCACACCACACTAAAAAACGTCTCTTTCTTCACATCTTCCCCAACCATTCTTTTCTCGATATCTCTCTGCTCTCTCTCTCCCCTTCCTTCCTCTTCTTGAACAATTTAATAGCAGTAATTATAGCATCTCTTCAATCCAAGCAAGCAATCAGGGATGGGGAGGGTAAGATTTTAGAAAGTCTGCGCAGATGATGTCGAAAAGCTTCTCCGCCCACCTTCTTCCATTTTTGCCGATCGAAGCTCTCTACCCAAGCGCAAGATCTGCTATCCAGAAACGCAGAACTACAAGCTCTCAACCGCCTCATCATTCTATCACCAGGCTGCCCTCCCCCACTGATGAGATTGATGTTGCTGCATGCATCTCTAACGCCATAGAACTCGCAAATTTCTTTCTCCCCTTTGTTCTAAATCTTCTTTTGAGACCAGGGGGACTTGACCCAACAGCTGAACAGAGTCGTGCTTTTGAAGAATAGACCCAAAATGTAATTCAAGGGACAAAAGACAAGAAGAGGAAGAAGATCAAAGTTATCCTTCTGAATTCGCTGAGAGAACGCGCTCTCAAAATCACAAATCGCGCTCTCATGAAACATAATTCGCGAATTTTTGGCGAACTCCCAAAAAATCGCGTTTTGGCGATCTGGAGCGGGAACGTGGAGGGTAGAGAGGCGAATTGGGTGACCTAAGTCGTTAACGATCCATCTCCAGGCGACCAACCTTGGGATAAGTGGACTTTCTATCACACGAGTCCGATTTTGCCTTTCATTTCTTCTCCCTCTACAGTCTACACCCTGGTGATGTTCCACAATTCTTCGTGTGAGTGGTCAAGCGCTCCTACAACGGGCAGGTTTGGGCGAGTACTCATACCTGTCTCGCCTCTCGGGGCAGGTTCGGGTACAGGTCAGGTAATCCATCACAGAATGAAGTTTGAAGTTTGAAAGAAAAATGTTAGAAATATTCATTTTTTTATTAAAAACCAAGAAAATAACTTAAATATGATAATTGTAGTTAAAATTATTTGTAAAATTGAGATTCTCACTTATCTACAACTTCATTATAGCTAAACATGATATAATAAAAGTAAAATTACATGCAATTTAGACAAAGACAGGTAAAAAATGGAGCGGATCAGGACATGTCAGGTCAAGGAAAGTACCTATACTCGCTCTAATCCGCTCCAAAACAGGTCAGGTAAACATGTCAGATCAAAATTGTCATACTGGAGGGTCAGTATGACTAAGAAAAGGGACGGGCACAGGAAAATCGCCCATTCGCTATCATTAACCAAAATGATCACTTTGAAAATTATTATGCAACACGGAAAAATTAATAGCACAAGACTTCTTTGTTTTTTTAGACTCTTAGCGATTAATTGTTTGTATATTAAAAAGAGAGAAACTTTAATATCTAGCCCGTCTAGCTCAGTTGGTAGAGCGCAAGGCTCTTAACCTTGTGGTCGTGGGTTCGAGCCCCACGGTGGGCGTAATATTTTTTTTTTTCCACAATTATTCGTTATGTATGAAATTTATATTTTGTTTCTGACTTCTCTTAGCAAATTGGTCGATATGTCCGAGTGGTTAAGGAGACAGACTCGAAATCTGTTGGGCTTTGCCTGCGCAGGTTCGAATCCTGCTGTCGACGTTTTTTCCCCATCAGGTTCGCACTTACTTGGACTGGACTTTCGGCCCAAGGTCAGCCAATCTTTTTTTTTTTTTACCTTCGCACCGCCTCACTCTCGGCCCGCAAGACATTCCCCCTCCTTCGGTCCATCAAACTTCCTCCAGTTACAATTTACAAAATACAAGGGAAATGGAAAAACAAATTTACCAGCAAGATTTCCTTTGGAAGTTCGTATTCAGCTGCCTGCTTGCCCCCAAAACCCTAACCTATCAAGAAAAAATTCCCCAGCTCCCTCACCCTCACAGCTAAGGCAGCAAAGAATATAATTCCCCAGGTACTTCTCTCCCAAACCTCTTCTTCCGAATCCTTCTCCGTCCTCTACCGTCGCAGTTCCTAGCTTCAGTAGCAGCCATGGCGGGTCCGAATTTGGAGTGTCGCATGTACGAATCCCGGTACCCGGAAGTAGACATGGCGGTGATGATTCAGGTCAAGAACATCGCCGACATGGGTGCCTACGTCTCCTTGCTCGAGTACAACAACATCGAAGGTATGATCTTGTTCTCCGAGCTCTCCCGCCGCCGGATTCGTAGTGTCAGCAGCTTGATTAAGGTCGGCCGCATCGAGCCCGTGATGGTGCTTAGGGTTGATAAGGAGAAGGGATACATTGATTTGAGTAAGAGGAGGGTCAGTGAAGAGGATATTCAAACATGCGAGGAGAGGTACAACAAGAGTAAGCTTGTTCACTCCATCATGCGCCACGTTGCTGAGACTCTGGGAATTGATTTGGAGGTAATGCTTTGACGCTAAGCAAGATCTCAATTCCAATGTGAATTTTACCTTGTATTATTTGGATAGTTGAATCTGGTTCAGCAAGTTTGGTGCTAAAGAATTATGCTCTCAGTGGAGACAGTTCAGGGTCCAGGGTGGGAATTTTGGTTCCTATCTTCTTTGTTAGAAGAATTGTTAAAGAATTGATCTTTAGTGGGATTGTAGACTCTGGGAGGAGATAGTGTAGAAAATTTGCTCAAGTTTGTGATTCTGCAGTACTCCTATAATTATGGTATTGGGTTAGCTAGGATGGCCACTGGGTGCTTCTCCTTTACCCAAAATATCCTGAGTAGCATTCATATTAGTGAAGAGTTATTATGAGGCTTGTGTTACCATCTTTGACAAGCCTTCCGCTCTCTCGCTTTGAAGAGAAGTTGAACTATGTTGGTGCTAGTGAACTTCTTCATTGTCATGCCGAGATGCTACTTTAATTTGTGTTGTTGTGAATTATATTCTTGATATTGGTTGATGGCTTTATTGTATGTATAAGCTTCTGCATATTTCAGCCTATCATCTTTACGGGTATTGACTGTAGTCCATTTAGCATATAGCTTCACCTTTGAATTTAATATATGATACTTGAGAGATATCCATTGATGGCTGTTCTTGGTGACAATTGATTACAGTTTTGGGGTGGAATTTGCTCTCCACGTTTACTGTGCCATTCTCATATGTACTTGCGTAATTGTCTGCTTAAGTTTCTTGCTGACTAATGATTATCCATTTACTGTGACCGATGGCAGGAGCTGTACATCCACATTGGCTGGCCTCTGTACCACAAGTATGGTCATGCTTTTGAGGTGAGGACATAAAACAATAGTTGCTGAGGCTTCTGATTATTTCACTGAAGCTTGTGCCTAAAACATTATTATCATGCAGGCATTCAAAGTCATTGTGACTGATCCTGATACAGTTCTTAGTACCCTTACCCGTGAAGTCAAGGAAGTTGGTCCTGATGGACAGGAGGTGAAAGCTTTTTGGCATAGCTCCTTTTTGTGTGTATTTTGTTCAGCTTGGTTCTCTTCTTTGTACTCTCTTTCCCTTGAAGTCTAATCTCTGATTTTGTAGGTAACCAAAGTTGTTCCAGCTGTAACTGAGGAAGTGAAAGATTCTCTGGTGAAGAACATCAGGAGAAGAATGACACCACAGCCTACGAAGATACGAGCTGACATCGAAATGAAATGCTTCCAGTTTGATGGTGTCCTGCACATTAAGGTTTTCGTCTGGATTTTGTATAACTGGTCATTTTCTCTCTGTTATGTTAGCTGCTGCCTTCAATAAAATATCCAATGGATACTTTATTTGTGAAGCTTATAAAATTGCTGCAACATATTGCAGGATGCAATGCGGAAGGCAGAAGCTGCTGGTAATGATGATTGCCCTGTGAAGATTAAGCTGGTGGCTCCTCCTCTTTATGTTCTCACCACACAAACCCTTGACAAGGTTAGTTTCTTTCCTAATGTATCAATATGCTGAGAGATCTCTTTTACTGTTTTGTTAAGCCTGGAGTTATCATGGGTGTTAGTTTGACACTGATTTTACGCTGGCTTGTGCAGGACCAAGGAATATCCATCCTCACCAATGCCATCACGGCGTGCACTGAAGCAATCGAAGAGCAGAAAGGGAAGCTTATAGTGAAGGAGGCCCCAAGAGCGGTGAGTGTCAAAACATTTATCACTAAATCCCACCTTTTGTGCTTTTGTGACAAATGGGCTGATTGGTTTGTTCCACAAACTTGTCTACTCCCTACTTACTCAATCAATCTACCTGTTGTCTCGTAATCCAGGTGAGCGAACGCGACGACAAGTTGCTGGCAGATCACATGGCTAAGCTGCGGAACGAGAATGAGGAGGTGAGCGGGGATGAAGATAGCGAGGAGGAAGAAGATACTGGTATGGGAGATGTGGATGTAGAGAACGCCGGTCCGGGCATAACCGAGTGAAAGCACTAGTACAGAGAAGGAAAAGAGGGTCTATAGGAGGGGTTGTAGTTTTGGATATTCTTACATTTGATTTGAAGTACGGCCCTTTCCTTGAGTTGGTTTTTGTCACGGGCTCCCTTGAGTATCTGCAGCGGGTTGAATAGTTGTACTATTGCTTTTGTATGGCCAAACTGCCGAAGTCATATTGACCTTTTTCTGGCTGATTCCCGTTACCAGATTACTAACTGCTGGGAAACTGGACGTCCTTATGGGAAGATAGTAGCTCAACCGAGAGCCTTGTGCCCTCAAATCAGCGTTCGTTCGTTCATGGTTGGATGCAGTGTTGTCAAAGCCGAACCGAGCCGGCTGGCCAGACCGCCAAAGCCGCCACCCGGCCGTAAAATCGGCTCGGATCAGCTATTTAACCGCCACGATTTTATACAGCGGCCGAAGCGGTTAACCGCTCGAGCCTCTCAATCCGGTCGCGCGGTTCGGCCGTTTGATTTACCCTAAAAAAAAAAAAAGGCCAATCGTGGAATGGGGCAGCCAAACAAAACCCTATCTTTCATTTTATTTCTTCATCTTCGACCTAGAAGTAGAATAGACGACAGAGGGAGAGCGGCGCCACCCTGCCGCCGTCAACCATCGCCCCACCGCTTCCATCCCGTCGCCGCAAGCAGCGCGCCATCCTACAGCGGGGTAATTCATCTCCCTTCTTCTTCTTCACTCTTTCCGTTGGTTCTGGGGATTTCTATGTTAGCGATTGGTTTACTGGGTATTTGATTAGTGGTGGATCTAGTAGTCGTTTGTCTGATCTTGACGTGATTAGCGTAGATTTTGAGATTTGCTGATAGGGGCAGCTAGTTTGCTTACGAAATGGACTACCGGTTCTCAAACGGTTTTTAAACGGTCTAATGCCGGCTAGACCACTAATGATCGAGCCGTTCACGTTACCGGGTCATACTACGGCTCGGCTTTGACAGCATTGGTTGGATGGCATTCGTTGCCATCGGTGGCCGAGTAACGAAACAACGTGCTATCACCATTGATGAAATCAACAGTTCGTAAACTACTTGTCTTAAGATGAGGGATGCAGCCTCTCCTGAAGGTAAACCTCAATCATGCAAGTGGTATCTCAAACTTTAGCCATAGTTTTGTTTACATGTGTTGTTGTGACCATACAATAGAAGATGGCTGAATAGCGAAGACACTTTAAGTAGTTTTTTTACAGCTTCCAAGAGGTGTTTTTTGTGGGATTGAAATAATTTCATGATCAAATATCACTAAACTCACTTTCACTTTCTACATATTTCTTCCTTCTTCATTCTTGCATAACTCATTGCTGAAATCCTACTACAAATATTTTTTTCTCTATAAAATTTCTCATAAGTTATCATGATGTACTATTCCTAGGGATGGCAATTTACCCACCCATGTGTAATTTTGCCCAAACCCAAGTAGACCCATTTATTATGGGTAGGGTTTGGGTGATGTGTGTAGGTTTGGGGTTTGTATATGGGTTTGGGTTAGATATGGATATTATCTAAATGGGTAATGGGTTGGATATGGATATCCATTTACTTGAGAGTGTTTTAACTACACATGCAAAAATTGGACTTATTTGTAAAACTTGAAAAAATTAGGTACCAAAATGTAAGACCGAAAAAATTTAGGTACCAAAACGTAATTTTCCATCGATATTTTTGAGGACTTATATGCAAAAAAAATTAAATTTAGGTACTAAATATGCATATCTATTAAGTTTAGGTACCAAACTGTAATTTGTATTTGGGCATGGGTACAAACCCAAATCCATTTGTTATAAACCCAACCCAACCCAAAGTAAATGGGTATGGGTACAAATAGAGGTGGCAATTACGATCCAAATTCATGAATCCAATCCAATCCATCTACCAAATTATCCACTTAATCCAATCCATTTAAATCCAATCCATTTGATCCAAATCCAATTGGATTGGTGGATTCATGGATCAATCCATGGATCCAAATGGCAAATTACGATTTGGTACCTATATTTTTTATATTTTACATTTTGGTACCTAAAATTTATATTTTTATACGAAAAATATCATCGGAAAATTACATTTTGGTACCTAAAATTTTTCATTATGACATTTTAGTACCTAAACTTTTCAAAATTTATATTTTAGTCCAAGCCTTGGATGTCATTTGGATTCATGGATCAATCCACCAATCCATTTGATCCAATCCATGAATCCACCAATCCATTGGATCCAATCCATTTGATCCATGGATCCACCAATCCAATCCACGAATCCATGAATCCGATCCAATTGCCACCTCTAGGTACAAACCCATCAAACTTTACCCATATCTATATATTTGGATTTCATACCCAACCCAATTGGGTTGGATAGTAAAATATCCATGGGTATGGGTAAAATTGACATCCCTAACTATTCCTTCAAAAAAATTATACTTTTGTCTTGATGTAAACAATGGTACTAAACGGAGACTAAATAAGTAACTGAATGTGTATATTTTTCCTATTTTCATGATGTTGTCGATGTACCCCTGTTATAACAACTCTACAGCAACTGAGACAACAACAAAACTATACTAAAGGGTAGGGATGACAATGAATTGAGTTTTAGAAGTGAAAACCCGATCCAACCTAACAGGTATCCATGAGTTCACGAACATAACCATATATTATTTCTTTGAATACCCACATCGTAATGTTATCGAAAAATTTCAAACAAATATATCTTTATAAAAGCTACTAACATCCATAAAAATATACATATTATTATGTTTGTATTTCTATAAATAATAAATTATTCATTTAGTTCTCTTTAAATATAAAATAAAGGTGTTTTGCTTTTATAGACGCAAATTATGTACTATGTATAATTCGATTTGAATAAGTTATTTCGAGTTCAATAATCATCCTTATCCTTGCAAAGTGCATCACCATGTACTCACTTACTAACTCGACATACAAGTAATTTATTTTGCATTTGAAATAAGACCGACACTTTTTTTTCACACTTTTAATTAAAGAGAGATTTGACATTTTGAAGATGGCAGATAATTTGTTGTACTTTGGGTGGGAGACAGACAGTGTTGAAATGTAATGTATTAAAGAAAGAGATGTAGGTGGTGGGGCTGCTGCAGCGAGTAATTGCTCCGCGCTGCCATGCCCATTCTCGATCTCGAGCTGCAGCAGCAGCTGGGTTTAGACTTCAAAGTTCAGCTAGTCATCTTCACCATTACATTATTATATTACTATTTTCCCCAAATCACTATACAAATACAAGGGGAACTGTAGGTTCACATTTTCAAAATTATAATACAACAAACGGCTTTGAGAATTTTTTTAGGCGATTGATATATGGTAGCCCATTGTATTGTACACAATTATTATAGGTTAGAAGTAAATTGATCAAAAGAAATAATTTACTAATGATTTTCACATGTAATCTGAAATCACATATAGACTAAATTACGAGATTCCACTGATATATTACTCTCGCTCATATTTTTGCGAGACACTTTTGGTACGGATTATCAAATGTCCTTATTGAGCGTTGCAAGATTCGGATGGATCGGTTTTAAGACGACTTTCTTGTACGAGGCTGTTAATGATCCCGCCACGATGGAGCTTTTGGTTTTGAGGAAGCAGATTTCAGCATGTGGTGTTTGTAGAAGATGCTAAGGTGATCTAGGACAAGGTGGCAGAAAAGATGGTTCGGGATGCATATTGTGGTGTGATTTTAAGAAGAAATTCAAGTGCTTCAATAGTGGTTTCAACATTTTAATGTTTGTATTGTCGGTCGTAGTCATAATAAGGTGACCTAAAAAGTCATTTATCTGTACCCTAATTTTCTAGAATTTGAAGTAAAATTTGAAGTTCATCTTGATTATTATCAATCATGAGACACTTTTGTATAATCATGTTTCTTGATAATATGAGTTATCCAGCAAATTTGTTTTTACCGAATAAATAATTTCAAAATTACATGATATATGAGATTTCACTGTTTTTTCTTGTTTTATTTTTTGACAGATATCATGATATTGGTGCACCATGTACTTCTAGAATTCAAGTGACCATGATGTCTCAAATGCTTTAGATTTATCCAAGTATTTGAGATTTCATGCTAAATTATTATGTGAGTTCTACTATGAACTCATGCAAGTCAAATAATGCATTTTTATATTACACAAATTCTTCCAACTCAATCTTCAATATATATAAGTTCTTTAAGTACATGAATTCTAATGAATTCTACATTACCTGATTACCGAAAGACAACTCTGTTTTGCAAATACACCAATAACTTGATTTGCGGGAAAGGAAGAAGAAGAAAAACAACGCCCCTGTTTCTTCTCCTCCTTTTTAGCTCCACCTTTCTCTTCCTTCTCTCTCTTCAACCTCAGAGACGGAGTCACACTCCCATCTCAATCAATCATTCAATCTCACTTCCTCCGCTTCACTTATCCCTTCCACCTCTCTCTGCTTTCGCCTCCAATCCCACAGCACCGCCGTCGCCGCCGGCCCGCCGCGATGTCGCTGGCCAGATTGATGAAGGAGCGGACCTTCGGATTGGCCTTGTTCCTCTTCCTATTCGTCTTCCTCGTCTCCATCACCTTCTTCTTCCTCTCCAGCGGCAAGACCGTCGACCTCCCTTACTACTTCTCCCTCTCCGATCGCTCCGACGTCTCCGCCGATCCCGGCGGCGGCTCCACCGATGCCGATGCCAACGACGCCCCCGTCCCTCCCGGCAAGGACTCCCCGGCTCTCAAGGCCAGGAAGTCCAACTTCCCCACCCCGCCGGCCCTCGACATTGCGTGGCGGCCCTGCGAGGGAGTCATGGCGGTGGATTTCATCCCCTGTTTGGATAATACTGAGGCCATCAAGCAGCTCCAGTCCAGAAGGCACATGGAGCACAGGGAGAGACACTGCCCTAAACCGGCGCCCCTCAGGTGCTTGGTCCCTCTCCCCAATGGATACAAGCGTCCTCTGCCTTGGCCTAAAAGCAGAGACATGGTAAATCGATTCATTCTTCTTCCACTTATCTAATCCAGAATTAGATCATTTTTGGACGGATCTATTCCAGATTTTTCTGCCAAGGGAGAGTGATTAAATTAGGTTTGAGCTAATTGAATGAACTAATTCATGGTCGAGCTAATGGTCATGATGATCAGAGTTTATCTTAATTTCGACGAGAAGTTACTAGTAGTAAAAATAGGTTGATATTGAGATCCTCTGACTGGAATTGATTCCAGAAGTGGTATGGCGTCTGATACCACCATTAAATTTTGTGTTCGCAGATATGGTACGACAATGTCCCACATCCTAAGCTGGTGGAGTACAAAAAGGAGCAGAACTGGGTGCGCAAGGAAGGGGATCACTTCGTATTCCCTGGAGGTGGGACACAGTTCAAAGATGGCGTCTCCAACTACGCAAGCTTCATTCAGAAGGTAGAGTTCGTTATATTTGTAACAAAAATGGAGTGTGGTCCAATATGGAAACTTCCAATGTGTTGTTGAAGTTGTGGTGGTGATGTTGTTATGGGATATATATCAGACGGTGCCAATTATCCACTGGGGAAGACAGATCAGGGTGGCTCTGGACGTGGGTTGTGGTGTGGCTAGCTTCGGTGGATACTTGCTGGACAAGCAAGTCCTGACGATGTCGATGGCACCCAAGGATGAGCACGAAGCTCAGATTCAATTCGCTCTCGAGAGAGGGATTCCTGCTATCCTTTCGGTGATCGGGACGCAGCAGCTCGTGTTTCCTGATAATGCTTTCGATCTGATTCATTGCGCTCGTTGCAGGGTTCACTGGGATGCCGATGGTATTGTAGATCCTGATCTTTTCGCTTCCATTTTCCTTTCTGGTTTTCTCGAGCAAGTAATTCAATAATCAGGTTTCCAGGTGGGAAGCCGCTTCTGGAGCTCAACAGGGTTTTGAGGCCTGGAGGTTTCTTTGTATGGTCAGCCACGCCTGTGTACCGGGACAATCAGAGAGACACCAAAGTTTGGAAAGGTCAGATTCATGCTTGAAATTCCTGGATTCATCTCTGTTTGAATGCATTTGGTTTGAAATGCATCAAAATTCAAAGGTGTTTATACGAACAATATGTTCGTTATAGTTCGTTAAATTACATGCTATTACAAATATCACTGACAATACCAATCACTTCGATGCTATATTTCTCATCCGGTATCTGCTATATTGCAGCAATGGTGGCTTTGACTGAATCTATGTGCTGGAAAGTTGTTGCCAAGACAATGGACTCAACAGGAATAGGAATGGTAATCTATCAGAAACCAGAGAATCCTTCTTGCTACGAGAAACGCCCACAGAATAATCCTCCTCTGTGTGATCAGAGCGATCAGCACAGCGTTTCATGGTAAAAGAGACAAGGAACCTCCAAAAAGAACCCAAAATTTTAAAATTTGGTGATTTCTAATTGTTCTTGGTTGGCTGCGTTAGGTACACACCTCTGCGAAGCTGCATTTCAAGGCTGCCACTAGACAAAGACGGCAAAGTCATTAAGTGGCCAGTAACATGGCCTTACAGGCTCAGCCGTCTCCCTGTTTCCATGCCATCGGAACTTGGAGTTGTAGAGCAGTACAACGCAGATAACAGACGTTGGACCGCACTTGTATCCGATACTTATCTCATGAAACTCAACATCAGCTGGCCTAGCGTTCGCAATATCATGGATATGAATGCCGGCTATGGAGGGTAAGTAGTAAGAATAATCATGCCATGTAAAACCATGAACCCCGACCTATCTGCCACTTGTGTAATTGCCCGTTGACTCATACAATCAAAATATGCTTGGACAGGTTTGCTGCAGCACTGATCGATCTTCCGTACTGGGTGATGAATGTTGTTCCAGTTCATGAGGAAGACACGCTCAACATCATCTATGACAGAGGGTTGATAGGAGTCTACCACGATTGGTGCGAGTCATTCAACACGTACCCCCGAACTTATGACCTTCTCCATTCCAGCTTCCTCTTCAAGAGACTCTCGGAAAGGTAAAGCTGTACTCCCATGGCTTAATCAGAACCAAATCCTTGTTGCTTTCTTAATGATATTTTAGGTCTGAGATTTCTCTTTGCAATCTTCAGATGTGACCTGATAGATGTCGGGGTAGAGATTGACCGGATAGTGAGACCTGGTGGGTATCTTCTGGTCTTTGACACCATAGAAATGATCAACAAGCTCACTGCAATATTGAAGTCGCTACATTGGTCGGTCAAAATCCATCAAGCTCAGTACTTGGTTGCCCAGAAAGATCTCTGGCGTCCCACCAGTTGAAGCCAATTACAGCAGCACTATAGAATCAATCAAGTCTAGGCAAGCTCAAGTTCTGGCAATCGGTGGTAAAGTAATAGGAGAGATGAGGATCTTCGTAGCTAAGACGTCTATATCTGCAATACATTTCTTTATTCTTTCGTCTACGAATACCAGTTCTGCAAGTGTAGAAATACCACAGTTAGAAAAGAAGAAAGCATGCACTATACGTCATAGCAACAACGATCAAACAGAGGACGGTTCACCACGAATGCTCATGTCCTGTAAATGTAAACCAACTCTGTTGTAGAACTCCTGATTTTGCGATACTAGAAATAATATAGTTGCTACCAAACCTTCTCTATGATATACTTCCAATTCGTGCCTCAACATCATCGTACTGTGACGAAATGAATGCTGCAATTTGGCCACATTATCATTGAAGCTTCAACAACAGCCTCAATTTACATACAGTGAGGTACACACAGAGGAGGTGTCGTTCTTCACAAGCTTGCCATCAACAGCCGAAACCTTCCAAATGAAGCAACCACCAAACTCACCACCTCTGCAATCCAGCTTCTGGTTAGTCACCGAACCACCACTGAGAACATCATGATCCTTCACCTCCATCCAACCATCAGACACCTGCTTATTGTACACATTCGTCTCGCCTCCGCCATCATCGTGCCTCTCCCAGAAAGCGTGGGAAACATTCGTGATCGCAAGATAAGTATCCGGCTTGGATCCGGGCAGAGTTGCAGAGATCATTTTCATGGGATATCTTCGTTTGATCTTCACGTGGCAAACCGGGCAGCTTCCCAATTCATTTGTTACCTTAACTTCTTTCTTCACCTTGACCCTCTGGTTCACCGTCTTCACAGTGCCGTTCCCTTCGAAGCTCATAATGTTGTGGAACTTGAATTCCTGAGAGACGGCGGTTGTGTAATTGCCTCCGCTCCATTTCACCCATCCAACCAGAAGGGTTTCTCTTTTAGCTTTGATATGGAATTCTCCGTCAAGCATTTGGAATTCCTCCTCCCTGGTGATAGACGAAGCCGGATTGTCATAGACCGTTGACTTAGCTATCACTTTCGAGGACCCGCCGTCGAGCCATATGTGCAGATTCGCGTCAACGAGCCAAAACGAGATCCCGTCGCTGACCCCGACGCCGATGGTGTGGGGTTTCCCGTCGAGAACGAGGCCCAGCACCGGGGACAAATCGAAATCGTATGATGGGAGATCGAAAGCGCCGATAGCCACCACCGGATTCCAGAACAAAGGGTTAATCCCGCCGGTGAAGACCACAGGGAAGGGAATCTCCGATCCCACTACCCTCCCGTCGAGAGTGACGAATACTTCCCTGTAAGCTCCATTGCCTCGCTCGGTGGTAAGATTATTGACTCGAATGTAGGAATTCGGCGGGTTCGAGTACCAGAACTCGTCGTTGCCGTGAAATGAGACGTACAATTCCAGCACCGCCTTCCGCGTATTGAGAGGGAATCGGACTTCCTTGAAGTGAACATCAGATTCGCTGTTAATCACAAACCAGAACCCTTTCTTGTAGCCGTCGGAGGAGGAAATCGGAACTATCAAATCAGCGGGGGATTCGTTTGCCATCTCAGTTTCCAACCTACCCTCGTCTTTTAGAACCCTAATTTCGCCGGTTCTGAACGGAGCCCTAACGGCCTCCGCCCTGTAGAAGAAGAAAAACACATCAACACGGTAGACGCCGGTGTACACGTCGTTAACGATGTTCTCGAGCATCATTGTGAGCCTGAGATTTTTCTTCTGCAGAAGGGAATCATACTTCGTGACATCCTTCCGGACCTTCCAGAAGATTCCCTCTCTCGTCGGCTCCGCCGTGCTGGTCCGGAGAATCTCCGCACCGCCAAGCCACAAGCCGGAGATCCGGTCATACTGGTCCCCGCGGGAGGTGGCGCGTAACTCGAGCACCACGTGAGACCACGGTGACGGGCAATTTACCGGCGGATTGTAGGCGGTGGTGAACGGTGGCTTGCCCATTGTGTTGCCGAAGGAGTGCTTGATGACGTGGAGCGTACATGGTCGCGAAGGAGGGTTCAGTTTATCTGATGAAAGAGGATTTGCTAGCTCAATGTACTCTTGCAGTTTGCGAGATGGTTTGAAAATGGACGGAGGTGACGACGGCTTCAGGAATCGGTCCGGCGAGGTCGACGACTCCGTGAGTTGAAAGAGCAGAAGCAGAAGAGCGAGGAAGAGAAATGATTGCATTTTGTGACAAGATGTGTGAGGCTTGAGAGAGTACAGATCTTCTCCTGGCATATAAAAAGAGTAGTGGGCTTGGGCTACGCTAGGCCCAATTTTATTACATGCCGGGCTTGTTTATAAGAGCCTGCACCACGTCATCGTGTAGAAGAGCCCTCGCAATGCTCAGCGGAGTGGAGCCTCCGTTGCTCACGGCGTTAAAGTCGGCTCCACGCTTGACCAATGCCTCCACCGTCTCAACTCCGCCGGCAACCGCAGCCAAATGCAGCGGCGTGTGGCCGTCGTTATCCCGGGACTCAATGTCCGCCTCGAATTTCAGGAGTAGCGCCACCGTCTTCTCGAGCCCTTTGATGGCGGCCGCGTGCAACGCTGTGAGACCGTACTGATCGCGATAGTTCACGGCCGCGCCTCTCCGCAGTAGCGACTCCAGGAGTTGGAATTCCCCCCGCCGCGCCGCCGTCAACACCATCTCGCCGCGCTCCAGAGCCTTCGAGACCTCCTCCTGTTCATAAGCGACTCCAGGTATCGTTAGACGTAACTAATTTTTTTTTCCCCCGGCAGCTATTGGATTTTTCTAATCGTCTCTACTCTTACATGTCCGTTGTCGCGGGCTACATCGACGGCCGAGCGGCCGCAATAGTCGGCGGCGGTCGGGTCGGCGCCGAATTCAATTAGCGTCTCCACCATTCTTCTGTTCCCATTCGCCGCCGCTATAAACAACGGCGTCCTTCCCTCTTTGTCTCTGTGATCAACGTCGGAAACCCTCTTCACCAAATCCGACACCTCCTGCATCCGATCCGAAGCCGCAACCACGTGTAACTCGTTCCATCCCTTGGATTTCCACTCCGAATCGGCATCTGCCTCAACCGGCTCGACTTTCAACCCGGATTCGAGCAGCAGATTCACCATATTGTCCGGGTTAACCAGCTCCGCTGCAACTCGGAGCAGCGACTCAGCTTCCCCTCGAGACAACTCGGACAGAACAGACCTCTGCCTCTTGATAATGTTCCTCGCGGAGTCCACGTCGCCGCACCCGACGGCGTGGCGGAGAAGCGAGGGCCCCACAAAGGCAACCCTGAGCTTGAAATCGACGGTGGAAGGCAAAGACGAGAACCACTGGCTGAGGAACTCTGAATCTGCAGCCGAGTCGGAATGGTACGGCGCCGTCTTAATGAGGATTCGGTCGGAGTGAGAGCGAGGGAAAGAGGAAGGGTAGTGAGTTTGGGGCTTGAGGACGACTCGGAAGGTTGTAGAGGATAATGGAGGGATGAGGCCCGTTGGGGGGCTGACCAGGAATTTGTGTGGGGAAGAGGTCTGTACTTTGAAAGCAATTGGAGCTGTCGGTGAGAGGGATTTCATGGTCACATTGGCTCGGCATTTGGAGTTGAGTGTGAATTCAATTCGTACCTCCGTGTCTGATATCTCCACGAGCTGTTCCGCCATTGTTGAGCTCTCTAATCGAAGAGTAGCGAGTGTCGGAATGGAAGGGAAAATTTGGTGTTGCCTGCGGAAATGTGAAGGAAAGGATAGCAGCACATGGTGGGTCTTACTGTTCCTGGACCACGGCAAACTCCCGGAGATAACCACTGGTCAGATATTCTTTGAGCTGGAGGTGATAATGGGCTCTTGACTGATGAGAATGGCAGTTGAATTAGGGCTTGGAGCCCATATTTGACTCGGTTTGGGCTTTTATTTTGATCCATTTCTTGTCGGGATTTTTCAACCTTTCCTCGTCTGTCCATTCAGGAGGAAAGAAAAGAACGTCTTCTTGTCTGGATTCTGGAAACAAAAATGAAGAAACGAGTGAGAAGGAAGAGTGGGAAGCAAGCTGATCTTGTGGGCCCCGCTTACAAATGCACAAAAGTTCTGATCCTCTCCTCTACGAGCTTTGCTATCGTAACCCACAGGTGAGTCTTGAGGTACCCAATTTGCCTCCAATTTTATACACATCAGGGTACACGTGTCAGCTGCATTCCCATCCCATCTATGCCTTCCCTTGTGACGCTATCGGATCACCGTACCTCTCTCCATGCTCTTTGCTACCTGGCCTTACTGGAACAATGGTGAGGTATTTGTACATAGCTCAGCATCTTTTCCGTTCCAGCGGGCTTCAAATGTCCAAATTCGAAGCTTATTAGAAACTAACCAATTCTCTGCTACAAGAATTTTCTCTTCGTTCATCCGGCTGCCGTCTGTAAGCTAGCTCCGCCACAGCAAAGGAAACGGAAGGAAGATGTTCTACTCTCACCAGCTTCTAGCTCGGAAAGCTCCCCTCGGCCAGATTTGGTAACGATTCATTGATTCTCTCCACGTTCAGTTTATGCTATATTGTGATGCTCGCTGCTTCAATGGAGGATTCCGATTATAATGGCGTCGTTGTTTTCACTTTTTCTGATCAAGGATGGCGGCGACTCTGCACGCCAAGATGAATCGGAAGAAGCTCAACATGATCAACATCATCAGCATCTGGTTCAATTAGCCTCTCGCCATTTCATCCTTCATCCTTCCTCCTGTTTAAGTATACTGAGCTCTGTTTTGTTTGCTTGTTTCCGTTACAGTGAGGAGATTCTGAATCCTGCAGCTCCAATGGCGCTTCGGCTCTCCGGAATTCTAATGGGTGCTCTGCTCCGCTCCGTTTCTGTTTGTTTGTTTCTCGTTCTTTCGCTTGACGACGAAACGTTTTGGTTGTTTTCTTCAGGTGGAGTGGTGATTGTTTATGAACGGAAAGTGAAGCTGCTATACGGTGAGGAAGTCGCCCGATTCAGAATGATGATCTTACTTCATTTTTTCTTTTCCGCAACTTGGAATTTGAATTTTCGCTATTATCGTTAACAATCTCCGGTGGCTCTTGTTCTCGTTTTTCTCCCACAGAGGACGTCACCCGGTTGCTGGTATCCGAATCGAACTCTGAATCCGTTCCGCTTGCGTTACTGTTTTTTTCCTGGCTTCCCTTACCGTGAGCTGAATATTTCCTGTGATTCCGCCGGAAACGCTGTAAAGGTTGAAATCAACGAGGCATGGAAAGTGAAACCAGCGACGGACCGTACCCTTCTTCCGAAACGGAAGTTACAGGCCAAGTTCGTTTCGCTTCTAAGATAATCTGCTCTCTTCCCTTCTTTTCCGTGCCATTAAAAGCTAGTCGAAAAGAGTGTCACTCTATTGCTCTTCAGGAAAGAAGCTGTAACTCTGCCGGAGGTTCAGGACGAGGAACTCCCTGATATCGAGCAGTCTATGAACTTCTCGAGCTCAAACGCCACAACGCTTCCTTTCCAGCAGACGTCTTACTTCGCAGTGGTAAATCATCTTCCCGTCTTTTCCATTGCTGTCTAGACCGACTCGGGGTAGGTTAGATCTTCTTTAAACTGTGTGATGAATGATGGTTCTGGGTACTAGTGACAGATGAAGGCGTTTCTGGCCCGTATAAATTCACATCAATTACCTAGCTGCTGTTAACTAGTACATTTAAGGGTTGAACTAGAAACTGTTTGTGCTCTGATTTTGTGTAGTTACGGAAGCGTTTTGACTGTCTTTAAGTCTTGACTACTCTAGACTTTTTCCTACTCCACATATGGCCAGATGGATTTCCTATTTTCTCTGTATTTTAGCTTCAAGGTCAACTTCTCTTGTAAAATCTATTTTTAGTTTTACCCTGCAAGTTGAAAACTTCTGTGTCACAGCCATGGATAAGTTCGAAATTTAGGGGGAACACCAGGATCTTCGAATAATACACATGGGCATCATACTCTTAGTATCAGTGGGATACGAGCTCCAAGGCTACGAGATTTTTCTGCTGCTAAATGTAGACCTAACTTGGTTCTTCCTGTAAACTTAATTATACTTGCAGCAACTAGACACCTTGGATGAGACTTACATTAACAATGACAACGTGGAAGACGATGTAACTGGCAATAAGCATCAAGGTTTTGCTTTCCTTAGTATAACTTTATAGTTTTTATCATACCTGCAAATGCCGATGAACTAGTGGGGTTAATTTCTTTTCCCTGATTTTTGATGTGTCCCTTCAGCTGATCCGGACAACATAAAATTATTCGAACGCTTTGATTCGTGTCAAGTAAACACAGATATGTATGATCGATTTGATAGGTGATTTCCCAACCCATTTAGATCTTCAGTTTGAAGTCTTCTTTTCTGGAGATTAAGTTCTTTTTAGCATTAGTGCCTTTGTTGAATGGATATAAAAATTGTCGGTTTATGACTTCTATTAGTCCGTAAGTTTGGTTGTCTATACATCCTATTCCTATTGTCTTTTGTGCATGGTGATACAGATTTGATATTGACGGAGAAGGGGACACGCAGATGATCGTGACTTCAGGAGATCTTCCAACAGATATCCATACAACTGTTATACCCTCACCACCTCGTCAAGATGAAGATCTAGGAGGTCTGCTTGCTAACAATCAAATGCTTCCACCATGTGATCTTCATTTGCTTACATTCTATTTTCTTAATGTCACTCTGATTGTCAGCAAATGAACCAGGAATTCCTTTCACGGATAAAGAAATCCCTGACCAGCAACCTGAAAGCCTTGTCAATCAACCATCTGAAGAACACAATGAAGGCAGACAGGTAAATTAAACAAGAACAAGCTCCTGGGTACTTGTCTGGTGGACAAATTACACCTATAAGTAACAGTACATAAGCTTAACAAAAAGAAATGGACAATTTGATGTGTTAACTACAGATGCTAGCAAATAGAAGGAAAAGAAGGAGACAAGCAGCAAATTGGATGGACATGGAAAAAACAGTCATACCCTGTGAGCTATACCAGACATGGCTTCAAAATGCTTCTGACATCACCTCAAGGAATGACAAAAAGAGGAAGGTATGCCCTAATATCGAAACAATGGTTTAGCCTCAGGGCAGTCAACAGATTGCTAAACTTGAGGTATTTACCTATAGGAGGTGAACAAAAGTATTATGTCGAGGATGAAGGTGGCTAGTCTGATGGAGCTGCCACCTATGGTACTCGTTGATGATTTATCAATCAATGCAAACAAAGATATCTACTATCCAGCTCCTCTACTCGTGCTGTGGACAAAAAGCACTCAGCCTCCGCATGACTCTCCATCTGGTGAGATTATTGCACACACTTGCCTGACTTCTTCGGATTTTGCTTTGGCTTCTCCATTTATGAAACTCACTCATACTGTACTTACTGGAATCAGCAAGGGCAACCTCACATCAACCTCCTGAAGCTTCAAATTCATCCCCACAAGATGCAGCAGCTCAATTTGAAGATACATATGTAAAGCAACTCATTTGATGACAACTCATGTTTACATTTATAGTATCTTGAGCCCTGGTTTTGAATCTCTCTCTGATCCACTAGTGTTTTTCGAATGTGTTTGATGATTATCAGAGTGGAGCTGGGTCTCAGTCAATTGGTATCCCCTTCGAGAAGCAAGTGGCCCCTGTCGTTGGCAGCAGGAATGTCTTGATAGGGAACCTTGAAGCCGAGCTTTTTGGTGATGAGTTTGAAGCCAACCTTGATAATAACAACATCAGAATGGGAAGGAACAAAGAACCACCTGTTGTCACCACAACTCCTGGAAATCCTGGTGAGTTCAGCTCTGTCACCTAAATCCTGGTTTTTCTGTCAATGCTCAATCCATAAACATCGTTGGAAGTTTCCACAGGGAAGGAAGCAAGATCTGTATCAAGTTCAGGTTCTGGACATAGTGTTCTGCGACGTCGATCTGAGATCAACTCTGGACAGTAAGCTAAATAAAATCCAAGTTATGCTCAAGTACCGAGTCCATGTTTTGCCTTCTTTGTAATGAGTCCTTCCATGTATCTTTTTCCACTCGCTCGATACAGCCAACATAGTGGAAGCAGCCTTCGTTCCATTCCCGAGGACACATCATGGCTTCCAGATCCAGATATCCCGACGGTGCACCAGAAGGACCCAGCCCTTGATCAAGGTGCAATGGAGCATAACATGTAGTTTCATTTAACTACTTTGTGTTGTTGCTGCTGTAATGGCACTCATTTTTCGTCCCCTCCTCTTTTTTCGTTATTTCTGCAGAAGTGCTATTGGAAACTGGACCTACACAGACTCAACAACCCTTCGCCACCTCCCAGCCAGTTGACGCCTTGACTGAAGCCATCCGAATGTGTGGCTAACTCCATTAACAACCTTTGTTTGTGTTTGCTTGTGTATGGTACTAGTGTGAATGTTTTTTCCCCTTATATTTGCAGGCACCTAAAGACTCATTTTGAAGGTCCAGAAGCTCCAGAGTACGAATCACTCAACAATCTCGCCACTGGAATGAACCGTAAACCAGCAGCTCTCTTGTTCTATCAAACCTGTGGTATGAATTATGAATCCCATTCCAGTTCAAACTAACAGGGAAATGTATCAGAAGTCGGATCAGATTCCGAGCTGTTTTCATGAATGATGGTGGGTCAATATGCTTTGCTTTCCTGTTTTGCAGTTCTTGCGACACGCGGCTGCATAGCAGTAGATCAGAAGGTGCCTTATGGCGATATTCTCATCTCTAATCGATCAAAGATATGATAAGATCATCAAGCACATTAAAGGTCCAACATCAGCAGCTGCTTCCCATTATTAGTTGGGCTGTTCATCTTTTTCAGGACACCAATAATCAACATCAATATATCGTGGTTTTGTTTCTTTTGTTATTTTGCAGATTATCATTATTTGTTGGGAGAACGTGGGCAGGTAAAAAGGAAGGAAGGACACACACTTACTCATCAACTATAGATTTTGATGGATCACCATTCACCAGCAGTCCCTTTGGTACGTTATTAGATAGATTGAGGACGTTAATTGCTCAATTAACTGGCTATAGCTACTACCTAGCTACCCTTGTTTTGGGATATAATGATTACAATTACGTGGATTGTTGATTGATATGTGAATTATACAGATTATCTATCTTTTCCAAAACAATTCTTTTACTGTTGTTGGTTTGGAGTTGGACTTTGGACCAACAAACTACTCTTGTCATTACTCTTTTATCCTCTTCTTCTATTATAATTACATGATTCACATAGATGATTCACCAAGTCACGATAATATGAAAGTCACCATAGGAATAGCCAATACAAATATAAACCGAGAGTATTAATTATTTCTTATTTTTTCACTATTAATTGGATTTTCTTAATATAATTTATTCCAACATTTATGATTTTTTACCTTTTCGAGATTGTTATATCTTGATATAAAATTTAAAAGATATGTATTTGATTCTTGATTATATTCAAATTGACTATTGAATTCACCGTTAAACATTGATATTTTACCTTTGTTAACGCCAGACTCCAGATATATTAATAATGGATAGACTTTTGACATTTTTCCCCCTTTTTTCATAATAATTGATTCCCGGTGAGATTCAAATTGACCGTCAAATCAGTGACCAAAGATTACCATTTTTCTTTGATATAGTTAGACCAATGACCAATTGTTCACGATTTTTCTGTGTTATCTATTTATGACCTTTCAAAGAAGTTCTCGATTTTATTAAATGTTTACCTTATATTAACAAAAAAACGTTCATGATCGGAAGTCATAATCCTCAAACCCTATTCCATCAAAATTATTCTTAGAAAAAGATTTCTAAATGTTGCTAGATTATGTATAGACTATGTATCTTTTTCTCCTACCACCTAAAAAACACTCTTTTAGCAACATCATCCATATTTTGATTGACCTCAATAAACAAAGGCATTATGACATGACATAGGCTAGTGTTAATAATAAAACCTAAATCCCCCACTTCTCTTTAATACATAAACCCAAAAAAAAAAAAAATGCCCCCACCATTTCCCCCCATTTTTTCCTTCTCCCTATAAACCAGTCTCCCGAAGCCCACAGTCCCCCAAAAATCCCCCCAATATCGAAACCAGCTCTCTCTCTAAAACCTAACCAAGCAGAAGAAAAAAAATTCCCCCAAAAAAATTCCCTTCTCCTCTCCTCCTCCTTCCGGAATTCTCTGCGAGACTCTCTCATGTGGCCAGAGTGGTTGAAGTCGCCAACTAGGGTTCCGCCGCCGTCTTCGAATTCGAATTCGATTTCTATACCGGCGCACAAGAAGAAATTCTCTTGCTCCTCCTTCAAGGACATCCAAAACCTCATCTCCGAGCCCGACCATGGCGGCGAATTCGGCATCGGCTCCTCCGATCCTCCTCCCATTTCCTCTCCCCGAACGCCTTCAATCTTCCACCGCGTCCGGATCTCCACCTCCGTCCTCCGGTACCTCCGCAAATCCCTCCCTCCCGCCCTCCCGCAGCCGCCTCAGCTGAAGGAGGCGCAGCCGGACTGCATCGTCCTCTACTTCACCAGCCTCCGCGTCGTGCGGCGGACGTTCGAGGACTGCTACGCCGTCAGATCGATCCTCCGCGGGTTCCGAGTCCCGATCGACGAGCGAGATTTGTCGATGGACGGGAAATACCTAGGCGAGGTCCAGGAGATCCTCGGAACCTCCGGTAAGGTGGCGCTGCCCGTGGTTCTTATCGGCGGGAGATGCATCGTCGGGCTCGACGAGATCAGAGAGCTCCACGAGAGCGGGGAATTGAAGCAGATCATTGCAGGGCTGTTTCCGCCGACCGCCGTGGCGGCGTCGAACGAGTGCGATCTGTGCGGAGGGCTGAGATTCGTCCTGTGCGAGGAGTGCAGCGGCAGCCACAAGATCTACTCGGAGAAGCACGGGTTCCGAAGCTGCACCGCGTGCAACGTCAACGGTTTGGTCCGCTGCCCGGATTGCTACAAGCCTGCCCGCCGCCGCATGTCCATCGCGTAGCGCCGCCTCCGATGACTAACCAACCGACTGCAGGAAAATCAGGTGGTGGTGGGTGGTAGTGGATTAGTTATAGAGACTTTTCCTTTGTTATTTTTTTTCCTTATTGACATGGGTGAAAATTTTAGGGGAAAATGGAATCCTCGGTTTGAGGGGTGGGATTGTAAATTTGTTAGCAAGGCTTGTTTGTTTGTTTGTTTGTTGGTTCGGCGACTTGGCCTTCCGGCCGGGGAGATTAGTTCTCTGGTGAAGTAGAAGATTTTAGACAATTTAGTTTGCAACAATTGGCACCGAGTTATTTTCTTGTTTTTTTCATTTTCTCATTTTCTCAATGATGATAAATGATTAATTGACTTTTGTGTAGCAAACGGGGAAAAAAAATGTTGATATTCGCATGTTTACTTCTTTGACAATTCCGGGTAAATGACACATTTGGTCACTGAGATTACTAAATCGTGTCATATTTAGTCACTAGAAAAATTTAATATCAATTTTGGTCACTCGAATTACTGACACATGTCACATTTGGTCACTCTTCTGTAGCCTCTGTCCAACTCCGGTCACTCGAATTATTGAAAAATGTCACATTTAGTCACTCGTATTACTGAAACATGTCACATTTAGTCACCCTCCCAAAAGTTTCCGTCCAACTACATTAATGGAGTTGGACGGAAACTGACGGAAGAGTGACTAAATTTGACCAGTTTCGGTAATTCGAGTGACCAAAATTGATATTACTTTTTTCTAGTGACTAAACATGACACAATTTAATAATCTCAGTGACCAAATGTGTCATTTACCCGACAATTCCCTTCAAATTGTTTTTCTATTTATAAATGATAACTCAAATTTGAATTTTGAAATATATTTTGATAGATGAAGTTGAACAGCTAAAATATAGATGGAGGGTGAAGTGGTTGATGGAGTTGTTGTAGACTGTTGTAATGTAATGTAATGTAATGGTGATTTGAGGTGTGTTTGGCTCTATTGTTTTGATGTACAGTACACGCAAGAGAGTGGGTCTAGGCGTAATCGACACGGGCATATGGGCATGAGGAATTGAGGATAATAAAAACGTTCATTGTCGGCTTAGTTATAATGCTAACAAAAAGAAATTTCCAACCAAAGAAATCTGTACAAGTAAAGTACGCTTGCACGCGGCTTCTAACTTTGAATCCATCCACAGTTCTAATGCTCATGGGCGTTAGACGTTCTAACGTGATTCACGATCATTGGAGTGCATATTATGTAATTTCTAGATGTTGATGATCTTTTATAATCGTCACAACTCATAACAACTTGACAACGGTATTATCGACACGATTTCAAACCTTACTTATCTTTACTATCTTAGCATTGAGCAAATACTAGAAAACGAATATAAAAGTAAAATCGGATTATAGTGCTCACAAATCATATACAAGAACATAAGAATGTACTCATTGGATGCACAATAATCAGATAAACACGTTGGCCATCACGTGTCCTGCTGAAAGACTGAAAAAGCAAGAGCCCTCCCCACCGAGCTGCCACAGTTGCCCTTTCTTTTCATAAAGCGCTATCTGATCCGTGTCGTGTGAACGTCGAGCGTGGAGGGCACCGAAGGTGGGGAGGGGAAGTCATGAATCATGATAATGCACTGCGTTGAAGCAGGAGCTTTCCTAACAAGCAAGCGGTTTGGGCTTCTCTTTTGCTGAAAAGGAAAAGCCAGTGGGCTGTTATAGAAATCGTGGGTTACTACTTACTTGGGCTTTCCTTACTGTGTCTGGGTTGACGTTTGGGTCAGCGACAATGGGCTTCAGACCTTCCTTTAACCCGTTGAATTGTGGACTATGGACTGGTATTTGGGCAACCAATGAGTTGAGAATGTTGATTTCAAAATCAACCTTTGTTGATGGGACTTATTAGATCATCTCCACGCCAATAAGCAATTTCTAAAATGGGTTTTTATTGAACACATCAATAATTAAGCAAGTATCTCATTCAATAATTTTCAACCCCTACATCTCTTAAATCAATAAGTAATTGTCATAAGTGCAACTTATTCAATTATTAATACATTATATTGGCATTACTAAATAGAGAAAAAGTAATTGAAAAAATAAAATAAAAATCATAAGTGACATTGCCAATGACTTTCTAATTTAGCAACCTTGCTAATTTATAAAGTCTCGCTGCATCCCTTAGAATTGCTAACCAATTGTAAGCAAATTTCACTGTATTCCTATATTCAGGGATATGCTTCGGGAGATTGAAAGTAAATAACTTTTTTTAGCTGCCAAATGACATATTTATAATACAACCACTTTATATCCGCCAACAACCAAACTAATATTAAAACCCCCCAAACACCAAGGAAATGTAGATGGCACACTAGACAAATGTGTGCAAATTAAGGAATAGAGTTGGGCCACATCACATGATGATACATATGTAAGCCCTTGAAACAAGGAGGAGGGTGGGATGGATGAGGAAAAAAACTGTCAGTTTGGAAATTATTTGATTGGAAACTTCAAAGCAGCAGCTCACAAATAGCCAACAACAACAACACATTTTCTTTCTTACCAAATGTCCTATTGATCAATCTCAACCAAATAGCGACGTGTTGAATTATTATTATTATTATCATAATAATAACAAGACGAGTAGCCCTTTCAAGAACAGGCCAAAATTCAATATGCCAAGTGGTACTAATATTGCCCACAAAGATTACACCATAAAGATAAGAAACCTAGTTTTTAAACGGCTGAGATTAACCATTTGTACCTATGTATGTACAGACTTGGTCTTTAGTCTTTACTGTTTTTCTACCTTCTTGTTTCTTTTCCACCTTATTATTATTATTATTTTAGTGGGAAATTTGCTTCCTATGTCTCTGTTGCTTGTGCCGGCACTTCTCCTCATCTCTCTTCGTACAGTTATTTATTTATTTATTTATTATTGTCATAATTGACTGCTCCCTTTTCCCACTTCACGCAAACGCCGTGCGATTGAGTAATGACCTCGACTTGTGACCTTAGATCTCTGATAAATAAAACTTTCCCAAATATAAGAAAAACAGAAATAAAGGTACACCTACCTAATACACTGTTTATCACTGTTCATTATCTGAATGCAACATTCATTTCCCAAAAAAAAAAGAGGACAAATCAACTCCCACATTGTCAGAGGAAATGACGGTCTATTAAAAAAAATGTGTAAAGGAAATTTTGAGGGTATAAAGTTGATTAGAGTTAAGTTGATAAAAGAGAAATTCATAAGGGTATTCAAACAAAAATATATGCGGTTATGTTTCAACTGTTCAGGTGTTTCACACAATCAATCACACACATATATGGACACACAATATAATCACATCGTCATGATCTATTAGAGTTTCAGATTTTGATTGGAAAGTTTATTCCACCCGAAACAATAACTTTGTAACAAATAACTTAACAAGCAATTACATCAAAGCAAGAGGACACAGTTTTATGTCCAATCCTAAGAATGAAATATGTACCTAATACTTGGTATCTTTATAAGAATTTTATACCCAACGCAATTGAAAATACATATTAGTAATAGAGCACCACTAAATTATTTTACTCTTTTTTTTGTGTGGTGATTTTACTCTTTAACTTTACCAAAAGCAGCTCCCGATAATAAATTTCACTTTCACAATTTCCTCTCCATTTGCCGGAGTGAGTGATTGAGTGGATTAATGACGCGTTTTTTTAAACACTAATATTATTATTATTCTAGAAATCTTACTTTTTCATTTCCAAAAAGTTTCCTTTGGTCTACATTGGTAGATTGGGGTTGCCTGCGGCTCCTCCGAACCCAGTTTTTGAAACTCTTTCCGCTCTCTCTCTCTTGCGTTCTCCTCCAAACCTAATTCCCAGCCACTTCCAGAGTTCCCACCAATCTCCATTCACTTAACTCGGCCGGCGACTCAGCTCGTCCCGCTCTCTCGGCTCAACTTCCGGCCTACTCTCATGAACTTGCTGACTTCGTGATGACAATGATGATGGATAAGAATTGGAAATTCCGCCGGTTTGGAGCTCCGTTTCTCAGCTTCTTTCTCTACTGCCACTTGGTTCTCTTCTGCTTCTCATCCGCATCCTCCTCGCTGCTCGACGGCCAAGGTATGCCACCGGCGGCGATTTCTCTCTCTCTCCTGGCGGCGGGAAGGACACTGCAGCTCCTCTGTTTCTTCTAACTGTTTTCCATTTTTTTGGCGCGTGTTGCAGGTTTGGCTTTGTTGAAGTTCAAGGAAAGAGTGGTGAGCGATCCGTTCGGCGCGCTGAAGGATTGGAAGGATGACGGTGGTGGAGTTCTTGATTACTGCTCGTGGTTCGGCGTTGAGTGCTTGGCTGGAAACGTTGTAGCCTTGTGAGTCTGCTTTTTCTCTTTTTCATCTGCTCCATCTTAAAATTTTCAGTTGTTCTCCCGTTTCCCTTTTCATTTGGTCTTTCGATCTTTTCCCTATTTTGCTTGGGATTAGGTCTGAGAACTGAGAAGTCGTCACTTTTCTTTCACACGCTGTTTGGTGGCCGAGAAAATTTTGAACATTCTTTTTCAGGAGATAACCATGCATGATTGATTGTGTGGCGCCTAATAATGGGATCATAATTATTTATCACACCTTATCTTTCTGTTTATAGCAATCATTGCACTTTGGAGAGAATTTTTGGAATTAGGGCTAAACTTATTTGGTCAGTTGATTGCTATGGCGTTACTAATGAATTTATGTGTTTATTGATCCTACATCAAATGAAATTATGTGTTGATGGATGAGTCCCATAACGTCAGAGATGTGAACAGGCAACAGATTCTGGGATTATGTTTTCTTAGGTTTCTGCTTAGTGCTTAATTGGTCTTCTTCCTCTTTCATGGTAATATGGTTTTGATGAGTTGTATGTCTGCGGGCAGGAACCTGAAAGATCGTTGCTTGGAAGGAACACTGGGATCTGAGCTGGGAAACCTTGTCAGCCTAAAGTCCATGTAAGTGTTCCATAACTGCTCAAGAGTCTTTGCTGCATCTCTTTTAGCCCTTAGCATTACTGATTTGTGTTTTTGCTGCAGTGTTTTGCGCAATAACTCATTCTCTGGCTCAATTCCGGAAGATATTGGCGAGCTGAAGGAGTTGGAGGTGCTCGATCTTGGGTTCAATAACTTCAGTGGTTCACTTCCTTTGAACCTTGGAAGCAATCGGCCTTTAATGCTTCTGTATGTTGCTTGTGTCTGCAAAGTTCTGTTTTGGCTTTAAGGTTTCATTGGCCATCTGTTTTTTTTCTTAACTGCTTTTCATTGTTGTTTTCTTTCTTCTTTTCAGGTTATTGGATCATAATGGTGTTATTAGCATCATTTCACCTGAAATTCATCAACTGACGAAGGTCTCTGAAGTTCAAGTTCATGAAGTTGAATTGCATGATTCAGCTAAACCTGCATCTTCCCATAATAAAAGGTACTTAGTATGGTATATCACGTGGTAAACAGAATCAACTTCAATAAATTCTTTTGTTCTTTGTAATCTGGACTCCTTTCATGAGATGATGCCTCACCCGTTTTAGTTTCTGCTTTTTGTTATGTGTGGCAGGAAATATGCAGCTCACAGGAGACTTTTACAAACAGTTGGTGGAGTGAATCTACCACCAGTATCATTAACTCCATCTACCCCTTTCTTCGACCCTTATGCATTTTTGCCTCCACTGCCCTCTGTAGCTCCATTTCTCCCGACTCCAAATGCAGATCCTCCATTGCCTCCTTCTCCCCCTGCTACCGATTCAAATGATTCAATTCCACCGCCCCCAGCTGCTTCTCCAAATTCTACTGAAGCTTCTCTTCCTTTACCAACTCCTCCACTATCAAGTAGTCCCAATTCAACAGTTGATAGTTCCCCTTCCAGGAGTCATACCTTTATACCAATTGTTGCAGCGGTAGCTGGGGCCACATGTTTTCTCCTTGCTATCTTTGGAATATATCTGTGCAAAACCAATAGGGCAGCTGTCAAACCTTGGGCCACTGGACTCAGTGGGCAGCTTCAGAAAGCACTTATAACTGGTAACTCAATCCTCTTATTGAAAACCTGATGTGAATAAGAATGTCATTAACTGATTCATTGAAAACTATATAGAAGGGCTGAAGGGAAAAAAAGTAAAAGGAAAAAAGAGAAGGAATGCCATGGAAAGTTGTTGCATTAAGCACCTAATGGAATTACTGTCCAAACATATATTTTGAGTTGTGGAAGGGAATCTTGTTGTGCTTATGTCACTATCCTTGCTAGTGTAGCTGCTGTGAATTTCTTAGTTGATGGTGGTTTGCTACCTTACTGCCTTTGTACTAAATTGTACCGTGTTGCTATTTCAGGTATACCAAAGCTGAAGAGAACTGAGCTTGAATCTGCCTGCGAAGATTTTAGTAATGTTATTGGTTCTTCACCACTCGGTATGCTGTACAAAGGCACTTTGTCCAGTGGGGTTGAAATAGCGGTGGCCTCTGTTGCATTAACCTCTTCCAAAGATTGGTCACGAAACCTGGAACTGCAATTCGCAAAGAAGGTAGCTTTCATATCCTAGTCGATCATGCATCGATTCTTCTAAGTGTCTATTCACTCATCTTTGTCTGTTATATGTTTCAGATTGAGACATTATCAAAAATCAATCACAAGAATTTCGTCAACCTTCTGGGGTACTGTGTGGAAGAGGAGCCTTTCACGAGAATGATGGTTTTTGAATATGCTCCAAATGGATCACTCTTTGAACACTTGCACAGTAAGCACCAGCTTTAGCCGAAACAATTACACCATCACTTTTTTGGATGGTCTTCTTAACCACTTTTTGTTGGTTTTGCTAGTTAAAGAGTCAGAACACCTGGACTGGGCAATGCGGCTCAGAATCATGATGGGCATAGCTTACTGCCTCGAGCACATGCACCAGCTGACCCCACCGATCGCCCACAAGAACCTCACCTCTTCATCCATCTCCCTCACCGAAGACTATGCAGCCAAAATCTCTGATTTCAGTTTCTCAAACGACATAATCATACCACCTCCTTCCCCCGAGATGGAACATCCCGAGACTGACACTGAGCTGACAGCTGATATTCCATTCCGGGCAAGCAACGTGTACAGCTTTGGCGTGTTGTTGTTCGAACTCATCACAGGCAGGCTTCCTTACTTGGTAGACAATGGATCGCTGGAGAACTGGGCAGCAGACTACTTGACGGGGGACCAACCCCTTAGGCAGATTGTGGACCCCATGCTCGACTCTTTCGAGGAAGGCAAGCTAGCGTCCATCGAACAAGTGATAAAGGTTTGTGTTCACCCTGATCCACTACAAAGACCGACAATGGCGGAAATCACTCCTATGTTGAGAGAGGTAACTGGGATAACTGCCGAAGCAGCGACCCCGAAACTCTCTCCTCTTTGGTGGGCAGAGCTCGAGATTCTGTCTGCCGATGGTAGTTGATGAAAACTAAGCTCTACCAAAACCCTCCATTTTCTTGAAGAAGGTATGAGCTCTAAATGAATGGATCATATGGGCAGGGAGGAGGGTAGGGAAAGTTGGTGTTTGTGGGTGTGTCTGTGTACCTATTCTATCTATTTTGTGCGTTAGAGGAGAGGTGGAAGCCCAGAGCTGCTTGCTTGTGTATATAGAGAGCCAAGAAAATGGAAGCTGGATAAATGCTTTGGCACCATCTTGGTGCTTTGTGTGTTTATTAATTCTTTAATCCTCCACAGAGGGCTGAGATTTAGGTTTGTGGTGGCCATGAACACATCACCAACCAAACCTTCTCTCTTTGTTTATATTCCTGGTTGTTGAGCATTTTTGCTTATCCATATTTTGTGCTCTTCACGTCCATCTGTCAAAGTAAGTTCTTGTTCTGAGTTGGAACTGGAAGAGTCTTTGGTTGGCAGTCTCCATTCCTACTAGTCGTGGAGTTATGGGTGAATTGACCAGACTTTTCAATGACATCAGGTTAACTGGTTGGTTAAGAACATGACTTTTCTGCAGTTGTTTAAGGATTTGGGATTTTCAGTTTTTGTTTTTCCTATATGGAGGGGTGTTTAGTTTTAACTAATGAAGAAGTCTGAGGAAGTGATAAGGTTGTACTGTTTATGTTACGCTAAATGGGAAAAGGGATTAAGAAAATACGACGCGATTTAGCTGTCATTGTGTGTAAAGTATACTATGCGAACTTGCGAAGTGATTTTCCAGTTGGGATGAATGAGATGGCATCAGCTGGCAGAGGGATGTTTGGAATGGTCAAACGCTTGAACTCAAAGGAAACACGGTTCTGATGATTATTTTAGTCATTCAGTGATATATAGTTGGCAAGGAGATGGCATTTTTGGCGCTGTTGGTGGATGGATTCTTCAAACATGCTGCTACAAGGATAGGGGTGTGCAGAGCTCAGAACTGGACCAAACTAGGGAAGATTGTGGTTGAATAGTAAAATACATTTTAGAACTACATTTGGTTTGTTTTGGTCAGGTTTTATTTTTCTTCGATACTAATAAGATTCATAAAATCAAAGATAGGATCATATTATACTTGGTTCGATGTGATTACATTATCGGTTTGATTGCGATTTGATAGGGCCCAACTCAGGGATAAAATGGAAACAATCAAATACACCAAATAGGCAAATAATGCCCAATATTATTGAGAAAATGGCTAACTTAATTGACAATACTATCCTACCGCTAAACTCCTCAATCAAATCGAACGTGGTATGTAAGACAATGTGATGCTTATGCTTATATAAATTATGCTACTCTAAATCTACAATTGTTATGTACTTATGTATATGTTATAATCGCACAGCAACAATTATTTCTTATCTAATAAGTTATTAGAAACAACATTATGTAAGGACTTCGTAATAACTTTGCATGTTATGTAGTTTGGAGTTAATACTCATTATTACTTACAAATACGGAATACCATTCTATATTTGTTATGTAAGACCTTGACATAAATGAATACCTAACGATAATAACTATTTCTATTTGGGCAACCTAAAGAACCATAATTTTGCTGGTACCCACTTTTAGCCATACTTAGGGTATGATCTTCAAATCGCAGTCGAATCAAGATAACTTAAACTAATCTAGTTTTCCCCATACGAAACTAAAAGAGAGAGATTGTGGTGTGAAGACTGAATCCAAGTAGCAAATCATCGGAATCTCCCCATCCATCCCTCGAAAAAATCCTTACCCCATTCTGGATAATACCCAAAAGACACCAATCAATCAATTAACAAAACAGGGGAACCCTTCAGTCTCCCCTGCACCCAAAACACCGCTAGATGCCACAATTTCTTGGCAATCCCATAGCCGTAGTAGAAAGTAGAACAAGAAGAAGAAAGGTATGGCCATCTCCCGATTCCGGAATCCATGCCGGATTGTACCTACTTATAAAGCAGAGCAGTCTCCCCATCCATAATCAACACCAATCTTCCCATTAATCAATCTTCTCTCTGTCTTTCCCTCTGTTTCTCTCTGCCCATTTTCATAACCTGTAGAAGAAGAAAAAATGGCAGCTGCCAAGCACAGCCAAATCTCCACAATCTGCTCACTCCTGCTCCTCTGCGCCACCCTCCCACTAATGGCCGCCGCCGCCGCCCAACAGAGGAAGCCGTCCGTCGCCGTGGAAGGAGTGGTCTACTGCCTGAGCTGCAAGTACGCCGGCTCGGGGTCTCTGATCGACGCCACGCCGATCCAATCAGCCAATGTCAGCGTCAGTTGCGCGAATTCCGGAGTCTACCAGATCAATCAGACCGACGTGCACGGCTACTTCTACTCGTGGCTCGATGGGCCCAAGCTGGGCCGCGGGGGTTTGGGCAATCCGATCCAGGCCTGCACGGTGAAGCTGGTTTCTTCCCCGCTCGAGGCCTGCAATGTGCCTACCGATCTTAACCATGGTAACGACGGAGCCAAGCTCCGGTTCGAGGGTAAAGTGGTGAAGTCGCCTCATTATGCTGTTTTCTATGCTGCTGGTCCCTTGGCGTTTCGCCCTCAGATGTGCGCAAATTGACCTTGCACCATGGTTTAGTGACTACTTATTTGCTAGTGAGGTTTCAAGTTTGATACAAGCAGAGGCTATATGGACAAAGGAAAGAATAAAAGATTTGCAGATTTATGTGGTTTGTGGAAGATAGATGGAGGACTGTTCTGCTAACTCGAAATGAGATAGGTCAACAATAAGGATCTAGTGTGTGCTATCTGATAGTGGTAGACTACAGATTTGAGGCACTCTGTTGCTGGAGTACAAGGTCTTGCTTCTTTTTGAGTTGTTCTTGGAACTAAGGTGTAATGAGTTGAGCAAATTTGACACTTTTGTAGCAGATTCCTTTATGATCCAGAATGTTGAAAGACAACTTCTTTCAGGCAATCACTCCACTCGTATTCCACGATTCGGCTTCTAATCATATAATAATTTCTTCGGAACGGGATATTGTGCTAACTCTGCAGGAGTTAGCATCATGCTAATCATGAGTTGTTGTTGTAGTCCGCGTCGGAGTTGTAGTCCTGAATATACGAAAAACGGTGACTACAACTAAAAAAAAACTATGATTGCGTTGGATATGTAGTCCTACAACTGCAAAACACAACGACTACAACTGTAATAACAACGACTACAACTAATATAATTGTGCTACTAGCATGTTAGCAAGCTAACCGATCCCACTGTGTTCTGACTTCTTAATCAAGATGATGAGTTACGTTATTGAATCCAAGTAGAAAATCTTTGTTAATTACCTACAAATCCAATGAACTTTCCTCTACACAATCCCCAACCCATTTTGGATAATGCCCTAAGGACACCAATCCATCATTAACAAGACCGTTATTTTAAACAAAAAGGGTAACCCTTCAGTTACACCCAAAACACCGCTAAATGCCATGATTGTTTTGGCAATCCTTAGGAGATAGAAGAAGAAGAAGAGTACTGAATGTGGCCGTCTCCCCCGAATCCAAGTCGGCTTTTCTAACCTACTTAATTCTCCACCTCCATAAACAACCTTCTCTCTCTCTCTCTCTCTCTCTCTCTCTCTACCCCGTTTTCACAAAGCTGCCGAGAAAAACAAAAATGGCAGCCAACACCAACCAGAAGAAATCATACATCGTCGTAGAAGGAGCAGTCTACTGCCAGGACTGCAAGTACGCCGGCTGGTCGTCGTCCTTGACCGACGCCACGTCTGTCTCATCAGCTGGTGTCGGCGTCAGTTGCACATGATGAATTCCGGCGGCCAAGGGAGCGTCTACCAGACCAATCGGACCGACGAACACGGCTACTTCTACACGTGGCTCGATGGGAAAATAATCTTCTAAATTAAATTTGAATCATTATGATAATCTTAAACTAGAGATGAGAAAATAATCATTGAATTTTTACTACTGTAACAAATGGATGTTTAACATCACTATTTCATAATATTAATTCGACGGGACACAAAAGTTCTCATAACGTCACATACAACTAATATCTAACGATCCTGTTTGTCCTAAGAAATAGTAATATGAACACCAAAAGAAACGAAAATGCTCTTATGAGTGAGTGAAGCACTCTCCCAAACACACGAGAAGGAGGAGGCAAATTTTTTAAATTAAAAACAGGATTTGTTGGTATTGATGCCTCAAATTAGTTCAAGACTTGGAGTTATGGAAGACACTTGAGGTTACTTGGGGTTATGAAAGTTAATGACCACATGGAGTTAATTGTGTGGAGTTTCCATTTGGTTAATGGGAGTGCCGTTCACTTTTTCTTTGGCATCTCATAAGCCATTTTGCATGGCTATAAATAGAGAGTCTATTGTTGTTGAATAGACACACCAATTCCATCCAACTCCTTTCTTCTCCTAAAGTGTAGAATATCTTCTTGAGTACTTTTCTTTTATGTTGGGAGTTTTCTACTTACTCCACAACTTTGTACGTTGAAGATTATTCCTTGATCATAGTGGATTTACTGGCTTGTCCAGCCCGTGGTTTTTCTCCCTCTTCTTTGGAGGGTTTTCCACGTAAAATTGGTGTCTTGTCTTTGTTCATTCTCTTCTCTGTTTTCTTGTTCGATTTCATATTGGGTTTGCTTCCGCTAGTGCTCATTTATATCCAGGTTCAAAAGTCTTTAAAAGACAACAAGTGGTATCAGAGCCCTTGACAACCAATTGAAATCCTCGACAAGATGACTGCAAAGTTTGACATTGAGAAGTTTGATGGCAAGATATCATTCTCGATATGGAGAATTCAAATGAAGGCAATTTTGACACAAAATGGTGTTCAAAAGGCTTTACTTGGTCTCGAAGCCAAACCAGAGACCTTGACTGATGTCCAATGGGAAGAGCTCGATGAAAAGGCTCTTACTGCTATTCAATTATGCCTGTCAAAATCGGTTTTGCAGGAGGTGGTAAGTGAGACAACTGCAATTGGACTTTGGACAAAATTAGAGTCACTTTATATGACGAAAAGTCTCGCTAACAAGCTTCGTCTAAAAGAGAAGTTGTACACTACTCGTATGGCTGAAGGTACTCCAATTCAAATCCATCTTTCTACCTTCAATTCCATTGTTATGGACTTGGAAAATATTGACGTGAAAATTGAAGATGAGGATAAAGCTGTTTTATTAATATGCTCATTGCCCCAGTCCTTTAAACACTTTAAAGAGATCATGCTCTATGGAAATATGGATACTTTGTCTTATGAAGATGTAAAATCTAACTTACTGTCAAAAGAAAAATTTGACTTTGAGTCCAGTTCTAATGACAAAGGTGAAGGTCTATTTATAAGAGGAAGATCCAAGGAAAAAGGGGAATCAAGCAAAGGTAAAGGTAAAGCTCGATCCAAGTCAAATGGTCGAAAATCTGATGATGGGAAGTACTGTCGCTATTGTCGCAAAACTGGTCATGAAATTTCAAATTGTTTCAAATTAAAGGCCAAAGAAGAAAAGAAAAAGCAATCTCAAAAGGCTTCTGAAGCCGGAGAAGCTAGTATCGTCAATGACGATTCTGATGGTGAAGGTTTGGCAACAATTTCTTCTTACGATGGCAGTAATTCGGATGTTTGGGTTCTTGATTCTGCATGCACTTTTCATATTTGTCCCAATAAGAACTGGTTCAAAACACTTAAACCTGTTAATTCTGGTGTTGTGCTAATGGGAAATGATGATCCTTGCAAAGTTCTTGGTATTGGTACAATTGAAATGCGTCTTCATGATGGGGTTGTCAGAACTCTTTCTGATGTTCGCTATGTTCCTGACATGAAGCGAAATCTTATTTCTTTAGGCACCCTCGAGTCTCTTGGGTGCAGATATGGAGCTGAAGGTGGAGTTCTTAAGGTATCTAGAGGTTCTCTTGTTATGATGAAAGCTAACCGCATTGGTATGATATATGTCTTGCAAGGTTCTGTTGTTACAGGTTCAGCAGATATTTCTACCTCGCTGCTTGATTCGCATAATACTCAATTATGGCATATGCGGCTAGGACATATGGGTGAAAAGCCAATGACAGTTCTAAGCAAGAGAGGACTATTGGGGAACCAAAATTTTGGGAAACTTGACTTTTGTGAACATTGTATCTTCGGGAAGAAGAAAAAGGTCAGTTTCTCTCCTGCTTCCCATAGTTCCAATGGGGTGCTTGATTATATTCACTCAGATTTATGGGGACCCTCTAAATTTCCTTCCATAGGAGGTCGTAGATACATGATGACAATTATTGATGATTTCTCTCGTAAAGTTTGGGTTTATTTCTTACGGCACAAAAATGAAGCCTTTTCTGCATTTAAAAAGTGGAAAGTGCTAGTTGAAACTCAATCAGGAAGGAAAGTTAAGAAGCTTAGAACTGACAATGGATTGGAATTCTGTGAAAATGAGTTTAATGAATTTTGTTCCTCACATGGAATCGGAAGACACAAAACTCTAGTTAAAACACCTCAGCAAAATGGTGTTGCCGAAAGACTTAACAGAACAATTCTCGAAAGGACTCGGTGTATGACGTCAAATGCAGGTTTATGGCATAGACGTGATTTATGGGCAGAAGCTGCAGCAACAGCTTGTTATTTAATCAACCGTTCTCCACATAAGTCGTTGGATTATAAAATTCCAGAAGAAATTTGGACAGGTAAACCAGTTGATTATTCCAAATTAAGAATATTTGGTTGCCCATCATATTATCACGTAAATGAGGGTAAGCTCTCTCCAAGAGCTAAAAGGTGTTTATTTCTGGGATATTCTATGGAGTCAAAAGGCTATCGTTTTTGGTGTATTGAATCTCACAAGGTTATTCAAAGTAGAGATGTTACATTTAATGAAGATGCCTTATTTTCTGTCAAAGATGGTACTTCTTCGTCCCATGATGCACAAAATCTTGAGACTCCAAGAGACAAGGTGGAGTTCGAACAACAAGATTCACCTACCCATCTATCTTCTCTAGAGTTAAATCCTAGTGAAGTTCAAAATGAGGAAATGCCACCTCAAGTGCCACAAGATTATATCTTGGCTCGAGATCGGCCAAGGAGAGTTATACAAAAACCTGCTCGATATAGAGATGATGAGCTTGTTGCGTATGCTCTCGCCGTTGCACAAGAAATTTCAGAAGAAATTGAGCCTGCTTCTTTCAAAGAAGCTATATCTTGTGTAGATTCATCTAAATGGCTTGCGGCAATGAATGAAGAAAACGAAAGTTTGTTGAAGAATAATACATGGGAATTATGTATCCTTCCTACGGGGAAGAAAGCACTTTCAAATAAGTGGATATACAAAAAGAAAGAAGGAATTCCCGGTATTGAAGAGGCAAGATGGAGGGCGTGGTTGGTTGTTCGCGGCTGCAACCAACGTGAAGGTATTGATTTCAATGAAATCTTTTCTCCTGTTGTGCGTCACACTTCCATAAGAATTTTGCTCTCTTTTGTTGCTCTCTTTGATTTGGAGTTAGAGCAACTTGATGTGAAAACTGCTTTCCTTCATGGTGATCTCGAGGAGGAGATATACATGAAGCAACCAGAAGGCTTTGTGATTCCAGGAAAGGAGCATATGGTTTGTCGCTTGAGAAAATCATTATATGGTCTCAAGCAAGCTCCTAGACAATGGTATAAGCGTTTTGATACTTTTATGATTGGAAATAGTTATACACGAAGTCAATTTGATAATTGTGTATACTTCCAAAAATTTCCCGAGGGCTCCTACATTTATCTACTTCTTTATGTTGATGACATGCTTATTGCTTCTAAGAACAGAATGTTGGTCGAAAGGTTAAAGTCACAACTAAAAGGAGAATTTGAGATGAAGGACCTTGGAGCAGCAAAGAGGATTTTAGGTATGGAGATCCAAAGAGATCGACAAGCTGGTAAATTATTTTTGAACCAAAGAAAGTACATTGATAAGGTACTTGAAAGGTTCGGAATGATTGATTGTAAGCCCACTTCTACTCCTCTCGCTGCTCATTTCAAGTTATCTGCTGCTTATTGTCCAACAACAAATGAAGAAGTGGATTATATGTCTAGCGTTCCATATTCGAGTGCAGTTGGTAGTTTGATGTATGCTATGGTCTGCACAAGACCCGATCTTGCATATGCAGTAAGTGTTGTCAGCAGGTATATGCAAAATCCAGGAAAAGAACATTGGAATGCTGTGAAGTGGATACTTCGGTATTTGAAGGGAACCCGTGATATGGGTCTATTGTTTGAGAGGAGTGAAAATCCTTCCAACAATATTATAGGCTTCACAGATTCTGATTTTGCAGGTGACTTAGATAAACGGAAGTCCCTTTCCGGATATGTTTTCACTCTCTGCAATTCATGTGTTAGCTGGAAATCTTGTTTGCAACCCGTAACTGCTTTGTCAACTACAGAAGCAGAGTATGTTGCTATTTCTGAGGGGGTTAAAGAGGCTATTTGGTTACGTGGCCTAGTTATTGAGCTTGGAGTTGAACAAACTGTTTCAACCGTATTTTCGGATAGTCAAAGTGCCATTCACTTGACTAAAAATGACATGTATCATGCGAAGACAAAACATATAGAAGTCAAGTACCACTTTGTCCGAGATGTTATGGTTGCAGGTGATATTAGTGTGAAGAAAGTTCATACTGACAACAATCCTGCAGATATGCTCACTAAAGTTCTTCCTTCAACTAAGTTTGATCGTTGTTTGAACTTAGTTGGAATTCGAAGAGCTTGATTACCTCTCAGAGGTTTCTGGACAAGTCTTTCTAAATTTGATTCAAGGTGGAGATTGTTGGTATTGATGCCTCAAATTAATTCAAGACTTGGAGTTATGGAAGACACTTGAGGTTACTTGGGGTTATGAAAGTTAATGACCACATGGAGGTAATTGTGTGGAGTTTCCATTTGGTTAATGGGAGTGCCGTTCACTTTTTCTTTGGCATCTCATAAGCCATTTTGCATGGCTATAAATAGAGAGTCTATTGTTGTTGAATAGACACACCAATTCCATCCAACTCCTTTCTTCTCCTAAAGTGTAGAATATCTTCTTGAGTACTTTTCTTTTATGTTGGGAGTTTTCTACTTACTCCACAACTTTGTACGTTGAAGATTATTCCTTGATCATAGTGGATTTACTGGCTTGTCCAGCCCGTGGTTTTTCTCCCTCTTCTTTGGAGGGTTTTCCACGTAAAATTGGTGTCTTGTCTTTGTTCATTCTCTTCTCTGTTTTCTTGTTCGATTTCATATTGGGTTTGCTTCCGCTAGTGCTCATTTATATCCAGGTTCAAAAGTCTTTAAAAGACAACATGATTGAATCCAAGTATAAATCTGATCATTAATGTAACCCTCAGTTCAACTCTCATTCATCATCAAAATCCCCAAAAGACATCAATCATTAACATATGACAATAATTGAATAGGGAAGAAGAAGAAGAAGAAGAATAAAAATGTGGGCATCACGTTGCCTACACCTACTTACAATTAGTAGTCTCCACGTCCATAAACAAAACAATCTCCCATGGCGGATCCAAATTCCAATCCATCCATATATAAACACCACATCTCCCCCACAAACCCATCACTCAATCTCATCATCAACAAACCCCAACAATCTAAGCATCCATTCCCACAACCTCCACACTCAAAAATGGCGCCCAGCCACCTCATCATCACCATCTTCTCACTCCTCCTCCTCCTCAACACAATTTCCGCCGAACCCCAATACCACCACCATCCCGCCGCCGCCGCCGCCACAACTCCCCCGCCGAAGATACAATCCGACGTCGTGGTGGAAGGAGTCGTCTACTGCCAGAGCTGCCACAACGCCGGCTCCTGGTCCCTGACCGGCGCCAGGCCGGTCCCGTCCGCCAGGGTCAGCGTCACGTGCGTGAACTCCCGCCGCCACGTGAGCTTCTACAGGACCTACCAGGCCGACGAGCACGGCTACTTCTACGCCCAGCTCGTTGGGCTCAAGCTCAGCCACGGGATTCTGGACCACCCGCTCCAGGCCTGCAAAGTGAAGCTGGTCTCTTCACCGCTAGAGAGCTGCAACGTGCGGACCAATCTGAACTACGGGATCGACGGGGCCAGGCTGCGGTTCGAGAGCAAGGTGCTGAGGTCCGCGAGCTATGAGGCTGTGGTCTACGCGGCTGGGCCCTTGGCTTTCCGGCCCAGCGAGTGCCCTGCCGAAGTTGATGAAGATGACGTCAATCGTGGTTGATTGATGATGGAGTGACTTTTGGGGGTTGGACTTGGTTTTTTTTTTTTTTTTTTTTTCCTTTCTGTTTGAGTTGTGTATCACGAACTAATTATAAAGGCTGTGCGGATGCAGTGCAGGATAATTTCATGATCGTGCTGTACACTTGTACCGGTTGATTATTATTTATTAAGAAGAAGAAAAAAAATATTTTAATTATGGTGTTACTATTATTTTGTGGCGAAACTCAATCATGGAAGTCACGCCATCTAATGTCTTGTATAATTTTATGATGATTGGCAAGTCAAATTGAGAATGTTTTTAGGTATATTGCGTGAAAAATTAATTGGTTCTAATAATTTTAGTTATGTATTAATCTTACTTTTCGTTATTTTAAATGAAAGTTAATTCATTTTAAATGGCGAGGAATGGACCAAGTAAACTCACAATCAAATCAAACTATGATATGATGTTAAAAATTAGTTGGTCCGAATTACTCGAATTATTATGACCTATTGGTCAAGATTTATTGGAACCAACTAATTATTAAAACACATGTGAATACTTTTTACCAAAATTCATAAATTTTCTTGTTTGTTATTATTTAATTGAAAATTGAGATACTATGACCACAAATAAAATAATCACAAGGATGATTATTAGATTGGGTGTATGTTATAATATAAATTTCACCCTCCACAATAATCAGAAGATACTGCTGGTACGGCTTGTGATAATATTTTTATGTTTTTTAAAATGCATCTGAATGCTGATAACTTAAAATAAAGCCGAATTAGAAGCATAGGGAATGAATAAGAAAATCAGTCAAAGGGGATTGGATCCATGTAGAAATCGATAATGGAATCCTCAGTTGCTCATTCAACTACAAAATCCCTAACCCCATTTTGGATAATACCCAAAAGACACCACCAATCACTAACACACTTAACAACCAGTAAAATTGAAAACTCAGCACTTCAGTTTCCCCTGTATCCAACACACTGCAAAATCCCATAATTTGGCCATGCTTAGTAGAAAGAAGAAGAAGAAGAAGAATGTGGCCATCACATCACATACACGCCACAGATCTCTGAAGATTCCATGGCCGTAAAGCTCTTCCCCTACTAACTACTAAGTAGTCACCACGTCCACTAACAACCCATTCAACATCTCTTATGTATAAATACCCACAAATGCAGCTCACATCTCATCAAACGCAAAAGACATTTCCAATCTTCTGCAGAATTAGACATGGCAGCCAACAACAGCCATCTCATCACCGTCTGCTCACTGCTTCTGCTCTTCGTCCTCCCATCAATGGCTGTCCAACCCAAGTACCACCACGCTCCCACAACCCCACAGAAGAAATCTGACGTCGTGGTCGAAGGAGTCGTCTACTGCCAGAGCTGCAAGTATGCCGGGTCGTGGTCTTTGACAGGCGCCAAGACAATCCCATCAGCTAGAGTTAGCGTGACTTGCAAGAATTCGCGCCACCAGGTGAGCTTTTACAAGGCCTACCAGGCTGATAAACACGGCTACTTCTATGCACAACTCGACGGGTTCAAGTTGAGCCATGGAGTTTTGGATCATCCCCTCCAGGCCTGCACTGTGAAGCTTCTTTCTTCCCCTCTCGCGACCTGCAATGTGCGTACCAATCTTAATTATGGCATCGATGGAGCGAAGCTTCGGTCTGAGGGTAAGGTGTTGAGGTCTCCTCACTATGAGGCTGTGATATATGCAGCTGGTCCCTTGGCTTTCCGCCCAGAAACATGCTCAAACCATCATGGTTAAAAACATGAATGACCTTTTTCTTTGTCGTGGGTTTTCAAGGCCTTGCCTTAGCATTTTCTTTCTGGTTTTCATTCTTTTTGTTGGAGTATAAGATCTTCCTCGTGTTGAGTTCTCAATGTGATCAAGATCGTCTATCAGCAATTTGTACCCGCATTCAAATGAGTTGAATCTTTTTAGCAGAATGTTAGTCTCTCTTGTCTTCCTGACCTCCTTGCATTATTCCCTATAACCCATCAATAGCCTCCAAAGTCTCTAACGTCCAGTGGCATCCCAAACAGCAGAGTGTTGATCTTCATAAACTTAAGACTTCAAAGCTTCTACAAGAGGCAGCAGTACAAAAGACAAAGGTTGAGAAAATGAAACTTCGTTTCAACAAGGAGAAGAAGCCACTTACCCTTATAAGGGCTAAAAATCCAGTAGCGTCCCAAACAACTTGTTAATGTCATGCATTGCCTGTATAGTGAACAGAGTTGGCTCAAACAAGTCTGATCCCCTTGTATCAGATGATGATGTTTTGCTTTCTTGATGATGATTAACAACATCAGCTGGCAATATTGAGAACCCGCCAACTTCTTCTTGCATTTTCTTACCTGTCTGGTTTTGGTTATCATCAACAGCATCATCATCATCCTGCAATATCAACAACCCGCCAACTTTTTCTTGCATCTTGTTCCCATTCTGGTTTTGTTTATGATCAACGACATCACCATCAGGCAGTACAAAAAAATACCACCATTTTTTTGTTCTTGTTTCTTCACTGGCTGGCTTTGTTTTCCATCAAATTCATCATCATCGGGCAGTATAAAAAACCCACCACCACCAAGTTGTTGCTGTTCTTGTTGTTGTCTCACCGGCTGCTTTGCTCCCTTGGCGCTTGCAAACTCTATGGGCTCCCCAAACATGTTGTTGATGTGTTCCATGGCTTGCTTCAAGTTCACTGTGGGATCAACCAACCCATGGTGGCATAGATTCTCCACTTCCGGTTTGTCCGAAATGGTGGACCCAACAAACCGATGAACCACTGTATCCTCCCTCGTAAGTTTGTTTCTTGGGGACCTCGAGCCACCTTCTTCAGATGCTGAAAGATCCTGCGGACATGTGAATACAAAAGGGGAGTCTTCTTCTTCCTCCTCCTCTTCACAAAATTCAGCCTCTTGGTGCATTTCATCATCGATCAATATTTGAAGAGGCTCTTTCTTTCCAGCATTGCTCAATGGCTTGGTTCCACTGACCTCCACGTTTGAATCCACATAGACTTCAAACCCACCATTCCAGCTGCTGTTTCCATTTGATCCAGGACGGTTGGATTCCTCAAAAGGCTTCTTCACAAGACCAGTGCTTCCATCTTGAATTTGTTTCCCTTCAGCTTTAGTAATGCATACGTTTCATTGTTCACATCAGTCCTCACTGCAGCTGTACAGGTCTTTTATCAGCTCTTAAGGCGATCTGCATACGATGAAGAAACTGTTCATACGATTTTGCAACTCGTCAACAGGCTCAGCAAGGCTGGTTTTCCACCCAAAAACTTTTAACAACAATAGAAAATAGTAGAGCAAAAACTTGTTTACATCATCATTTCCCCAAAATACATCAAGGTGGGTATTTGGTTAAAGATTAAAGAAATGAGGGGGTCAAGGACTTACTTCTGGACACCTATCTGGTACATCTGCTCAGCCGCCTCATATTTCTTCATCTTTTCATAGCACAAAGCATATGCTTGGTAAAACAATGACCTCTTCATCCCAATCTGATTCTTCTCCATGGTTCTCAATAGCGAACTTGGTTCATCCACATAATCCATCTTCCCTCAATTCCCTAAAGATTCGCCACCAAACTATAAATCAAATGGCCACATAGTAATGGTAATTTCAATAGAACGATAGAACATAGAAAATCAGCTAGCTTGGCTTTCTCCATTGGACCAGTAGAAGAATAAAATGAACCAAGCACAAAGAAGCCCCTAAAAATCATCGATCTTGAGAAAGGAATAACGGAGGGTGGAGTTGAGTTACCAACTGCAACCAAACTCGAAGGTAGCGAGGATCGTTCCTGTAGCGCTCATCAGACTCAAATGTCTGAGCGCATTTGTGAAAGAAGCGAGGTAGCTTTTCTTTCAGCTGAGTTGGAGGCAGAGATTCTCTCAGTTTCTTTATCCCTCTGCAGATATGGAGAGAAAGAACATACCGAAGAAATCAGGCACAGAGATATTGAGAAGTGGAGAGAAAGTGGGTGGAAAGAGTACCGGAGCCAGGGGAGAAGAGGATCCTTGCCGGAGTAGGATTTGATTTCGGAGGCGACAGAAGAGAAGATAACATCTGCAGCGGCGCCTGCATTGTTCCGGTCAGTGCCTCAGTGGTCTCTACTCTCTGCCGACACAAATGAAGCGGTGCTGCGGTGGTCGGTGGAGCCGGAGGAGGAAGACATTGATTTTGAATTTGGGCAACTTAGTACCTTTATTTTTGTGAAAGGCACTTTGATACCTTTATTTTTCAAGAGTAACACTTTAGGCAAATCCCCATCGACAAAGCACGGCAGAGATTCATGATTCATAAGTAGGAACCGACCTTAACTGACAATACGCGTTTTGGGGTGGAACGGAGGAGTTCTTGTGAGAACTTAAATGCTTAACGTGCTCAGTATCGAAATCCAAAGCGAACAATATATTCATCGGGAAAAGGTTCGGGATGTTACATTACTACTTAACTAGTTACTCCTTGTCCTTGGTCACACATTTTTTTTTTAACAAAACAAACTACTCAATTCGGTTCGGCTAAACCCAATCCGGCCAGGATTCCAACCTATTCAGGAGAGGAGTGTAGCAGTTGCAAACATCACGGCGAGGGGCAAAAAGGCCACGCCACACCGGCGAAAGTAAAAAGAAGTGCTTAGCCAAGGCCAGTCGGCCGCTGTAATTTCCAGTCTTCTCTCCCCAGCGAAAGCCCCTCTCTCTTACTACACACCCATCGATGGCGAAGCCCGACGAGTTCAAGCCGGACCCGCCGTCCGAAAACCCTAAAACCGAAGCAGACGACACCGACGACGAGAATGGCGACGGCGGATACGAAGAAGAAGTTGAAGACACAGAAGAGGACGAGCTCGACGAGGAAGAAGAGGATGAACCCGAACCCGAACCGCGGGTGCGAACTCCACAATCGGCAGTCCGAATGCAACGGGCAAAGCTGGAGGGCCTCTTCCAGCGGCTGCAGACGCAGAGCGTGCCACTTCGAGTCCACGATGTGCTGATTAAGGGGAACACGAAGACTAAGGATTACCTGATCGAATCGGAGGCGGCGCTGCTGAAGAACTGCACTACTATGCAGGAGATCCTCGAGGTCTCCAGAGCTGTGAATTTCCGGCTGCAAGCGCTAGAGGTATTCGATTCCGTCAAGATCACGCTCGATTCTGGCCCTCCGGAGCTTCCTGGGACGTCTAACGTCATCGTGGAGGTTCAGGAGGCTAAAAGCCCCCTTTCTGGCGAAATTGGAGCTTACACAAAGGCCGAGGTATTGCCTCTTACAAATTGTGCCTCATATTTGTACGTGGTGGTTGAACTGATTGAGGAATTGAAGAAGCGAATTCTATATCATGTGGCATTGCGTCTCTATGCACACTAGAGGAATCACAATTCCATTTTAGCCAAATTATCCGAGTTTTGGCTCAGTTTTATCTAATTCAACGAATTTGCAACTAGTAGCCATACTGGGAAGCTAGGATTGAACATTGGGATTCCAGTTTAGGACACCAGCTGAAGAGGGGAGAAGAATGGACGTGGTCTTTACAATTTACTTCTTTTATTATTTACCTGATGCTTGATATCGTTTGCCCTTACTCTGATGATGTCTGCATACCAGTTTCCTAAGGTGGTATTAAGGATAAGTGGGAATGCCTATATTTGCTTTCTATTTGTATTCGTTGAAATGCATTGGAGGACTTAACACACCAGACCACGAGCCTCTCGCCCTTGCTTCTGACCAGTCTTGTGATTTTCTTACTTGGAATTGTGAGTATCTTTGTGGAATTCATCACCTGTAATATGGATGAGGTGGAACAGATGTCGTGCTAAAGCAAGCTTTTTTATCTTGTCGTTAATTCTGATCGTTGAGAGATATCCTGGGTTTGGATTTGAAGTACACCCGAAATTATGAATGAATCCTGCTTCCTAGGTTTGCAAACCTTCTACTGGTACACACACCTAATATTTTGTCAATGCTATCTGGATTTTGTGCTGGTTTTGCAGGCAAGATCCTCGACTGTCGAAGGAACACTAAAGTTCAAAAACATATTTGGTCATGGAGATCTTTGGGATGGCTCTTTTGCATATGGTTGGGACCATATATCGGAGCTAAGTGCTGGTGTGCATTTCCCAAGATTCAGAGGATCTTCATTCCCCTTGGATGTCCGGGCATTCCTGCTATCCCAAGATTGGCTGCAGTTCTCTTCATTCAAAGAGAGGTCAATGGGCCTTTCTGTCGCCTTGCTCTCCTCTAGGAACCATGACTTGGTCTACAATCTTGGTTGGCGTACCTTGACTGATCCATCACAGCTGGCATCCAGGTCAGTAAGGAGGCAGCTTGGGCACAGTTTACTGTCATCTTTGAAATATACTTGCAAGGTTGACAGGAGAAATTCAACTCTGCGCCCAGTTCGGGGATATGCTTTTGCTGCTACCTCCCAAATTGCTGGCCTTGCACCGGATAGTCGGTGCTCACGTTTCTTACGCCAGGTGCATGATTTCCTTTCAACTATGTCCTGTGACTGCCTTATTTATTAATGTGCTTATGGGGGTATTGTGTGCTGTAACTTGTGAGAATGCACATATCGCTTTCTTACATGTTTTCGGGAGTTTTGTTACTCACACAGTCGCACTACATTCCATGAACTACAGACTGCCGTAATTTATCGGCTGGAGACTGGAGTTTATATTTCTGTGTTTCCAAGAGTTGCTGTTTTGGACTTCCTTCTTGGCAGTATAACACTTTCTTTGTGGTTGCATTTCTTTTCTGCTACAGTATAATAGTTGAATTGGTGGTGCATCTTTTATTCTTTTCTTCGAGTAAGTGATCTCTTGTCATTACAACGAGTTGGTGTTCCCCCCTTCATTTAGTTGGTATTTTCCCTGCGAGTTCTTTGTTTTCTGATGGTAAAATGGCCTGCTCAGAAATGGTTTTTTTATTTATTTGCGTATCTAATTTGGGTTATCAATTATTTCCAAATTTCTTTGGCCAGTCTGCTTGGTTCATCAGCTGATGGCTTAGTCTTTGCGGTGATTCATATTCTCACTTAGCTTTTATGCCTCCAGTTCATCTTTAATAACTCAATATGTACTTCAAACAGGAGGTTGATCTTCGTTATGCCATCCCGCTTGGAATTCTGAATTCTGCTCTCAACTTTGGGATCTCTGGCGGCATTGTTTTCCCATGGGGAGCTGGTTTCAAAAACATGCCTTCACCTCTGCCCGATAGGTTCTTCTTAGGTGGCAATTCATCTCCAATTAGCAGTCTGGGGGGCCCAACAACGGTATGGGGATACAGAACCAGGGGACTCGGCCCTACAGAGTCTCGAAGGCAACTGAAGAGCAATGATGGTGATACTGAGGATGCTGCGGATCCTGGAGTTGATTTTCTTGGAGGAGATCTTGCTGTTACTGCTTTTGCTGATCTTTCTCTCGATTTCCCGCTGAAATGGTTCAGAGATAGAGGAATCCATGGCCACATATTTGCATCCGCTGGAAATCTCGAGAGATTAACGCAAAATGCATACAAAGATTTCTCTCTGCAGAAGTTTGTGTCTTCATTTCGAACCTCTGTTGGTGCTGGGATTGTTGTTCCAATCCAGCCATTCCGCCTTGAGGTCAGTGCCCTGAATTCCATTTCAAGAGGCGTTGGAAAAGTTATTTTAACGAGCAGTGCCGTGAGAAAATCCAGTAAGTAGACTCCAATGCGAGTTGCTTCACTAAATATGCATTTGCTTTTGGTTGCAGGTGAACTACTATTACATGATGAAGAAATTTGAACATGACCGTGGCAAACCGAGATTCGGGGTGACCTTCTCTATGTAGCTTTTGGGAATCCACTCCAATTTGAGGTATGGCATTTTGCTGGATTTGTGTCTGGAATTTGGCAATTAGAACCCCTCGCAGTCTCCAAAGCTTCATCGGGTTTCATTTCAAATGTAACGTTTGAACACAGACTTGTGGTAAGTCCACAGCTTAGGAGTTTTCACCCCTTGTTTCGTTCTCCTCACGGCGGAAATAGATGGACAGAAATAATATAAATTTATTGAGGATCCCGTGTTTGATTTCGAAGAGGATTTCATGTCACAGAAGCATCTGAAATAGATTCTCTATTTTTTATTCAAAAGAAGAACGCTCACTTTGATCTCTATCATCTCTTATTACAATGCAGTGGTCGAGATCTTTTGTTTAGTCGACGGGCAGTATAGCTTGGGTTTTGAATTTCCAGACTTCTTAACTGGAAAAGATTTGCAGCCTTTTCACTTGTTCTTTGGTTTCCTAGCTTTTGCCTCTTGATTCTTGGGTGCTGGTAGTGGACCATAATCGAATCCAGGGAAAGACCGGTTCTTGCCTGGTTAAACCTGGGCCGCCGGTTGGGGACGTTCACAAGGAGGTGTTGTATTCGGGAGGCTGCATAAGTCGAAATTGGCTGAAGCGGGTAGGAATGTGTTTATGTTGCTGGATTGCCAAACCAGAGATTGCAATATTTGAGTGCACTTGTGTGCTGGTTCTGTACATTGCATGGAATCAATGGTTGTGGTCCGCGGACTCACGATCCATGTAAAAGCTAGTCCTTTTCGAGTCTCCATGTAGAAATGCATTCTTAACAGCGGATCCTCAAAGCAACTTCCAAACTGGAGCGAGTATTTCGCAGTTGAGCGACCCGAGATGAGACTTCGGAGCTGACACCATGCGCTTGCTTATGCTACAAGCCAATACTACCATTGGGATTCCGGCTGCTTATGCCGTTGCTCGAATCGGCCCAGTCAAGTGACCGAAAACGGAAGGAAGGTTAGAGAAGAGAAACCGCCAATTCTCTCCAATCCGCGCGCCTCATCAACGGCGGGCTGGGCCTGGGCCTGGGCCTCGGCGTGGACTAATTACTGGGCTGGCCGATGTCTCTTTCGGGGGAAATTGGATCCGATTATATGCATCCGACGGATTCATCTCAACCTTGT